GTAGGAAAGGGGGTGGTGGTCTGCCCCAGGTGCCATCATGGAGGGGGGTGACAAATTATCAAGGAACAATTACTGCCCTACTAGGGCAGTTCATAAAAAACTTTTTTTGAAAATGCCTGCTCCGAAGGTCTTATCTTACTACACTAGGGATTATATAGCTATATCTGAAATTTCATGCATATCAGTTAATATCTTGACCCTCCTCCACGAAAATAGCTGTTTACTTAGCCGTTTTCCTATGTCGTGAAGGCTGAAATTTCAATTCAGTGGAGCAGGGTCAAGATGTTAACTGATATGCATGAAATTTCAGATATAGCTATATAATCCCTAGTTTAGTAAGATAAGACCTTCGGAGCAGGCATCTTTTTTAAAAAAAGTTTTTTATGAACCACCCTATTGCCCTACCCTCCACTGGGCTTCCCAGGTCCTGGAAAGTTGGCCTATGTGAAGAAAATGAGACTAGGCTGAGTAGATTAAGCCTTACCTTGCCTTTACCCCACCCCACCCCACCCCCTGCACGCAGCCGATTTTTCTTGATTTTACTGCTGTGGTGTTTTTTTGTTTTGGTAAACCACTTTGCAGGTTTTTAAACATAAATTTTATTAAATAAATAAACAATAAATATAAATAAAATAACACAAGCCAAAACACAATCCATCCTGTAGATTTACATATCTGTCCATAGTCGCCTACTTATTATCAGGGGCCCAGAATCCACCTTCCTTTGTAAGAAAATATGAAATAACGTAAAACCATTTTTGTAGGCAAAAAAAAAAAAATCAATGTGTGTGGGGGGGTGTGACAATAAATTTTCTGCACTGGGTACCACCTGACCTTCCTACAGCTCTGACTACAACTCACCTCATCATTGGACATGCTGCCTGGGACTGATGTGAGCAGCATCTGGAGGGCACCACATTGGCTGCCCCTGGTTTACTACATCACATTCAGTGAACTGGACCTTCCATTTGAAACAGCAGCTTCCAGTGAACTCTAGTAGGAGCTGGTGCTCTTACCCAGGACTGAAAGGATTTCTGCTTTAATATTAGGATTCAGCTGTGCATCTAGAAATCCTACTGTGGACTCCACATTCATTCTACAGATTATCTGGGGATTTGGATAATCTTGCATTGTTCTCTAAAAGTCTGACACACACTGACACACGGCTGCTATGAACAGGCATGCTGGTGCCCTAAGGATGAGAGCCAATACATTTTATTCTTCCTCCCTCTATGCAGCTCTGAGTTATGAGAGTTCAAGCGGTCCTCTGAATCTACCACCTGCATTCTGACATGCTGAAATGTAAGGGACATTTTGTAAGACAGTCTTGTTTTGCATTTGGTTTAGATCTCAAAGGCCAGCTGGAAAGTAGCATTTTACAGACTTGTTTCTCACAGAGGTTTAGGGAGCAGCTATAGTTCACTGGTAGGGTGCTTTATATTCCAGAGATCACAGGTTCAATCCCAAGCATCTCTAGGGTGGGCTGGGAAAGGCTTTTGCCTAAAATAAAGGAAAGCTACTGCTATTCAGTTCAGACAATACTGAACTAGATAGTTTCCTAGGCTTCTGTTCATTTTATTTGTTTGGAATCAGAGTATTTTCCCATTCTGGTTTGTAGAGGTGATGAGCCAAGCTAGAAATTCAGATAATACCACACATCTCTTTCAGTGGGTCAACTTTCACTGATGTAACGCTAGTTCAATTTATATGCCATTACAGATGCAGAAAATTGGTCCTTTGAAAGGTGTCACCTTAGCTATTTTATCTCTTCGCGGTTTTCTGGGACTAACCTGGCAACAGTTTTTTGTATACGGTTACTTTGCTTATTGAATAGTGGACCAGAAACCAGTGCAGCTCCCTGACCTGAGAACAGGTGAGATATGCCCTGTACACTTGCTACTGTGTTTTGCACAAATTGTAGTTAATAAAAGGTCCTTAGCAACAGTCCTAAGTACAGCATGTTGTCCCAAGTGCAACACATTGTAATAATCTGAACAAGATTTACCACGGCATAGATAACTGGAACTAGGCTATCTCTATCTAAAAGGACCTGTTCTATGCAGACCTCTGAAAGATATTTTATGCTGCAGAAAAACCCACTAGTTTCTGTAGATAAGGCTGAAGGTAACAGGCGGTGTGCAAAGCCATCCAAAAACAGGTTGAATACTAGATGAACCACCAACCCACAGAACCTCTACCTTATCTGGTGTGGATTGAGCTTCTGTTTTCTGGTCTCCATGCTGATCACAGACAATTCAGAATTTCCACAGCTTCATCTGTATTTAATGAAAAAGAGAAAAAGAAGAAGGTGTCATTAGCATACTGATAATACCTCACAATGAAACTTCCAACAGAGAGCCAATGTTGCCATTCCACTTACACAACAGACTTTACTTCCTCCTCCTCCTCCTCCTCCTCCTTTGTAGCCCCATCCCCTCAAAATCACTGGAAAGTGAGGATAACACTTGCCCTCCAGCACTGAAGGAGCTACTCCAGAGGAAGAACTGTGAGGGGAGAGAGACTTTCTGCTGCTCATCAGGCAATGGCTTTTTCCACCTGCCTTGCCACACCCTCCAGGCCTAGGAACCTTTCTCATGCCATTACTTTGAGAACAGCAGAAACAGCTGGTAAGAGAGGAGTTCAGGGACATAAAAGTTATAATAATAATTTTGTAAATTGTGTGCCCTTGTTTCTCAATTTGATTCATTTACATTGTTTTGTATGTTTTGTGTTATTTTATGCAGTGTGACTTGCTCTTATTTTTATTGATTATATTTTAGTAATTCTTTATTGTCACTGATAAGTGTAAACTGTTTAATAATTTGCAGATATTTAATTTTACTGTTTAATATTATATTCTAATGGATTATTGAATGTTGCTTTATTTGATATAAATTTAAAACTATGCCCTTTTAAAATGTGTTTTTGTGGGGAGTGGCTATTGTGACTTTTTTGTAATCAGATTGTTATTATGTGTGTTAACTTTGCTGTCTTGTTTCTTCAGCTTATAAACCACCTTGCATATAGTAATGTAGAAGGCGATATACAAATTAAAAGTGAAATGAAATGAAATGTCAGTTTATCTCCCTACAAACCAATCAGAATGAATGCTCAATAAACAGGTTGTCTGGAGGCATCATTATTGATTTACATCCTGAAAGGATAAAATGGGAGAAAATACAAAGTGGCACTTTAATGACAACAGTGTCATGTAAATGCTGCCAAAAAAAATTGTATGTGTAAGATAAAGCCATCTGACTTTGCAGGGAGTTGGATTAGAGGCCCCACAGGTAAAAGATAAAGGACCCCTGGACAGTTAAGTCCAGTCAAGGGCAACTATGGGGTTGCAATGCTCATCTCACTTTTCAGGCCGAGACAGCCAGCGTTTGTCCACAGACAGGTTTCCGGGTCATGTGGCCAGCATGACTAAACCGCTTCTGGCGCAACAGGACACCGTGACGGAAGCCAGAGCACAAGGAAACACCATTTACCTTCCTGCCACAGGGTACCTATTTATAATCTACTCAAACTGGCGTGCTTTTGAACTGCGAGGTTGGCAGGAGCTGGGACAGAGCAACAGGAGCTCACCCCGTCGCGGGGGTTCAAACCACCGACCTTCTGATCGGCAAGCCCAAGAGGCCCAGTGGTTTAGACCACAGCACCACCCGCATCCCATAGTGTCCCATCCAACCCTACAATTCTATGATAAAAACACCCATCTGGAATCACCCAAAACTGAACTTCTTCAGCTATGTTAAAGCTCTTGCCTTCTCATCTCCCATCATTGGTGAGCTTATCTGGCTCAAGATATGAACCGTGGGAAAACATGTTTGTGATTCCAAAAATGTAGCCCATAGCTAAGCAAGGAGCAGACAGAAATAAGTACTGCATGTAGCACTGCTGCCACCTACTGGCAAATGACATCAAAACTGCATAAAATAATTTTTTTTAATTTAAATTCAAGGGTTCTCAATATTTTCCTGCCCTAAGACCAATTTTGTATGTTAAGTCTACTCTTCGTGGTGTTCACCCTCAGACCCAGATGTAACTTTTGAGTGTTTCTAAAGTTTCTGGCCATGTAATAAAACCAACACAGATGAAATTAAGGATTTAATGTTGGAGCCTGATATTGTTTATGGTTTTGTTTCTGAAATGTATACCCAGTCCTTAAATGGCCAGTTACCATTCCTAGGAAAGGTTTGGCAAAAAGAAAAAGAAAAAGTTATAAATACAAATATTACAAAACAGCTGACGCAACAATATAACAATTGCCGAGGATAACAATTGCTCCACACACACACACCCCACTTTAGCACGCCAGTATCCTTCCTCAATTTTTCCCTTAGTATGTTTCCTCCATCTCTCCTCCACTGGCTTTATTGCACCCTTCCTCTCAGGCACCTACTTTATTATTATTATTTATTGAATTTATATACCGCCCTATACCCAGAGCTCTCAGGACGGTTCACAGAAACCTTCCTCTGTCCCCTTTCCATTGCCCCATCTTTCCCTTCCTTTCCTACGTCCTCCTCCCTCCATCTTCCCACCTCCCCTGTCTCCGCCTGCACCCCTTTCCCTCAGGCCCTTGTTTAGTTTATTTATTCATTTAATTTGTTTGCCTCACTCGCTTTTCTATATCCCCATTGAGCTAACTACGGTCCATCCCAGTTTTCATACATAGTGGTATTTGTGAAGAAACCCTGTTTAGCTGAAACGGCGAATGGGCACTGCCACGTATTCTGTCATTTGTATTGTCATGTGTTTGATGGGGAAAGCCGAGTAAATTAACTGCCGCTGAGGAACCTCAACTGACAACTGAGGTGACCTTGGAGATAGAACTCTCCATATGCAAAAGAACAGAAGGCAAGACACGTTCTGGTTGGTTAACGGCAGGTTTAGAATTTTCAGTTCGACAGTGTGATTGGCTGAGGGTAGACAATGAGAACCAGAAGAAGATAATAAAAGCCTGAGAGCAACTCAGTCCGGGTCAGTCTGTGTTGGTAGGTGCTTGGTGTTTGTAGTGGGCAGCCAAAAGTAGACGGCAGCAGAGGAAGGGGAATGAGGAAGCAGACCTGAAAGGGAGCAAGAGTGGCTTGGTGGCCAAAGACTTACAAAGGTAGACAAATTGCTTGGCTCAGAAATAATGGGAGAACCAGCCTCCAGCACTGAGGGAGAAGAGAGGGAGCCTCAGTTTGGAAGGCTAGGCTTGTTGAGATCCTGAAAGCCAAGTTTGGGGCAAGAACTTTTTAGTGAGAGAACCACAACAGATATTTAACTTTGCAAAACATGCAGCAAAGAACTAAGTGTGGAAATAGAGGCTGCAAAACTTTTAAAATGTGCCCTGGTACAGAGGTAGACCACCCACTTGGTAAGTCATAAAATGGTTTACTTACAAAATTCTTCTAAGGTCAGATCCATGTGTTTTTCCATGCAGCTGTAAAACGTTGCTTAGTTACAAAAGGTAAAAGTTTCTAAACTATTGGTATAGAAAAAAATACTAGTTTCAAGCTCCATTCTTGTCTGAAACAAAAGAAGCTGGTTGAAAAATCATTAAGGCTGGCTGCCTCAGACCTCCTCACATGTTGAATTCCACATGTGAAGTGGGATTAAAAAAAGGCTTGATTACCTATTTCCTCCCAAGGTGAGGGGAAGTGACATAGGCTAAGCCTCACAGGGCAGCTTGCTCTATGGTTTTAACCCCTTCATGCACTAATTAAGAGGCAAGCATACTGGTTTTCTGAGGCTGTTTACCCGACAAGGCTCTGGTGTGTAGTAGGAGAGCCAGAACAAGATTTCAGGATAGTATAGCAGAAGCAGACCTGTGCTTAAATAGGTCAGTAGGGGTTGAAACAGATTTTAACACAAGTCCTCAGTTATAGTGTTGGTTAGGCTTAACTGGGATGGGGTAAGTGGCAACAGAGTTTTAATAAAGTTCTTTAAAACTGTCTAGACTTAGTAATAATATAAAATAAGCCTAGGGTATAAGTGATATTAAATGATAGCAGTGGTATGGTTTAGAAAAAACATTGGCATGGAAGTTGGGTTTTCTTAATAAGTATGGAAATAGCCCCCTTCCCTCCACAACAGTAATTGTGCAAATGTAGCAGATAGAGCAAGGGAGAGAGCACCCCCTGAGATTTTTAACGTCTGCATATCTATAGCAGATAACACCTATGGAAGATGGAATGCATTTTTAATTAACCTTGTCCAGTGCAGAGCCCCAAATGTTTAGGTAACTGCAGTGCTGCATAAAGTAGGAAGCAACTGCTTTTGGCAGCTGGATATAGTTTTTGGATAATCATAGCTCACTTTGTAAGTCCAAGGAACAGAATGCACCATGTGGGACAATATGTTATTATGCTCCAAGTTCTAATCAAGGTGTAGTGACTTTGACCCTTAGGCTATCTGTCTTCTTTTCCTGTTCCATTGTATTTTAAAACTGAAATAACCTCTTCTTGTATAATTTATACTCAATTGACCAGCAAAGCTATGCATAACTAACTATTGCAGAACTCCATTGCCTAGAGATCCAAGGAAAATCAGAAATTGAATACTAGTGTCAAGCTCTAGTGAGCTCTTTCCCTGCAGGACACCCAGCTCCTCAATACTACCTGCTCATCCTCAGTACAGGTAAAGCTACTTCTCTACCAGCTTAATAGCTGTCCTAAGTATGTTCTCTAAGTACTTTTGGGCTTTAACCCATCATTCATAGCTGAAATTAAGGAAAAACTGTGTTGCAAATAGCTTGCTTTTCAAAATGTTTGATTTACATCCTGGTTTTTATAAAACATGCTTTAGTTATTTTGTTTTATAGCTATTATGCACCATTCAGAACACCAGGAATCATAGAATCTGAATCAAGTATTAATTTGTAAGTTCCTGCTGATCAAGATGACGCTTGTGCAAAGCTCTCTCTCCCTCCCCCCCCCCCCCGTTTTGTGGTGCTAACACCACCACGAAAGGGTGAGACATACAAGAAAAGCCAGATTCTGATGTGGCAAAGGCAAAAGCAGCATTTCATTTACACTTAAGCGGTCAAAACCAAAACTCATTCTCATGAGGATTGCAAACGTGCTGTTGTGCTTCCAAGTCTTACTTTGAAATCAGTCCCACTGAAACAAGATGCATTAACTTTCAAGACTATGTTTTATAGTGGAATCCAATTCTGAGCTACGATTCATACTAAACTTTTAAAAAAATACCTGCCTTGAAAAAGCAGTTCAGCAGATTCTTAAAGTGTTCTCATTAGCTAAATGCTACATACGGGCCATTTTCTCACACAAATGCTTTGCAGAGAACATTTTTATTGTTCAACAGAATAAACCAAAGAAACCATACAAGCTTATGTGCCTGGGCAATTTACAAAAGTTCTGTATGCAAAGTATCGTTGACTGGCATTTCTGTAATTTGAGAGAAGCAGGCTTGTATTGGATTAAAATTCAGATAGCCAAGAACTAAAAGATACTTCATATACTTTAGATGGGATATTACAGGTATATACATAATTACAACATGCAAGCCTTATCTCAAGAGTCTCTTCCCTTCATTTTGGGTGTGTCTTATCATCAAGTAGTTAAAAAAATCAAAGGCAAAAAAGAAAAGCAGCACACAATGAAAGCCAGCTTGAGGGAAACCACCTTAGTTGCTTTCTGGGAAGGCCTAATTATGTAGAAATATCAAAATAATGTTCAAGCCCAGAGCTGGTGACAACGCAAAATCTTAAAATCTATTCAGCCCAGATTTTTGTTCATATACAGACAAGGAACAGCTACCCAGTTATTTCAATAGACTTTATTGTAAAACAGTCAGGTCACAATACTACGTCCAGACCATTCTGCCAGATATGCAAGCTACAATGCTTGACAGGCAGAAAGGATCAGTTTTAGTAGTATACTTGAGAAGTGAATAAAAATCCATATAAAACAATATTCAAATAGTTTCCATAGGAACACAGATAAATGTGACCTCCCCATCTCCTAGTTGTCTATTCAAGTTACATTTACGCCACCCTAGCCATTCAAAAACATTTAAAAATTCTAGCAAGAATTAAGTTAATGGTCCCAAAAGCCCTAAAAATCCATTCCTAAACTTGCATGTTAGCCAAAACTGTATCTATACATTAATGCTAGCTGAAGCACAAGCTGCTGGATAGTGTTCAATCCCACTTTCCCAGGCACATGAGAGTGGCAAAGTGACATCTTGCTCTTCCACTTCAGCTTGAAAACCTTGCTCCTTTATCCGCTGCATCAATTGCCTAATAAGGGGGAGAGAAAGAAATAGAGTAAGTAACCTAGATGGCCTAGATAACCATGACTGTGTGTACCCTCTACTAATCACTGCTAGATTCTGCACCAAAAAGGATTGTGACCAGTACAAATCACTGCACTTCCTAGCTATGGGAAAGTAAAAACTATGTACCACAGACCTTATTTTGAAAATGCTCTGCCTTCTGAGTTTTAGCCAAGCACTGCACTCACACCCTTGAGGATTTATTTTTAAGATTATGCTGAGATTCTCAAACAGGTGAATTCTGCACTCAACATGAGCTTCTGCACTTTCATAGAACTGTGACGAAGTCATAATGATAAAGCAAGCCTTCCAAACAGCAGCCCCCCTGAACTAGAGAAAACATGACAGCAAAATTGGCTGTCCAGTTCTCTCACGTTAAACTATGGTTTAACATGCATGAGGGTTTTGTTCCTCCCCTGCTATGTGTGGGAGGAAACAAACCTATCTTGTTTGTTGTGAGATATGAACCCTGGCTTGCGTTTAATTTTCTTCTACAAACAGAAGTCAAGGTTTGTTCTTAGCTTACCCCTCATGCTGTTTGAAAGACACAAGCCCACAGTCACAACTCGTAACAAACCAAACCGGCTTGTTCCCTCCCAAGGCAGTCAGGAGTGGTGGTGGTGGTGGGGAGATTAATAAATAATAATAATAATAATAATAATAATAATAATAAATTTAATACCCCACCCATCTGGCTGGGTTTCCCCAGCCATGACTGTTAAAATGAACTATGGATTAAAACTGCATGCAAACCAGGCAACTGGCTAGTGAGGCAGGCTATTAAGTAAGTCAACCAAAGAATCTGAATGTGTTCTGTGCACTCAGGGTGGAGTGCACAGTCTATTTATATTCTATCCTATCATAATAATCTACATAACCTTTCTCAAACAAAAGTTTACTCACACTTAAGTCAAACTTAAGAGTGTACTTTCATTAAAAGCAGAACTACTAACCATGCTGGTCTTGACATTACATAGTGTATTGTTGGCCTCTGGAATCCATTGAAAGTAGAAGCAGCTGCCACTGTGTAGGCACCCATGTTTTCAAACAACATCCAGTCCCCAACCTGCAACTCTGGCAAGCCACAGCGCTCAACAATGCGATCTAGGCCATCACAGGTTGGTCCCCATATGCTGCAGGAATAGTACCTCTCATCTGGCTTAGGTCTCTGGAAATAATTTAAAATTTAAGTAGTTATTGCATACATACTGCCACAGCAGTCAACAATAAGACAATCACGAATAATATGGTATTTAGAATGTGTTCCATTACTACATAATGCTGAGATGAGTTAGAATAGGATTGCTCAAACTGTGGTTTGTGTCATCTGTGGATTTTTAGCTGAAGATGGGAGGAGGCACATCCATCACACTGAATAGTCATGCTGATGTTTAAATTGTATTTTATTGCTTTTATTTCTTATATTGTATCTTATTGCATCACAATGTGAATTCTATGGAATTGCAGCTGTTACAACAAGCAGAACAACAACTGAGCTCCACCAAGACCCATAGTATTTTTCAAAAGGTCCTGGGGGATGTGGGGAGTCAGAGTCACTGAGTTAGATCTACATTATACCAGTTCTGCAAGAACCGATGCCCTTTTGTTTTTCCTGTTTTAAGTATCTGGCATAGATAAATGACAAGTAACAGTTACCTACAGCACAAATGGGCTTAAGTTTAACAGTATACTTTTATACAGAAATACACTATATAATACAATACAATATAAAAGATACACATAGTACCTTTTGCAAAACTGGTTTGACATGTGCATGATCATACAGGATGCAGTTAAAAGAGCCATAAACCCCATCATTTACATAGTACATAAGAGTTTTGTCATTTGCTTCTTCTTCATCTATTTGGGGGAGAGGGAAAAAAAGAATATTAGAATAGAGCAATTGGCTAGATATTTAAAAGACAGTTCCGAACTTTGTCATGCTATGCCATTACCAAGCAACAGAAACCTGGGATAGTGCTGTGCATTGTTACTGTCATCAGGAAAAATTGCCCGCCTAGCCCCTGCTTTTGAAATTCTTATGAAGAAAACAAAACACTGACTTTCACTCCAACACTGGGTGGCCCAGCCCCCTCTAAGGACCTCTCCTCTGTTCCCACCATCAATTATGAGTATTTGATGTTAAAATGATAAGTGAAGAATAATAAGAATTAACCAATAAGCAGGATGAGATAATATGCCAAAAGAAACGGAAAAGGAAGTTGAGGGAAGTCACAGGAGGGAGGGGGAAGCAGAGGATTTATAATGTATTTTGTTTTTGAAATAATGATTGTGGTGATGATAAAAATTGTAAAAATCAATAAAATTATTTTTTTTTTAAATAAATTATGAGTATTTGGGCAGTTAACATATAAGGTCCAGGATGTTATTTAAGTATTACATACCATCTGATCCAGTGTGTTCTTTTATTACTACTTTCTTTGCAATGATATTAACAGCAAGTGTAAAAGCTGATGCCACATAGTATCTGCCAGGCTCTGCAATAATTCTCACTCCAGAATCAGAAGGAAAATACTTGTCCAAGGCAGGATTGATTACGTTGGTTATCTTTTTAAAAAGAGAGAGAGAGAGAGAGAAATGGGTTTAATAGAGTTGTTAAGCAACATGGATATCCAATAAACAATTAGCTTGCACTACATTCTCAATGCAAGAGACTGATGGGTTGGAATCCAGCAACAAACTATTGGCTCTTTGTTGAATAATCTACTAAAAACTTGGATATGATTTAGAACAGAAACATAGAACTTCCACACTAGGGAAAGGAGGTTGCTTTGAATTTGATAAATCATTCACAACAGTGCTCGAAAAAAAGTTATGACTTGGAAAATCAGTTCATGATTTCCCAAGCAATCTCAACTCGATTTAAAGCCAACAGAAAGTTTTTGTGAACTTTCAGCTATGCACATCTGGATTGCTCAAATGAACTAGAATGTGAAAGACTTTGGCTGCAATCCAAACTCCCTTTGCACTGTTGGGGGTGAGAATGGGACAGAGATGTCCCCTCTACCCAGAGCGACACCAGCATCACATTATTTTCACAGTGGTTTGTACTGTGCCCCAATATCGGGTGTTTTGGTGGCAGGGACAGGCAGTCAGCCCCACTGTCTGCATCAGCTCCAGGCTAGCATAGCAATTTGCCTCCCCCTCACTTCAGTGTGAACAATGGAGTTGAGAGATGTGGCAGCGGCTATCTCCTTCCATTGTTATCCCATCCCTCGATTCACCCTGCCCACTTTAGCTACTGTTAACTCATTCTAGAGTGTATTCACTTATACTAGCTGTCTAATTTAAGACTGAAGGTTCAATGTTTTGCAGCAGAACTGAAATAGCCATATATGGAAGAGTTCCTGTAAGCATTTTTTTCAAGCTTAACACAGGCCGTATTGCCACTTTAGCAGTATGGAGGCTATGCAACATAGCAAGTAAAGTTCTACTATGCTGTAAAATGTATCACAGTGTAGCCCAGAAATTGATGTTGCTGTATAGCAAAGTATTTCAACTTGAAAATCATGATGCAGATTTCTCTTCCACAGAGGCAAGGTAAAAGTTATTCATGTAGCTAAAGCTATTACTTAGTACAAGTTGTTTTATACTTGTAAACTGCCTATAAGCTACATCTATTATGCAGTATAAGTAATGAAGTAAATATATATATTAGAAATAACTGAACTGGTGGCTTCACTCTAAGCAATACTCTTAAATTTAGGCTGACAAACCTTTTTTGACTCACAGGCACATTTGCAAACTGGAGAAGCTGTCATGGGCACCACACATGCTACAACCTGTTCTATTGGCTACAACAAAAGGCCTCTTTCAAGTCTCGCTTCAGTGGGAGAAGGAAACCTGCAGCCGCCATAGACTCATGTGCTTGTTGGTACTTCAAGAAACTTATACAAACATCTTTTGCCTATAATAGTGAAATCCCCTCCATGTCAATTGGAAGCAGATGCTGGGAGTTGTTTAATACGATCTGGGGAGCAAAGTTTGAAGAATGCTCTTCACAAACAAAGCACTTAAGGTTATGTACCTCTTCAAACTTAAGTTTCACATCTTCGGAGCCAGGAAAACCACCACCAATGTCAAGCAGGTACATGCTGAAACCAAGCTCAACCTAAAAGGCAGAAATATTGAAATGTGATTCAAATCATACTTTTATTGATAGTATTGACCAGTTTCACCATCTGAACTAATGAAGCAAACAAGAATTTTAACTAATCTGAATTAGCATCTTAGACCAACAGCACAAAAATGTAGGTTTCCCAAGTTTACTTTAAATATTTTGTATTTCAGACACATTCTGGCAATCTCACAGTACTATGACTCGTTAGTGCTATAGGAAATGCTCTTAAAATGTACTTACTCCCATATCAAAGACACAACGGGCATCAGAAATAGCTTGCACAAACGTCTCAGGATCCGTACAGCCACTTCCAACATGGAAACTAGAAAAGATGGGTTGAGTTAGTGGGAGTTTTGCTCATCCTTCTTAACAAAAGCAGAATTTGTAAGTAGCAAGTGTGCAATTTCTTCCACACAACCCGGCTGCTCACCTCACTCCAATTATGTCGATATCAAGTTCTTTTGCTCGTTCAAGCAGCAACCTGCTGGTTTTTAGTGTAGCTCCAAACTTAACACTTAGGCGACAAACAGCCTTTGAATCATCTGTTGCAATGCGCAAGACCAGCCTAGAAAACATTTTAGAACATATAAGCACATGCACATGTATTTCAGAACACACATTTGTAGTTGCTCTGAGAAAAAGCAGCTTAATAGTTGGGGGTGGGGAGCTACCTTTATTCTGTCAAAAACAGCAATGCCACCTGTTTTTTGCACAGATCTGCCTAAATGGTCACCGTCTGTTATCTGGGGCCTCACATTTACCTAGAGAGAACATATAGATTGTACTAAAATGTAAATGTTTCTTACTTTGCTTTTGGATGGGCTCTTGCAACTTTCATCAGCTCAACTTCACTATCAAATGTCATCATCTGCACACCATTGTTTGCAGCATGCTTAATTTGAGAGACTTGCTTGCATGGATTTGCATATATTATACGCTCTGGAGGCACACCAACACTCTGGACCAGCTGTATTTCAGTCTGGAAAAAAATCCATTTTTTTAGTTTGCACATTAGTTACTAGAAATGGTTTCTCTGGAAATAAGACAATTTAAATCAAAGGCAGACATATTTTCATTTCTAATACACAGTTGTTTAATCAAAACATTTAAAAGCAGTCACTTACTTTACTGGCACAATCAAATCCTGCCCCAAGAGCAGCCAGAGTTTTCACTAGAGCTATGCTATCATTACATTTGACGGCATAGAAAGGAGATACCCTAGGGAGGGCCTTGTACCACCGCAAATGTTTTTTGAGAACATCCCCAAGGTCAGCAACATAGAATGCATCTTTATCATCCTGGAAACAAAGAAAACATTCATCTGTCAATATGCAGTTGCCTACTAGTGTATATTACAATAGCAACAACCCTACATTTAGTATAAAGCATTTTAAAAAAATATTCAATCTATCTACCATACTCACCGAGGAAGAAACTTCATTTATTTTTTGGTCTAGGATATCCTTTGCAGTAAAGCCTTCGTCAAGGAAAGAAAAATTGAATTCCTCACCACAGAAGTCATTCATCTTGCTTGATGTTGTTATACCAAAGTGATTTTCAGTGAAAAACTGCAAAGACACAGGAAAGAGTTTATTAGTTCTCCCACCCGTCACAGTGAGACAAGGGGAATGGAAAATACAGTGGTACGTCGGGTTAAGAACTTAATTCATTCTGGAGGTCCGTTCTTAACCTGAAACTGTTCTTAACCTGAGGTACCACTTAATTTGTTCTAGAGGTCCGTTCTTAACCTGAAACTGTTCTTAACCTGAGGCACCACTTTAGGGAGTGGGGCTCCCCGCAGTCACCGTGCGATTTCTGTTCTTATCCTGAAGCATGGTTCTTAACCCGAGGTACTATTTCTGGGTTAGCGGAGTCTTAACCTGAAGCACCTGTAACCCGAGGTACCACGGTACAGCAACTTAAAAAGCCATCTCTCAAAGTTCAAGGTGCAATTTTGAAGGCAACTACTTTTAGTTGTGCTCCAAGGAAGTCTCTCCAGGAAAGAAAGATCCTGAAACAGGAAAGTAACCTTTATGCTCCCTAAGCAATTTTCATATCAGTTACATGAACTGTTCTGGATTATAAAAGGCTTTTAGGCATCAACATTTATGCCAAAATGTGTCTTTTAAAGAAATTGGACCTAGGAGCTTCCTGAGTAAACCAGTACCAAAAGACAAACAAACTTTCTTGCAGTGAACATTGAGATTAGAAGAGGCAAACAACAGAAGACGGACAGAGCTTCCTGTGTTTGTTTCTGTTTTACTCATAAAAGAAGAAGTCTGTCTACAGGTGCATATAGTTGCTACAATTTAAGTGTCCATTTTCTTCCACAGCTTTCCGAAAACTCAAGTTCTCCATGGAGTTTAATTAAGCTACTACAAAATGTCAAGTGAGTTGTCACACTTGAGAATTTCATGTAGTATTGCTTTGACTCAAGTAAAAGGGGGAGCCTAGAGTACGGAAAAAGCATAAGTATTTGTGAGGAATTGCAAATACAACTGCCAAATACACAGTCCATGCTGGTCACTCACAAGGAGTTTAAATATACTCCTGGCGGGAGCCCAGACAAGTGGGGGGGGGAACTGGTTGGCAGAAAAATGGAGGAGAGAAGGCACTCTGCAGTAGCTGGTAGCTACAGATTAAGGGCCAAGAACCAGCAGCTGTGTACACAAAATTTGTATAACATTAGAGAAAACAGCCTGTTTCTTTGCTCTAATATCACTACAGATTTAAGGCTGAAATCCTTGGAGTAAGTTCCATTAAAGACAGTGGGAACATGCTGCCTATACTGTAATTCTGCTGTCACTCCAAGTGAATAACAGCACACATTTTCACACAACTTGGTGATAAAAAGCTGAATTATGGCATTAAACAGCTTGACCCACTCTGGTTTGGCTTGATGCCAGACTCCTGCATGAATGCCTGCAGGGCATAATGTCAAAACATTCCTGCCACCTCCAGGCCCTTAACAGTAAAACAATTGGCAGATGTAGAGATCCTAGGGGAATGAATGGCATAATGAAGGCATAATGGAATGAAGGCAGCTAATGCAACATAGAAACAATCTGCTGTTGTGCTAGGACAATCTCTGCAGTTCTGCAGTCCAACTTGCTTCAAAGACAGACAAGAAACAATTTGTGCTTGAATTCACTGGCACATTCCACCATGCCTTTTGTAAACAGCCACAGGAAACAGAGAACAGTGATGTAAAAGTTTTAGAGACTTAAATATAAATAAAATTCACAAGGTGATATCAATTTTTATATTTAATAAGCATTTAATATGCATTGATTTTGATTATGTAATTAATAATCTTTTATTCTTTCATTATAAGTTGCTGAGGGAGGATCTACAATTCTGAAAAACAGCATAAAAATAATTTAAACAGAGCAAAATGTACAGGCCTGAAATTTAACTCAAATTTCAATTTATTATCAAGGAACAACAAGATGGATGCCATTAAAATGACTAACTGTGTTTGAATTCATAATTTGCATTCAGTTCAGTCTACTTTCCATCTCTGAAATCACCATTAAAAGATTGGGAGGGAAAGAACAGATGAGAAAATGTCTGAGATGTCACTAATGTGGTACATTACAGCCTGCACAAATGATTTTAGAACACAAGATTTGAAAATACACTGTGCTTTTCCAATGTTTGACCCATATTTTGAAAGTGTATCTTAGCAACCAACTTAGTATGTTGAAAAGCAGTAATTTTACTGAAGGAGCAAGGTAAGCAATTTTTTTTTAGTATGTCCCTACTGGCTCAATCTTTTTATGCCCTTTCATCAATTATACAATATGTTTTATAGCCTTATGCTTATGCTCCACTAATAACGTTGAACCTTGGGCATAACTGGAAGCTATTTCACTAATACCAATGGCCTTCCAATTGTATAACAATAGAATCTGAACTCTTAAATTCCTATGGTGGGCAAACCCATAGTAAACTGAATGTATCTTTTTGCTATAGATCCTGCTTAAGAAATATAAATCAACAGAAATTCAGGAGTGCATGTTCACATGCCACTTCAAATTCCACAGAAGCAAACCCTGTGCATAAAACTTTCCAAATAAATCCATACATCATTTTATGGAGAATTCTTCCAAGTAACCTATACACAATAGTATCATTTATACTTGTTCAACAGCTTTAAGTAACAGCATACACATTTTAGTTTAATCACTAACTGTTCCTAGGATTGTAGCAGTCACTATTTACCACTATCAAGATGGCAAAGAGTCCCTTCTTTGGAACAGAGAAGGAAGGCCAGCCCATAAGCTTTACTGGCTCGCATTTGAAAAATGCTGTTTACTCTTAAGCACCAGACATAACAAGCCATCTCCTTCCCAGCACTCAACTTCAGCTGTACACCCCGCAGACAATTCCTACAACCCAAGCAGCTCCTCCTCCCTCTTGCCTTAAACATATGTCTAGCTGTCACTACTTTGCCAGAACCACTCGCAAATTCTGTTGAGGAGGGTCAGGCTTTGTCTTTTGTATGTGTGGCAGCCAAGAATGACTAAGTGCTACCTCTCTCCTCCTCCCCTAACTGATAAGGTAACTGTGGCAGGGTGAAGCACACACCAGCTCCAACATGTGAAGGGGGTGGAGCAGAGAGATCAAGAAGAATAGAGCCGCATCTGCAGTCGCCTTTTATATTGCAGGGGGGTGGGGAGAGAGAGAGAATGAGAATGGGTTGGCCCAAGTCTGGGGCTCTGTAACCCAGTTCAAACTGACTTCTTGAAACCATGCCATCATTAATGCTAGCTTTCAGGACAGACCCATGCAACAAACCAGCTTCTCAACCTCCACCCCAGACCCCACCTGAACGGCAGCTGCTCAGGCTAGCACCTACCCCTATTAATATTTCCATTTCCAAAGGTTTCTCTCACCCCATTATCCCCACTACCCCCTCGAACCAGTGCTGAACTATCATACTGCAGTGAGACCGAAGAGGAAAAAGCACTGCAGTATTTCCTCTCTCCCTCCCTACCTGGCACAAATAAGGAATAAGAGCCCGCAGTTCCGTATACACACCGTCTCCCCACAAGGCCAACCTCGGAATGGTAGTTACCCTACCAGGAACAGTAAGTCATCCTCTTTACCGCAACGACAATCAAGGATATTAGGGAGATGGGGGGGGGGAAGAGACACGCAAAAGGGGGGGGGGTTTAAAGTGGAACTTCCAATACGTTACTAATCTCACCGGGGTGGGTAGTGGAGCAAGTTAAAAAAAATATGGGGTGGGAGAGAAAAGAAATACTTTAAAGCCAGCTTAGGATCTCAACGGGACGAATCTGCTAATAAAGTTAATTAGGAGACGGCCATTATGTACCGGGGGCGCGCGGAATTGGGGGATCGTTCTTAATTAAATGTGCGTGCGGGCAAGTATTAAGCCCCATGACGAATATTACTACTACTAATAATAATTACTAATAATCATCATAATAATCACCCAAGCCCCTATTTATGGGAGCGCGGTGGGCTACGCCACGTTGTTTCGCCAAAATCCTCCACATTCACCCCTCGATTCGGCCCCACGCGGACCCCCCTTCCTCCGCCATCTACAGGGCGGCCCGGCCTGCTCGGCGGCTGCTCTTCCGCCCACCCCACCATCCACGTGGCCGGCTTGTCTGCTTAGGCCGGCCTTACCTCAGACTGCGGCGGCGGCGGCGGCGGTTTCTTGTCCTTCAGCAGCAGCAGCCTCTCCTACCCTGCGCGGCAGCCGGTGGCGGGGGGACGACGACGGGCGGGTCGAGTCTACCCAGTCGCACCCTGCGGGACTTGGGGGAAGAACCGGCCGCTGTGGAGGAGAGAAGGAGCCGGAGCCCGCTCGCCCGCCGCGCAGGATAGCGGCTGCTGCTGCTGCTTCCGTGGCCGCCTCACTGACAAAGCCCCGCCAGCCCCGCAGAGCCTGTATTTATAGGCCCGGCGGTGTCGCCATGACGACGCACCAGCTCAAACCAGCCGCGTTCGGCTGCGACCGGGCCAAAGGCATTCGCCAACCGCTATTATGACGTCAGGCAAGAGGTGGCGAAGGCGAGCGTGGCATGCCAAGAGACATGCGGCCGTCATCCCCGCCCATCTTCAAAGAGGAGGGGAAAGTGTAGGCGGGGCGGGGGGGGGGAAGGAAAGCTTCACTTCCACGTTCGCATTCTAATCCTTCATATGCGGTGCAAGAGTAGTGGGAGGATCAACATACAGTATAAGGATCAGTGTAGACGTTTAAATTAATGTATTAATGAAATGCTAATAATATTTTTCCACATACACACACTATGTTTCATTTATAGCCTACTTTTGTTACTGCAAGCAGCCCCCCCCCTCCGCAGCTGTGTAAAGGAGGGCAGTTGAAATCTTTTAAATACAGTGCTGTCAATAAAATAAGGAAAGGCACTGAGTGCCATTCTTGGGCCATTAAGTTCAATCAGGGTAAGTCATAGCTGTCAACCTTCCCTTTTTTTGCGGGAAAGTCCCTTATTCCAGTGCCGTTTCCTGCTATCCCGGATTGTTAGATATCCCGTAGACTGTCCCCGGGACAGGTGAGGCTGCTGATCCCTTATTTTCAAATCTGAAAGTTGACAGCTATGGGGTAAGTAGTGTCCAGCTGGCAACATGATTAAAACAACACACCACTTCTTACTTGGGATTCTACTGTTTGTAAGAGGGACAGTTACAGTGGTACCTCAGGTTAAGTACTTAATTCGTTCCTGAGGTCCGTTCTTAACCTTAAACTGTTCTTAACCTGAAGCACCACTTTAGTTAATGGGGCCTCCTGCTGCCACCGCGCGGCTGGAGCACGATTTCTGTTCTCATCCTGAAGTAAAGTTCTTAACCCGAGGAACTATTTCTGGGTTAGTGGAGTCTGTAACCTGAAGCATATGTAACCTGAGGTACCACTGTACAAAGGAGAAAGAACAGGGGTGGCGCTGTGGGTTAAACCACAGAGCCTAGGGCTTGCTGATCAGAAGGTCGGCGGTTCAAATCCCCGCAACGGGGTGAGCTCCTGTTGCTCAGTCCCTGCTCCTGCCAACCTAGCAGTTTGAAAGCACATCAACATGCAAGTAGATCGATAGGTACCACTCTGGTGGGAAGGTAAACGGCGTTTCCGTGCGCTGCTCTGGTTCGCCAGAAGCGGCTTCGTCATGCTGGCCACATGACCCGGAAGCTGCACTCCGGGTCCCTCGGCCAATAAAGTGAGATGAGCACCACAACCCCAGAGTTGGTCACGACTGGACCGAATAGTCAGGGATCCCTTTACCTTTACCTTTAGAAAAGGGGACTTAGCTGGATAATGGCAGAAGAGGCAGAAATTTGACTGGTAGCTGGGCTGCATGTGCTGCATGTGCTGGGCTGCATTTTCTCACTAACATAATACACAGCCTAGAACAGCACAGAAGTCCGCCTCCTTCTCCAAATTTAAAGCCTATATAGTTTTTGTGGGGGGAAATATATGATCCTGTTTGTGGGGCAAATAACAAAGGAATTGATTGGATGCCTTCTGGAGCCACCCTACACAATTCTACCACCTGCCTTTCTCCTCCTTAGTAATAATTCAAGCTGCTGCCAGCGCCATATTTAGGGCGGTGTGGCAGTTCCCCACACAGGTAAAATGGTAAAGGACCCCTGGACTGTTAAGTCCAATCAAAGGCAACTATGGGGTGTGGCGCTCATCTTGCTTTCAGGCCGAGGGAGCCAGCATTTGTCCACAGACAGCTTTCCGGGTCGTGTGACCATCATGACTAAATAGCTATTGGCGCAAGGAGGACCGTGACGAGTGCCAGAGCGCATGGAAACGCCATTTACCTTCCCGCCGCAATGGTACCTACTAATCTGCTCTTGCTGGTATGCTTTTGAACTGCTAGGTTGGCATAACCCTGCACAGGTCACCAAGCTGACAGGTGCAAAATTGAGAAGATCCATAACTCTGAAGATCCATTTGGGGGTGCAAAATTTGGGCCTCACAGCAGATTCCATATTATGAAAGATTACACATGTCGACCCCTGCTGTTGCCCTTCCTATGACTTTTACATTTCTACAACCCAAGAAGAATATAGTATTTCAACACAGTTTTGAATGTGTTTGTGCAACAGCCTCCTTTCAGCTTCCTCAGTTACAAGGTTAGTCATGCTCCAAATGCAGGAAACAGGGTCATTGATTTGGGCCTAAAGCAAAGCCAACCACTTCAAGCTAAAATTGGCAGGAGGAGGAGTTGATGGACTTTGAAGAATCTGCGCTCTCTGTCTTTTTTAGACTTACTGTATATATAGCCTTGGCCTGAAGTCAGGCTTTGAACAAGAAATTCTCCAGATCATTGTGGACGATATACTGTGTTTTATCGTCCTCACCTAAGATGCTGGTTGATTTCTAAGAAGAGTTACATAGAATTCTTTTTTAAGAATAATTTTTAAAAAATTGTACCAGAGAAAGCATTCTGTGCAAACATTGGTGTCGCATTCCACAGAGTTACAAATAATAATTTCTTCAGACAGGAAATTTTAAAAGGCTTCTGTGTAACTTGAAAGCTCACAAGACTGCTAACATATTATTTGTCTAAGCGCCAAGGTTGCAGGTTTGATCTCTGTATGGGACAGCTGCATATTCCTGCATTGCAGGGGACTGGACTGGATGATTCTCAGGGTCCTTTCCAATTCTACAGTTCTACAATTCAATGATTCTACGAAAGCAGCACTTTTTCTGGAGGTACTCAACGATATGCAGTACTGGCACCTCCCCCCCCCCCCCGCCTATGTTAAAAGTGTGGCACTTACAGTAACAAATTCATGGTGAGTACCAGCACCTTTTTAAAAAAAGAAGAAGAAAAAAGCACTGTATAAAAGTGCATCTGAAGCACTAAACAGAAATTTGGTTTTGGGCCTTGCAGTATCTCCACCGACTTTCCAGAGGCAATGTGATCAGACAATACAGATCTGCTGTCTACCCACGACTCACATGCATACCCATGAAATTCAAGGCATATATATATATATATATATATATATATATATATAATGGATCCAACATTTCATGATGCTTCTACCGTACGAAAACATAGATGGAGAGGATTTCACCGTGAAAATCAGATGTAGTGTTTCATGGTACTGTGGTGGATCAAAAATTAAGACCCGAGGCGCAGAGCTCCATTGTTTTTATAGTCAAGCCAAACAAATCCAGTTTCTAATCATAGAACACATCAGATGTGGGCTTGCGCACCCACAGTACAGTGGGCCTCTTATTTTCACCAGGCAGTCTGGGGGCACGGATGCAAGTGATGACTAGATGATGCATTTGAAGCATCCTATTATAAGCGTGAGGATCTACATGCGTTTCCTACTTTAAATATATCTAGGTTTACGTGCCATGGCAGGCCACAATTTAATCTATCTGTGATTCCCATGAAGCAAGAGGAACTGCGATTAGCTGGCGAGTGTCCTCAGGGTTTGCGTTCTCCTAGTAGAACTCAGCAAGTGGTAGGATTGAGACAAAACCTGAATGAATTGGCTCTACCTGTCATTCACTCTGGCCCCTGCCTACTGTTGGTCTACCTGCCTTTCCGCCCTACCAGTCCCAAAGACACTAGCCACTGTGGAACTCTCCCCCCTATGAAACAATGTTTGTCAGCCATTTTTCTCCCCATGAGGCTGGGTGATCAGAAATAATCGCCACTGGCGTGGGTGGAAAAGATAAGAAAATGAGTCCTAGGAAGGTGGGTGAGTGTGGACTGAACCCGCCCTGCTACCCATTCTGCTTTACAATCCTCACAACAGAGGATGGCCACTTGCAGCCTGAATCAAGCCTTTTGAACTCTGTGACTGGAACCAAAACATCCTCTTTGAGGCAACGAAGCAAGTCCAGCTAATGAGAAAACTGGCACGGAGATCCAAATTTGATGAAGTTATCTTTCCTGTAAATTTCTGGCTCTTAGAAGTAGTCTAAGTAACACGAAATGCACAAATGCAGCCCAGTGTGTTTAATTCCCGTTTTACCATTTGTAGTGACTGGATTTCCCAGAAGTAGAATTAAAATGGGGGTCTGAGCAGGAGAGTGGTGCAGGTTGCATGGAGTCCTGGTTATCAGTTGCCCTTTGTGTGCCTTTCCAGTGCTACCTGATCCACCCCTTCATTACAGAGGAGTTTCAGAGGACAGGCTGCTTCTTTGTTAGGCGAGACGAGAGGCAACGCAGGTGAGACACATATTACTGGCCCAGTTCCTTTGGCAAAAGTTGTGTCGAACATCCTCATGTGGAGCAGTCCGCACAGGAATTCAGTGTGTCACGTAACACTTTTGGAAAGAACTTTCTTACCAATTTATTCCTTTAGTCCATCTGTATCTGATCCCATCCATCCTCCGAGAATCTCACAGCAGCATACACTGATCCTCTCTCCCCACCCCGCTGCCGCTGCCTTGCTTTATCCTCACAACTCTGTGTGGTAGGTTAGGCTGAGAAATTGTACCAACTTGCCCAGGGTTACCCAGCCATGGCTGGGGGGGGGGGCGGTTGAACTTGACTCTTGCTTTAACCTCTGCACCACACAGGAACTGTTAGGTACAGAGTTGGTGTAGTGTAGGGACTAGGAGTATGAAGAATATCTCTGCTTCGAATCTCACTCAGCTATTGTTGGTTATGATTGGTTTGAAGAAGAATTCCCTGGATCCAGACGTGGGGCATGCACTCTCCAATAAGAGAGCTCAAGCAGAAGTTTAAAATCACAAGACATGCAGCGAAGTAAAGTGTGGAAATATAGTCTGCTACTAACATGAGTTTGATCAAACTGCAGGAGGCAGTGGAAGACAGGAGTGCCTGGCGTGCTCTGGTCCATGGGGTCACGAAGAGTCAGACACGACTAAACGACTAAACAACAACAAATACCTTTAAAAATCCAGTTTTTAGAATCATAGAATCGTAGAGTGGGAAGGGACCTTGAGGGTCATCTAGTCCAACCCTCTGTAATGCAGGAATATGCAGCTGGCCCATATGGGGATCGAACCCATGACCTTGGAATTATCAGCACCATGCTCTACCCACCGGAGCCACCTTCTTTAAAGTCTCTTTCAAAGCAACTTTAGCATAGAAAAAACTGAATAGTTTGGTAAGTTAAAAAAAATGGTTTACTTTCAAACCTTTGAAAGGTCACATTCATGTACTTTTTCCTACAGCAGCAAGAAAACACAGGCAAAAAAGGTTAGTCATGTTTCTAAATACACAGTCTGGGCTTGGAGTGATTAGCCCAGATGTCTTCTCTGATCAGATTCACATGGTGGAAGAGAGCACTGCTAATGCAGTGGTTTGACTTCACCCCTGGAGGAGCACTCCATTGTCTCTCGAGACAAGATGGATGCCAAAAATGTCCTCAGGTAAGATCTCTCAGCCTGAGTTCTCTCCCCCATATCTGCAATAAGTCAGTAATTCCAATCTGCTCCACAAGATTGTTGTTGCTGGGACAAAGTATGAGAAGAGTGTCAAACAAATTGCCATTGTTTGCTATTTAGTTACTTCTCTTTTTTCAAAAAGGAAATACCTGGCTCTGTGCATATTGCAGTGAGGAACGTCAGGCAGCTGCCATTTTAAATACACTCCCTAGGGAAAGCGTGTCCATCAAACATAGTGGGAGTTGCTTCTGACTAAACATGTATGGGGTTGCCCTTTCTGTTTTAAAGTGCTCAGATCCATCCAGAAACAAATATTTATTCCACTAACCTCATGTGCTTTCCATAAAGTTTTGAAACCTGGTTGTTGGGTTTTTTTCCATTCCCTTTGAAACAAATGCAATTTTTGGTGTCTGAAAGTCAAAGCTGCCAGAGGGTGACTGGAAGTCTGTAAGAGATCAAATAACAGACAGGTGACTGAATCTGAAGCAGAAATTTTCATTGATGGGGGGGCGACCCAGCTGCTTCACCTTTCCCCTTTTGCTGTGTTTCCAGTCACAATTGCCTCCCCGCTTTCTTTTGCCCATGGGGAAAAATATATACAGCTTCCAGAGAGCTGCTGTTTTCGGATTGTATACACACTCTTTAAAGTACATGTCAAAGCACATTCTCGCCTCCAAAGTATTCTGGGCACCGTACTTTACTCCTCCAATTTCCATAAACTGCTAACAAACTACAGTGACCAGAATTCTTTGAGAGGGAAATGTGCTTTGAAGCTGTGTAGTGTGCACACAGCCACATACTGGCAAATTAAGGTCACGCAATTAAAGTTGATTTGGTGCACAAGGTACACCTCCTTTCCCCAAAATCAGACGTTTCGTGATAAGGAAAGTCTCAAGAAAATGCTCTAGAAAGCCTGGAATATCAAGTATCACCTCCTTGCAAACACTTCAGAATGGATGCTCGATAAACAGTTGCCTCACCTCTCCCCAGACTTTGAGCATACGAAACAGGATGACTACTCAATAAATAGGTCACCTGGAAATGTCCTGTATCTTCTGAGAAAAGATGCACAGGTTTGACTTGGTATGATGATGAGGAGGAGGAGAAAGGTAATAAACAGCTTTATGAAGTATGACATGCAACATTTTATGCAGCGTCATGGGGACATGGATGTAGATGTTTGCTTGTTTGTTTTTCAAAAAACATTTTCACAGTGAGAATTCCCCTACCCCTAACTGGATTGGAGTTGTTTTGAACAGATGTACTTAGTTACCCATCTTATTTACTCATCTTGTTTTAAACCAGTGGAGGTTTTGTGGGTGGGAAAACAAGGGTTCCCAGCCCATCTTAATTTGGTGATTTACAGCACAGCACACTTTGAAGCAAAACCCAGTAGCTGATCTTGGGTGATTAACAACTACGAATGAATATTTCCATCTCTATAGTCTTCTAGGATGCAGGTGGCGCTGTGGGTTAAACCACTGTGCTGCTTGGGCTTGCCGATCGAAAGGCCGTGGTTCAAATCCCCACAACAGGGTGAGCTCCCGTTGTTCGGTCCCAGCTCCTGCCAACCTAGCTGTTCGAAAGCACACAGTGCAAGTAGATAAATAGGTACCGCTCTGGCGGGAAGCTAAACAGCGTTTCCGTGTGCTGCTCTGGTTTCACTAGAAGCGGCTTAGTCATGCTGGCCACATGACCCGGAAAAACTGTCTGCGGACAAACACCGGCTCCCTTGGCCTTTAAAGCGAGATGAGCGCTACAACCCCAGAGTCGTTCGCGACTGGACTTAATTGTCAGGGGTCCCTTTACCTTTATAGTCTTCTATTGTAGGAAGTTTTTTTTTTAAGTTGATTAAAAAATATTGTAGTTCAGAGGACTTTATAAAATTCTGATTGATTCAACTCCCCCACACCTCTGCAAAGATGAATAAGCAGGGATTATTAAGGAGAGACGTTTGAGGCTACCGTACTTTCTATAGCTTTGCATTTCCCTCTCCTTTATTTGTCAAGATTGATTCAGCGCTTTACATTTCACATGTGTAGTCCTGTCGTAAGGCAGGCTCTTTCTCCTCATTTCAAAGCAAGCTTGAAAGATGCACTGAAGGAGCTCAAGCTGCACATACTTGTTGATAAAGGGCTCTAGGTAGGTATGTTGCTGACATCATTTCCTATTATCACCATCAGAGGGTTCGCAATAGCACAAAGCTTTTGCCATGGCAACTGCCTTGCGATATGATGAACCTTTGTCTCGTGATGTAGGAAATTGTTGTCAACTGATTTTTTGTTTTGTTTTGTTCTGATGTTATAAGGAGGTGGCATGCATCAGATGGTAGAAGACTCTCGTATAGCAAAATAGATGAGGGGGGAAATCTAGGACAGAATAAATATGACTCCCAAGCTGTCCTGAAATCATACTGAATGCTGGACGGGGGTATAAATAATAAATTATTATTATTATTATTATTATTGTTATTATTATTACTGTGTGTTGTTTGTATCATGAAGTACAGCATTATTCTAGAGCTCAAGCAACAGGTAAACTTGTGTCTAGAAACCCCAAAAGGGCATGTGGATCAGAATTAGATTTGATTCAGAATGTTATGGAACAGGGCTTTGAGGCTTCAGGCTCCATCCTGATTGGAAGGGGCTGAAATGCCCCGATATTTTCCCCCAAAGAGGATTTTTCCACCAGATTTCTGTAAGTTCTTCTCAATGGGTGTCTTCTTCTTTGGCGATTACTCGTAGCCGAGTAAGATTGTCTTCCATAAACACGGTTTTAACAGTGAGTCCGTAAGTGACTGTGGAGGCCAATTCTGGAAGCTTCACAAGGTCGTTTTCAATAGCGAAGCCTACCCCATGTATTCGATGTTCTTGTTCAGATAGACCTTTCCAGAAGAATGTGTAGCCTCCTTTTTCTTCCTTCAGTTGTCCCTCGCCCGCTCTTCAAGTCTCTTGAAGCGCTGCAATATCGATGTTAAAACGTTGCAGCTCTCTTGCAATGGGTGTATCACATTTCCAGTCAGTGTGGTATTTTCCACACAGGACTTCCTTACCGGTGTCCAGTTTGTTGCTGTTTATTAAATAGAATTTTCCCTACACTCAATAATTCAATTTAACTCCCCCACCCCTCCACACACAAAAAATAAGAGAATCAATTATGGTGCTTATATATACAACTGCAAGTTCAGAGCACTATGAAGCCTACAAAAAGGCCTTACGCACTAGCAGACTACCGTATTTTTCATTCCATAGGACGCTCCGTCCGATAGGACGCACCTACTTTTTTGGGGGGGAAATAAAGGGAAAAATTTTTTCCTTTATTTCCCCCTCAAAACCAGGTCGGGGAACAGTGGGATGGCGGCGCTGCGCCTCCCCGCTGTCCCCCGAGCTTGTGGGGCTGGCCAATGTCTGCCCGGCGCGAGGGACGCTCAGCTTCAGGGCGCCCCGCGTGTCGGGCGGCAGGCTGCTCCCCGCGCTGCGGATGTCTGCCCGGCGCGATGGGTGCTCTGCTTCAGGGCGCCCCACGCACCTGGCGGCAGGCTGCGGACACCTGCGCGAAGCACGGGGCGTCCTCCGGACAGCGCCCCGTGCTCCGCGCTGCAGGCTGCCACCCGCAAGCCTTGCGCTCCCGGGGGGAGTTCCCCCCAGTGCGCAAGGCTTGCTGACACCTGCGTGAAGCACAGGGCGTCCTCCAGAGGGCGCCCCGTGCTCCGCGCTGCAGGCTGCCGCCCGCAAGCCGTGCGCGCCCGGGGGGGATCTCCCCCTGGGCGTGCAAGGCTTGCGGACACCTGCGCAAAGCACGGGGCGTCCTCTGGAGGGCGCCCCGTGCTCCGCACTGCAGGCTGCCGCCCGCAAGCCTTGCATGCCCGGGGGGAGTTCCCCTGGGCCCGCAAGGCTTGCGTACACCTGCGTGAAGCACAGGGCATCCTCCAGAGGGCGCCCCGTGCTCCACGCTGCAGGCTGCCGCCTGCAAGCCTTGCGCGCCCGGGGCTTCCAGGCTTCAGGGAAAGCCTGCATTCGCCCCATAGGACGCACACACATTTCCCCTTCATTTTTGGAGGGGAAAAAGTGCGTCCTATAGGGCGAAAAATACGGTAACTTCCTTCACAGAAAAAGCAAAGGTTGTTTTTAGGCCCATGAGAATAATTGCAAAATCCACAGTTGGGCAATACTCAGACGTCTTGGGTGTTCTCACTTCCATTTCTTTAAATGAAAATCTTAGGCATTTTTGCACTACAAAACGTGGCATAAAGAAAGAGAGAGAGAGATTTGTGCTGACATCTGAAACTCCTGTAGGACAAGGCGTGAGCACAAGCGTAAATATTGTGGCCACAAGGCCCTTGACAGTATACATCTCATCCACCGGAACACCCAAGGTTTGTTCTTAATTTCCTTAACAGTAATTCCCAGTGCTGACATATCAAATTACTTTTACTTTAAAAAGCAGGTCAATGGTTTAGTAGTGAGAGCAGCTGAGGTGAACATTTGAAGGAAGCAGGAGCAAGTTAGCACATGGTAAGCTATTGCTTATACAACAGGCTTCTCCGGAACATATCTATGTACGTCAAAGCAAATATCACTAGTTTCAGTATAACTTGCTTCTAAGGAAAGGTTTGTCACATTACCAAAAGTCCACCATTCACACCCTAAACAGACAGGTGTGTGGTGGAAGTATCAGGGAATGAGTTTTCCGGACAGTCAGTGTGCTAGATTCACTTCAGGTGATCCTGTGTAAAGGGTGATTTTTGTTCCAAGTGGATCACCCCAAATCCTATTTATTTTGTAGTCTGTGACTGTAGGTACACTTTCAACATTATCTGGGCATGAATTCACCATTACTAGGCATTTATTATTTTTATCTTGAAACGAGCTCATACTGCTGAAGTTTTGCCAGGGCTCCAAATCAATTTTTATTGCATAACCTGAGTTTTACCCATATATGAATAAATCCCACCTGAAAATAGCAACAGTCTGGAACAACAACAACAACAATTTTATTATTTATACCCTGCCCATCTGGCTGGGTTTCCCCAGCCACTCTGGGAGGCTTACAACATATCTAAAAACATAATAAAAACACCAATCCTTAAAAATGTCCCTAAACGGGGCTGCCTTCAGATGTCTTCTAAAATCTGGTAGTTGTTTATTTCCTTGACATCTGAAGAGAGGGTGTTTCACAGGGAGGGTGCCACTACTGAGAAGGCCCTTTGCCTGGAGCAGCCATTACTTTCAAGTAAAGATTAGTTGCTTGTGCATTAAAAATGAGGTTCTTGTGGATAGTAGATAGCAATTTAATAACTCCAAAACTGGGGCAGTGGGTTTTTCTTTTGAACTACTTTGTTTCCAGAGCATTAATCAGCAGTACTCCCATCAAACAGTGGTCATGATACAACTTTGCAGTTTCTGGTCTTCTGTTACCTTGATAGCTATATGGAGCTTTGTGCTTAATATAGTTCAGGGGTCAGCAAACTTTTTCAGCAGGGGGCCGGTCCACTGTCCCTCAGACCTTGTGGGGGGCTGGACTATTTTTTTATTTTTAAGAACGAATTCCTATGCCCCACAAATAACCCAGAGCTGCATTTTAAATAAAAGCACACATTCAACTCATGTAAAAACACGCCGATTCCCAGGTGGATTTAGAAGGCGATTGGGCCAGATCCGGCCCCAGGCCTTAGTTTGCCTACCCATGATATAGTTGTTCCCCATAACGCACAAGTTGTGTGCTTCAGGTTTGCATTCAAAGAGATGCACACTTTTTCCTCCTTACACCAATTTATTAACTTACATTTAGCCACTCTTTTTCCTTTTTTAAATCTCTTCCTACACTTCCACAGACATGCCCCAATTTTTAATCGTGTAAAATGTTTGCGGGCACATTCTATGCAAGGGGAGCTACACCTTCCAAGAAAGAGAATGAAGACGCACATGCACAGATTGCACAAAGGTTCAAGGCCATTACTGTTGGGAGAAGGGTGGTTTAATTGTGGCAGTGCTATACCAAATCCCATGTGCCTGCTATGACGGTGGACAGCAAAATGAGGGCAGGTTTCGCCCAAGACAGAAAGATCTCACCTGGCACAGAAAGGTGAAAAATATACCTTGTCAGCAAGAAGTGCCCTTCAGCATGCGTACGTCTGGAACTTAACACACCCAAGGTACGCATAGACCTGCTGAATGACACACACCCAAGAGCGTCAAACACAGCTTATTAACTTATTTAATGGTGCCCATAACTTTTGAAAATAGAAGACATTAACAGGCTATTAATTCATGCGAGCAAATGGTCATAAAATAAAAAGAGACTATAAATATAAAAGCCTGTCATTAAATGCAAATGAACTCATAAATAATAAAAGACAGAGATACTGGTGAAACCTGAGCTCGGGTCAAGAGCCAACGGAGATTAGGTTTCTCTTTTCTTTAGATACCTAGTTTCACTTCACAGTCTGTGCAGTACCTATACTTGAATGACATAAGGATGAAAAAAGAGCTTCGCTAGATCAGCCCAACAATCTGTCTAGCGCAGTCTCCTGTTTATAACAGTGGGAGCCCAATTCCCCTGGGAAATTTCACAAGCAGAGCGTGAATAACAGTTGCATGAGCTAATTTGCTAGATGTGACTGCAATCCAGTGAGGCATCCATATGTATGTGCAGGTAGGGCCTTCCCCGTTCCCTGCTATGGAAATGAAAAATGTCCAAGGACTCAAAAAGCTTTGGATGGCATAACTGCCCCTACTATCTCCATTATATGTGCAGTCACTGATTTCCACCACCACCTCCAAGAGCATTCCAAATTGGAAGAGGTTATGATGTTTCCCGATCACTTCCACTCATTATTGACTTGTGAAGGATCAAAGACATGCAAAATCATCCACATCACCTGTTGCTATAAATTATTTAGACGACAACTGGATTCATTCCATTGGCAGAAATCTTGCACTCTTCTCCTTCACTGGTTAAATGGGCAGAGCATCCTCAAATGATTGGCTGGCGCTGTTCAGAAAATTGTTGTCCTATATCCATGAGCTGAACCAAGCTTAGCATACTTAAGGGCCAGTTCCTAACATCTCAAATGTGGAAATAACTGCACAAGAGATAGATCTCTGGGTTTATGCATCTCTAGCGTACGTCTGACATAATGTGATATGACAAGTGGACCCCAGGTATTATCTGAAGGCAAAGGAGCCTATCACTTTGCTAAAAGTTAAGCAGGTTTGAGCTTGGTCAGTGCTTGGATGAGAGACCTCCTGGGACAGGATCCAGTCCCATGGCAGAAAAAAGAAAATAAATAAATGTACAATATTTAGAATATCTGTAACGCCGCCATCCTCTTTTGAGAGGGAAGCATTGCTAAAGAGGTCTAGTCATTTGTACAAGCTTAGCCAGGCAGATTTGTTAGAAGTGAGGGGTTTGGCCATAGAAGATCCTCCTAATAGCCAGAGTTCCTTTGGGAAGGGAGCAGGCTTCCCGCAGACTACCGTGCTCCCTGGCTGGAGGTGACGTCATCAAGGTGGCTGTGGTTAAATAAATAATCCAGATAAAAAGCCACTGTAGCCACACCCCTATCCTACAGAATGACGTTTTTAAAGAATTTCTCCTCTTCTTGGCAATATTGCTAAAAATGCTGCTCCATTTTTGTGGCCTGTGAAACTGAGCTGCAAAAGTGGGGCGGCATCTTTGACTCAACACTAACTAGTTGGAACATTTCCACATTAAGGACATGGGAACTTAGGAACAGGGCCTTTTCGGGGATGGTCCCAGCACTGTGGATACACCTCCTTTAGGAACTGGAACCGTGTACTGCACTCCTGATTTTAGATGGCCATGGTCATTTAGGAGAGCCTTTCAGGCACTGAATAATTTCAAGGGAGCGCAGGTAATGCTGAATGGTTTTATTGCTTCTGTTGTGTGTCATTTGAGGCTTTATAAGGGCTTGTTTTTAGTATTGTTCCTCATTCTTTTAATACATCTTGAGACACTAGGAAAAGCAGGGTAGAAATGTTTTAAAGAAATAAATAAATGAAAAACGAAAGGCCAACAAAAAGCCTCACAACAGCCACCTTTATTTTCTTGAACACATCATCCGCTGAAACGGAAATGCTTTGTTGTTTAGTTGCACAGCACTTTGGCACCTGGTAAAAGGAACTGAATTGGCTTTGACTGATCTCTTTGACGGAAAGAAGACCGTAAGCAAATGCAGACTAATAATATACTGGCAGGTGTGTGTGGCTATGTCTTTTTTTTTTTTTTTTAAAGAGTGAGGCTTAGTGAATCACCGATGTCCTAGTTTTAAACTTTTGTAATCAACTGCAAGCTCTCCAGTAATTTTGACTACAGGTGTATGACTCAACACTCCTTCCTAACACACATTATGTAACTCTACACAACAAACTGTACCTTGCTAATCAGTCAGTGTGTATTCAGTGGGTGCCACTGAGATCCCCACAAGACCTACATCTGCTGGCAACTTTACTGCCTTTAGGAGTTCCAAAGGTTGCTTAAGCACTGAGGCAGATACTATAAGTAAAATTGGCATTTTCAGATGCTAAGAAAACTGGTTCAGTCATGGATTCCAGAAACTGGCCCATGATCGAATGCTGCAATCAAGTTTTCCAGTCATCTTTTACCCTAGTCATCCGTTGTGTCCACTATTCATGCAGTTGTATTTCATCCGTTCTTCTGAAGTTTAGCTATCTGTTTCTACAGTGTACCTACTGAATACATTTGTACACACAGATTTCTTATTTTAGTTTGTAGTTTTGTAAACTGCCTTTCAAAAAAACCCCCAAAATTCCTTACAAGGCAAGTCACCAAAAATTAACAGCAATATATGAGGCAACACAATTAAAGACACACAATAACGCTGCAGTCAATAAATAACAGCAGCCAGCACAATAAAACCATAAACACATGAAAGAATGAAGCACCACAATAACATTGGCTGCAATTCCTCATGCAGCTGGGTTTCAACTGTGATGCCATATGCTGGCTTCTGTATAAGTGTGTGTTTCTTATCTCAGCTTTCCTGTTGCAGGCTATGCTATATTAAATTACCCCCCTGATCTCCGTTGTGCTTTTCTTCTCCTCCTCTCATTTAGTGAGATCTCTGAGGGCTTCATTAGAGGTTGGAAGAGATACTCAGAGACGTCACCACACTGTGCCTCTCCCTTTCCTCTTCACTGAGGTAAACTCAGTGTGTGCTGCGATATCCGTACGCACAAACACATTCTTGTGTCTCCCTGTTGGCAGCAGGGATTGCACAGCATCACACAGTGTGAAGATGACACATCTAAAGTTTTCCTATACGTCACTAGATGCCAGGAGCTGGGCAGAGGAGGAAGAGGAGTGGTATAGACTTGCCTCCCCATCCTGACACTTCCAGGGAGGAGGTAGAGGAAGAAAGGATAGATTTACAATAGTGGTTTGCGGGAGGTCACAACTCAGAGGGGGGAAATTGGGAGATAATGGGAGAGGAGGAGCAGGCAGAGCCAGAGCAGCAGCTGGCTGACACATTGTCAATAGAAAGCATTCCAGACCCACCATCTCCCAGAACCTGGCAAACCTTGAAAGTAGGAGAGCAAAGAACTTCAAGATAGAGGGCACTTAAAGGTAAAAGGACCCCTGACCATTAGGTCCAGTTGTGACCGACTCTGGGGTTGTGGCGTTCATCTTGTTTTATTGGCTGAGGGAGCCGGCGTACAGCTTCCGGGTCATGTGGCCAGCATGACTAAGCCGCTTCTGGCGAACCAGAGCAGCACACAGAAACGCTGTTTACCTTCCCGCCGGAGTGGTACCTATTTATCTACTTGTACTTTGACATGCTTTCGAACTGCTAGGTTGGCAGGAGCAGGGACTGAGCAACAGGAGCTCACCCCGTCGCGGGGATTTGAACCGCCAACCTTCTGATCGGCAAGTCCTAGGCTCTGTGGTTTAACCCACAGCACCACCCACGTCCCTAGAGGGCACTTAGCAGCACCCATATGAGGAAGTGGGAGAGAAGGAGGGGTGGAGATTCACTTGGGAGAACGCCATTATCCAAGAGGCTGGGGACTATAGCCTCTCTCTGTAAAGTTTGAAATAAAAAGGGACTGTAAGAAACTTTTCCTTGTCCTTATACTTTCCTGGGCAACTGGCCGGGAGCCACTGACAGCACCCTGACACTAGGGCGGGAGAAGGAGACAGCGTGGCTGTAGCTCCGTGCTTCTTGTAAAATCTGCTCATGGCTAGTGTTACAGAGGGTTGCTCTTGGCATCCCTGGGTAGCTGCTGAGGCCCAAACTCCAACAAGGGGTCCATTGCTGACCTGACTGAGCTCTCTTTTTTGCTGTTGCCACCTGCCCTCTCGAAGTATGAGAGGAGCGAAGTGAAGGAACATTTTCGACCACTGTGTGGACAAAGTGCTGGGCTATATGGGCCTTTGTCCTGATCCTGCAAGCCCTTCTTAAGTTCTCATGTAGAAGCTGCCGCCACTTGTTTTGCCCTCTCCTTCTAGGCAGTGGTCCTAATTGGGCCTATAGGGAGAAGGCATATGTATGGGGCATCGGTAAGTACATAAGCGTATATTCCAACTTCTCCAGAGCCAAAACTGGGAAGCACATTTTTATTTGGGGGCATATATTTTTTCCCCCGTGTGAGATCACAACCCCAAAAAAGTGCTTTTGGGAGGCAAGTGTACAGCAGAACAGCATGCGAGATCATGTCACCCAAAATGGCTGCCACAATCTCACACAAAAAAAATGGGATGTTTTTTCAGGCACTTGGGAGGTATGCATAAATAAAGCCATGCTGGATGAGGCCAGGTGATCACAGGAAGCCCACAAACAGCATTTCCCAAGTGCTCAGGTCCTGCTTTTGGGCTTCCCATAGACCATCTAGTTGGCCACTGTGAGATCAGGATTGCTAAGGAGAATGTTCTGTCAGTGCAAGAATTTCTACTTGTGCTATAAAACATTATTTCCTTCTCTCTCCTGCCTATGGAGACCCCCTTAATGTCTTCTGGGCATGGCATGAGGCCTCTGTGGGGGCATGAGAAGGAGGTAAAGTCCTGTTGCACTAGTGCTAATCTGGGCAAAGATCCCCTATCTGTTACCTTAAATGCCCCTTGCCTCTGCCTCTCCTCCTCCTCCTCCCTTTCATGCCATTTGTTATGTACTGAGTTGAATAGGATCCAAAATGCAGCAGCCTGATTGGTCCTAGAACAATAGGATCCAAAATGCAGGAGTCTGATTGGTCCTAGAACAATAGGATCCAAAATGCAGGAGTCTGATTGGTCCTAGAACAATAGGATTCAGAATGCAGCAGTCTGATTGGTCCTAGAACAATGCAGCAGTATGATTGGTCTGCAGGAGCCACTCAATCCAGCTCCAGGTGGAAGTGAATCCACAACCTGATTGGCCTGCAGGAGAACCCCGGAATTAGCCAATCACATGCAACCCATTGTGTAAATAATGTATATAAAGCAAATATTTTGGGGGAACTTTCATTCCTCACTACTATGAGCTGAATAAAGAGCATGAAATCCATACTCGACTCCGAGTATATTTCACCATTAGTAGCAGTGCTCTCTCTCCTTGGCTTAATTAATGCTGTGCTTTGTGGATTCTCCACACAACTTACTTTATATTTCCTTATGCATGCCACTTCCGCTCTGCTTTGCTCTAAGGAAAGGAGGAGATAGAAAGCCTCACTTGCGTTTGTGGGATATGGCAGGGCTGATTAGGAAACAGAGCTGCTGACCATGGTGTCAGGCATGTCCCGTCCCGTCCCCCCTCTTCCAAAGAAGGGCCTGAGGCAGTCACCACTATTCCACCCTCTCCCAGTGAGGGCGATGCTCTTTCATTGTACTTCTCCAACATCCAGCATTATTGGAAGGAAGTGGTGATTGTGGTGGGTTCATAGAAGACAACGCTGAAGCTCTGACGCACAGACAGATACACACAGACACAAATCCGGATCTAACACTGAATTCTAGAGAAACTACTACAGTGTTCTTTCTTTAGAATGAATGACAGAGAACCCAGCCTATGGTTCCTAGAAATACGGAGCTTCCCGCAGTCCCGCACTTGAAAGAAGTTCAGTTTTACTGATCACATAGAACATACTCAAAGGTAGATAAAAACTACAAAACAGGGGGGAAAGGGCTTGATCATGGGCAGGAATATCATTGTAACAACAGAATTTGACAGAACAAAAAAAGCTGTCACTCCCTGCTTGCTGGCCAGTCTTTCTGGCGGACAACTTCACAGTTTGGATCACAAAAGATGGTTTCTGTGTACTATAGGCACCTCTTTGATGTACCGTAATTTGTATTAGAAAAGGGGGATCAAAAGCTTCCCAAGAAAGAAAGAAAGAGACTTCTAAAATCCAGAGTTCTAAGAAATGATGAAAATAGAAAAAAAAAAGTGGACTATCAATGACACAGCATTACAGTGGTACCTCGGGTTAAGAACTTAATTCGTTCTGGAGGTCCGTTCTTAACCTGAAACTGTTCTTAACCTGAGGTACCACTTTAGCTAATGGGGCCTCCCACTGCCACTGCGAAATTTCTGTGGAAATCCACAAGCTATCCAGGTGCGCTCTGAATAGTCCCTAGCTAAAAGTCCTTGGATTGAAAAGTAAGGATAAATTAAGCACCCACTCCTGTTGCAACGATACGCAATGATACACGAATACAGTGAAACCTAAGAGTTCCATGTGCTGACAATTGGCTGATTGACCAAATCCCAATAATACAGCATATAGTCGTACCTTGGTTCTTGAACGCCTTGGTACTTGTATGTTTTGGCTCCCAAATGCCAAAAACCCAGAAATAAGTGTTCTGGTTTTTGAAAGTTCTTTGGAAGTCAAACATCCAACATGGCTTCCACGGCTTCAGACTGAGCACAGGAAGCTCCTGCAGCCAATCGTAAGCAGCACCTTGGTTTTCTAATGATTCCGGCAATCGAATGGACTCCTGGAACGGATTAAGTTTGACAGCCAAGGTACCACTGTATTTGAGTGCAATCTCCCCTCTCCCCTGCGGCTGGAATTATGGGGAAATGTGATTCTCCTCCCCACGCCCTTCAAGCAGAAATGTTATCTTACAGAAAGCCTGGACCCTGCACAATATGTCAGTAACAATTATGTACCGTATTTTTCGCTCTATAGGACGCACCCGACCATAGGACGCACCTTGTTTTAGAGGGGGAGAACAAGAAAAAAAAAATCTCCCCCTCTCTGCTCAGCGCCCCTTCAGCGAAACGGCAGGAGAAAAGGAGCCCCTTCCATTTCTCCTCCTGCTTCACTGAAGGGGCGCTGCGCAGCTCTTCCTCTCTGCTGAAGCCAGGAGAGTCTTGCTCTCCTGGCTTCAGCGAAAGGAACCCAAAGCCTTTGGAGTGCAGTGCGAGTTCCCGCTGCGCTCCAAAGGCTTCAGGCGGCTATCCCTGAAGCCTGGAGCAGAGGGTCGGTGCGCACGACCTCGCTCTCCAGGCTTCAGCAGCAACGCGTAGCCTCTGGAGCGCGGAGGAGTGCACCCTCTGCGCCGGAGGCTGCGTGCTATCGCTGAAGCCAAGGAGCCTGCATTCGCTCCATAGGACGCATACACATTTCCCCTTAATTTTTGGAGGGGAAAAAGTGCGTCCTATAGAGTGAAAAATTCGGTAGTCATTGCATTTTAAAAAATACGGAATATGATTCAGCCAATGTTAGGTGCTTTTAAATCCCATGGTTTTATATGGGAGGAATTTAAACAGATACTTAACTCTTCCACCAAATTTAATTGGGCTTTTAAAATGTATAACTTGGCAGCATCATGCCTACTGTCTAGGCATGGTTGGTACCAAACGCATACTCATATGATACTACGATAGTAGCACAGATCATGATTTTTATCTTCTTTATATTTATGGCCCTTGCAGCCATAGAACCTCCCTGAAATAAGTAATCACCTTCTTATTAAAGTAGACAACACAGTCAGTGCATTCAGTATTCAGTTCGTTGCCTAACATAGAGAGCAAGCCCACTTAGGAAACTGTTCTGATTCATCCGTGTTAATAACATTTAAATATTTTACAGCTTGCTGCTTTGCATGCATAAAATGAATCAGCCATCACTCTTGTAAAGTTAATTGGTGATGCAACCTGATTCGTTTAGAAGAGAAAGAAATGTGCTACCCCAAACCATTGTTATTAGAGATCCTGTTTGTTTTTCCTGACTCCCTTGTGCGGTACCTGTTCCTGTCTTTAAACAAGGGAATCTTGAATGGCAAAACCACCAGTGAGTTTTGAGAGTCAGCAACTAGCACCCCACGGACCAAATCAGGCCCTGTGAAGTTAGTGTCTGCCCTGCCACACCACCCCTCCAGAAATGTCTATTTCAGGCAGTACAAGAAGGAGAGAAGCATAAAACAGGAAAACATGTTACGAGGACGAGCAAGGCATCTTTTTACACAGCCCATGCCTTTTCCTTTTCCTGCTTATACATGCCTGCTTTAACCTCTCTCACACATACATAAACTAGTGAGTGACAGAGATAACAGTAAGAGTACAGGGTGAATACTGTATAATGTTATCGAGATGCAGACAGAGGGAGTGTAGGGCCATTGCTCAACTTCACAGATCTACGGTTGCCTATTACAGATGAGAAAGAGATACAATGCGCACTAAGGCACCGCCATATCGACACATGTGCATTGCAGCAAAATCAGCATGTGTACAATTATCACACAAGTCATGTGATGGAGGTGCTTTTTATTCAAGATTGCTTTCACACCTGGGATTTCTTGTGTTGCTTAGGCAAACATTTGACCAGCGTTAACGTGGAGGAAAACGTGAAAGAGGGGCCATTTGTAAATGTGAAAGGGCAGCAGTATAGCATGTGTATCCAGAATGTGGTAGCTAGACTGGTGACTGGGAGTGGCTGCTGGGACCACATAACACCGGTCCTGAGAGATCTGCATTGGCTCCCAGTATGTTTCCAAGCACAATTCAAAGTGTTGGTGCTGACCTTTAAAGCCCTAAACGGCTTCAGTCCTGTATACCTGAAGGAGCGTCTCCACCCACATCGTTCAGCCCGGACACTGAGATCCAGCGCCGAGGGCCCTCTGGCGGTTCCCTCATTGCGAGAAGTGAGGTTACAGGGAACCAGACAGAGAGCCTTCTCGGTAGTGGCGCCTGCCCTGTGGAAGGCCCTCCCGTCAGATGTCAAGGAAATAAGCAGCTACCCTATTTTCAAAGGACATCTGAAGGAGCTGCACAGAGTGGCTGGGGAAACTCAGCCAGATTGGGGGGGTAAAAATAAATTATTATTATAAATAATTATAAAATATTATTATTATTATTATTATTATTATTATTATTATTAGTGCAGCATTCATGTCTGAAGGAACATGAGCTTTCAGCCTAATCAGTCAGCCTTGGGTATCTCTGATGTAGAGAAGGCAGGCTTGTAGGGTATAGAAAGATTTCCTGAAAAACACTGAACCGCTGCATTAAGCTGGGCTGCCAGTAAGAAAGCAGCAAATGTGGAACGTAAGATCTGCCTTTGAGAGATACTGCGAGAGAAAACAATCAGATGTGATGGCTTTCCACTCCCACAAGATGTGTTATGTGAGTTTGTTGAGTCTTTCGGCTGGATGCTGAGAAAATATGCCCTTATCTTGAGCTGACTGGCTCTATAGCATCACCCACCAAATCTAGCCTGCTTCCACAGAAAGCGCAGCTCCAGCGCTGTATGTCTGCTGTGCCACTTACAATAAATCCATTTACACACAGAGAGAGATTAGAGCCAGCTTGGAGAGATCAGGGTCATTTGTTGGGTTACTAACCCTCAGAAAATACAAGGCAAGGTCAGCAATTGGAGCACAGCTTGGCTTGAGAGTTACTCACATCATTAAGTATCTCTTTGCTTCAAAGAACCTCTTTCTGATTATTCAACAGGCACAACAAACCCCAGGAGAGCACCCCAAAGAGCATTAATTTATAAAACCCAAGCAAATAAGATTTTAAAACACAATATTGCTCCTGAAATTTGCTATGTGTGTGTGTTTTCATCATCATCATCAATATTTATTATTTATACCCCGCCCATCTGGCTGGGTTTCCCCAGCCACTCTGGGTGGCTCCCAACAGATTAAAACACCAGACACTAAAAACTTCCTTAAACAGGGCTGCCTTCAGGTGTCTTCTAAAAGTCAGATAGTTGTTTATTTCCTTGACATGTGATGGGAGGGCATTCCACAGGGCGGGCGCCACCACCAAGAAGGCCCTCTCCCTGGTTCCCTGTAACCTCACATCTCGCAGTGAGGGAACAGCCAGAAGGCTCTCAGAGCTGGACCTCATAACTTGTAACTCAATCAACACTTGCTATCCCCTCCTCCTTTTTTTTCAATTTTTGCTTCAGTTTTCTCCATTTAATATGAATACCATCCCTGGGTCAGTGATATATTTATGAGCACTATTTCTAGGTTCTTTAAGAGCCCCTCCAGACTGCAGGGTTTCTTTGTTTGTTTTGCCAGTGTATTGTCCAGCATGTCATTGATGCCATAATAGTGTGATAATAGTGGATTTATACTAGACAGTGCATACATCATTCTGATTTATTAATTCGGTGGTGCTTCCTCAATATTATTGCCATCTGAACAAACACTCTACAGTGCAACAACCCCCAGGAACATTTGTGGTAAAAAAAAAATTCTGGAAGCTATGGGGCATGCACTTAATGGAAACAAAGCAGCACGTCTAGCCCAAAAACTTTTGCAGGCTCAAACAGTATTGACAGTGGGATCATGTCTAACACCACAATACCATCAAGAGCACAAATAATCATTAATGTGCAATGAATGTGGAGGGCCCCCAAGGTTTTCCTAAGTTATGTAGATGTCATATCTGGAGTAGAGAGAACCTCTTCATAAAATAACTAAGTTGCTAATTTATAGTGTTCTCAACATAGCCATCCTCCATTGAAAAGTGGCATGCAGATCTGATAAAATAAATTTAAAATGTCAAGGTAGACACAGCCTTCATTATTGCTGTTGTTCTTCTAGTTTTTCTGGTCATCACTGATGGCATAATACCAGGATATGGTTTATACTTAGCCTACAAAATGAATTCTGCCTTTAACTCTGCACAATGAAGTGAGGCATGCCATGTTAAGGTTATATATGCAAGCTTAAGACACACATCTGGATGCAATACAATACAGTGCACATGAGCAAGTGCATAGTGCCTTTCCGAAACCTTTGAACAAACACAATCGGCAGCACCACATCTGGATTAGACAGAAGTGTTTCAGAATCAATGGGAACAACTTTCAAGCGGGGTTGAGTCCCTGTTCGTCCTGATCTTGCACTGGTTTCAGCAGGGAAATTTGCTTTGCAAACTTGTGTATTTTAATTAGGCAAACGTGAATTTTAAAACCGTTTATATGAGGAGAGATTTGTACTAAAATGCTGGTGAATTTTCATGAGGACGTTGTTAAAAAAATGCAAACTGATGTGGAAATGTGGAGGAATGAACCCGAAACTGGAAAAATGAACCAAAACTGACATATTCAATTCATCCCCCACACTAAAGGAGCTCTCTAAAAGCTTCCCATGAAACATTCTGAAATCAGTACTTAGGAGAGATTCAAAAGTTCTCCAAGAAGTGGCTGACAAGCACCAGCAGACCAATGCAAAGAAGCTTCCATGGTTGCAGATTGCTTCTGTAAAGAAATCCTAATCTCTTGCTTTCATGAGCATCAAAAGGCATAAAAAGGCTCTCACCAAATTCACCGAAAAGAAAACAGTAAATTAAAACTGAAAAGGAGAAAGAGATCCTGAGGTTTGGCTCAACTCTGTACACTGTACATGTATTAGCTTTGATGCATTATTAGAACTGAAATAACTTTCACCCGTTTCAAGGAAAAGGGTTTCTTTTTTCAGGCATGAGATCAAAGCGAAAGGGGCTAAAGGGTATTTTGGATCTCAAGCACAAGGAACTTTCAAACAAGTGAGTCATGATTGTTTATGTACCTAGAAATGTTGTGATAGAGAAAGCTCTTTTTATGGGGTGCAGTAACAACAGCGTAAATCAAGCATTAACCAGAAGTAGACAGCAAATTCTCTATATTTTTCAAAAGACCTCTACGGGAGCAGAATTTTAGGGAAGGCCCAAAGTAGTTCTGTTTTTAGTAGCATAAAGGCAGTCAGACAAGAGGCGCCACTGTATCTTTGTCCCAAAGCATAACAGTGTTTAATATAAAAGAATAACCAAAACAATACAAAGCAGCTGATCAAGCCACTTGCAGGAAAGTGGCCATGAAGTACAGTAGGTTGAAGCTCACATCTGACATTTGATTGGCTCTTCAAGTCCTTGCATAAGGAAGTAACTGGGCTAAAAAATTAACACCCATATACCGAGCTGCATGGGACTTGTCTACAAAGCAAGTCAGAGTGCAAAATTAATGTGTTCCCGTTAGACCAACAGTTCAATTTCCAACATACCCTTTGGTGACAAAACTTGCAGACCCATGAATCCATAGCCGTGTCCAGCTAAAAGTTCAGAGCCAATCAGTCTCTGACACCCAGCCGATTCTAAACACAACACTGCAAGCCGAATGCCTCCACAATAAACCAATTGCCACTTTTCTTGAAAGGCCAGACTAAGTATTAATCATTTGTAAATTATCTTTTATCTTTAAGTGTGCACATGTAAAACAACCAACCAACACCGAGACCATGCAAGAGGTAAAAAATATGGATGGCAAACTCATGACACATGGAGGGACTTTCTTAATTTGCTGAACATGAGGGAGCTTTAGATTTTCAATTTCATTTTAAAATGAAGGACACATGGAGGGGATGGCAGCTATTCCTTCGATATACAGTGGTATCTCTGGTTACATACTTAATTCGTTCCGGAGGTCCGTTCTTAACCTGAAACTGTTCTTAACCTGAAGCACCACTTTAGCTAATGGGGCCTCCCAGTGCTGCCGTGCCGCCACCACACGATTACTGTTCTCATCCTGAAGCAAAGTTCTTAACCCGAGGTACTATTTCTGGGTTAGCGGAGTCTGTAACCTGAAGCGTATGTAACCCGAGGTACCACTGTACTGGGAGCCATTCATCATATACAGACAAAACATAGAAACAGCTATGAGAGATCACCGTAATTGTCCACAGAAGCTTCCCCTCTTCTTTCTGCAATTTCGTTAACTTGTTGCTTGATCCCATTCTATCTTCCCCTTTGTCTTCTATCATTCATTTGGTTTTAGTTTCTTTAACTCATTGGTCTCTCACTTTCCAGGTGAATTTACTTCCATCTTTAAGCCTAAAACTCTATCTACCCAGTTATCACTGTGTTTCTTTTCCTTCATTTCCCCCCCTTGCATATCTTTTATTCCTGTTGTCTTGGATATCTTACTACTTTCTAATTGATTGATAAAAATATTTATGTACAGCAATGTCATGAAAATATTTCAAAGTGATTTACAACAATAAAACAAAAAAACTTCAATAAAAAATATTACAAAGTTTTTAAATTTCTTTAAAAATTGCTCTTCTTCTCTCCGATCTGAATTTTATTCTCTTCAGTCTAATAATATTGCCCTTACTAAATTATCTAACACACAAAGAAAGTCAAACCCCTCTTCCTCTTCCTTCTCCTTTTCCTCCTTCTCTTGATAGTATTGACTGTTTTCTTTGTAATAATCTTTTTCTGCTATCTTCCACAGAAACAAGTTTAAAGGTAAAGGTACCCCTGCCCGTACGGGCCAGTCTTGACAGACTCTAGGGTTGTGCGCTCATCTCACTCTAGAGGCCGGGAGCCAGCGCTGTCCGCAGACACTTCCGGGTCACGTGGCCAGCGTGACGAAGCTGCTCCGGCGACCGGCACCAGAGCAGCACATGGAAACACCGTTTACCTTCGCGCTATAAAGCGGTACCTTTAAAACAAGTTTAAAAAATGCTAAAATCCCTCCAGACTGGTGCTTTATTCTGTAACATTGTGTGCTAATGGTGGATTTGTGCTGGACTGCCAACACATCTTTCTACTTCATTAGTTGTTCTGTGATGCTTCCCCAGTGTTACTACATTATTGCTTTCTGAAAGGTCACTCCTGCACTATAGTGCAACAAAAGCAAGCCAATACCTCCCACCCCCCAATCTGGAATGTTTGTGGTATTAAAAAACCCCGCAGGATTTCGGCAGGAAGCTACAGTTCATTCACCAGCTGGAAATGAACCCTTGCTATGTTTAAAAGTGCAGTGAGATAATAGGTTTTGGTTTTTTTTCTTGAATGGGTCAGTAAATCTTTGACAAAAACAAAAGTCAAGGATGAGATGAGCTCTCGTTAGAAAAATGAGATTGCAGGAGAAAGTAAAAAACAACAACACACCACGCAATCCCAGGATACTCCCCTTAAGGTCATTAGCTCAGGTTCATGAAGTGTGGCCACAGATTTTAAAAATACAAATTGCAAAAATACCTAGAACACACACAAGCAAAATATACGACGTGAGCACGTACCCAAAATATAATCCGAGTGCATTCACAGCCCGTGGGTTATATGTCACCCAAATCCACAACATATAAATAGGTTATAAGTGACCATGTTTATTTTGGATTCAGCTGAGAGATCATAGGATGCAGCATAAATAGAGAAAGACCTGATCTGCCATGAGATGGACCCAATGCCATTGGAGATCCACTGATACACCTGCAGAAAGCTCCTGTGGTGTAGACAGAAGTATTCCGTTCCTGGTGGGGGTCAGAATGGGGCAATATGGGGGTGGAGGTAGCTGAGGTCCTCCTCCGCGGGTCTTCTGCTGGTTCCCTCACTGCAAGAAGCGAAGTTACAGGGAACCAGCCAGAGGGCCTTCTCAGTGGTGGCACCCGCCCTGTGGAACACCCTCCCTTCAGATGTCAAGGAGATAAAGAACTACACGACTTTTAGAAGACATCTGAAGGTGGCCCTGTACCAGTAAGTTTTTTGGCTGGGGAAATGCAGCCAGATGGGCGGGGTATGAATAATAAAATTAATAGTAGTAGTAGCTTTGGATCTGCAGACTCCCAAGCTCCCACATTCCCTGACATGCCCCTCCAGAAAAATATACTAGTGAGGATCTGGGAATCATCACAATGCACAGATTTTCAGGGGATCCTAGTTGTTGCCCCTCTTTTATTTGCGTATTTATATCCTACTTGTAAAGATGAGCCTTCACAAAGCGTCAGGCAGTAACTTAATGAACACAAAGCGATAATAACCTGCTTTATTTTCTTTATTTTCATGCTGCCACAGGCAGGTATGCTGATTCGGTTTCGGATGAATAAATGCTAGCAATGGTTTTAGGAAACATATGTCCTCTTGTTGGAAATCCCCGTCCTCCAATACGGAATGCAGTTATCTTCCCTGGACACTTGGTATGTGGAAACATCTTGAGAAAGGAAGCGTGATCCCCGCTGAACTGATAAACAGCTCCCTTTACCTAATTTTTAAAATACACACACACTCACACAATCACACCGTCATCATCCCCTTCCGATAGGATTGCCAAATTTTTAGTTTCTTCCCTGATTTGTATATCCTGCAGATGTGTCTCCTTGAATTCCCCACTCTATTAAACTTTTGGCATTATATTAAAGGAAACAAGTATTTACCTGGACCAGAAAGCTAACCCCTTTTTTACATCAGTAAGAGCTGACCTAGTTTTTGCTGAGGAAGTAAGCCTGTCTCAGGGCTGCGCCACTTCAGACTGAAGGTGTGGCCTAGATCAGAGATACACAACCATTTCCTTGCCCCACATGCACCCTGCACATAGAAAAACGGTACGTCTGAGAGAAGGTTACACACTGGAACTTTCCTCCCAAACATCTAGTTTATTATGTGCAGCAAAATGTTGCATGAAGGACAGTCCAGTGAGCCTCCACAGGCAGCCTAAATTGGTACAACCCAGACATATTTGCTACCTCTCTGTGAAAGCTAGGCCACAACTGGAGGCATCAAATGGATGAAATGTCGCACGTGAAATGCCAGAAATGAGCAGGGCATGATTTAGCCAAAGCTAAGCACATTTATATCCCACTGCTTTCAGTCGGAGAAAGCGACACATGTGCTTAACACTTCCATTGCAATTAATGGTGCTGAAAAAGCTTAACTTGGGACAGGCTCTTGTCCGCTGTACCTGCAGCACTTCAGTTAAGCCTGTTAAAAGCTGGAACAAAACCTAAAATATACATGATTATTGGCCCATGGTTATTTGCAGCACAGTCCTGTGTGTCCTGCTAAGTTCAATAGGAATTACTTCTAGGTAAATGTGTATAGGATTGCCTGCCTTTTGGTGCCTCAACTGCCACTGTTTTGCTCTCTTATCTAGTTCTTACCTTTATTACAGGGAATGGGGAACTAAGATCATGTTATGTAAAAAGAAAAATGAAAACATTTTTCCCAATCCCATCTTTATTTTCACCTCTCTACTTAATTCTGAATGGAGCTCCATCAATTTGTTTTGTTTTGTTTAATTAAATTCTGGCCAGATCAGTGAAATTCAAGCTGATGGGCAATCATATTTCCAGGCTGGGGTATGAACAAAAAAAAAATGATCACATGTTTGACTCACATATTCTGCATTTCCAGTACTGTTAAATTCCTTATCCACTTCTGATGTCACCACTTGGTATGCTTGGTAGGCAGGTGTTTACTATGTTATTCCCTGAGCCCAGCGAGACGCCTCCCAAAAGTGATTGTGACTAGTACCCATTGAAACTGGTAGGCCAGAAGGTAGGAAGAGCAACCGTAGGTGGCGATAGAGCCAATGAAAGGCAGACTCACTCCATGACTGATTGTAAATAAGAAGGCAGGAAGGTAGGGGTTGCTGAGGGCAAAGTTTGATCTGGCAGTGCCCCTTTCCTCTAAAGGATCAGCCCCCACTGCTCAATGGGTTGGTTAGTTGGTTTTTGTTTGTTTGCTTGTTTTTTAATGGTCCAGGGATACAACTACTGAAATAGGAGTGAGGTATGCTTTCTTCATACTGATCATCACAGAAGGAAGGGCAGGAAGAAGAGGGAGCAGTCTCCCTGAGCATAAAAGCATCTATTCTTGCTCAGACTCTTCATTTGCAAACTAGCACCCAACCTCTTCACCCTCTTCTGTTGTCCTCTTAACCCTCTACAAAGGACAGTGAAAACTACCACAAGTTAATTTGTGACTTCACTGGAACACCATGCATTGAATTATTGAAGAACCACATCCAGTCTCCAAAGTGCTTTTCTATATGATGTGGTTGTGACACTTGTGATTTCCTTCCCTGCCATAAAAGCCGGGTTTCTCGTTTTTCAAAGAGTGGTGATCTGCAATTATGTGGCTTTAACTTCAGATAGATTCTCACATGCAATTTAATGCTGGAAATTTCCAAATGGCTGACATTAAAAGTTAGCAAGTCTGACAAGTTGGTGGGGAAGAGAACAGAAAATGCCAGAGCTGGATATTGCTGGTGGGGCAAGTGCTACTGCTCTCTGATCTTGCTTTTGAACTTCCCATGGACACCTGTGTGTGAGAACAGGATGCTGGACTAGGTGGGCCTTTGGCCTGATCCTGCCGGCTCTCTGTGTGTTCTTATGATGTGTGTATTGTTCTGGTGCAAACAAAGGCTAATCCCTGGAAATGGAAGCATGGAGGCATTATCTGGCATAAACTGTGAGCTAAGTGGCAGCTGGAAAGGAGTATTTCATCCCCTCACGTTAATCCAGCCTTTCTCAACCTGTGGGTCCCCAGATGTTGTTGAACTACAACTCCCATCACCCCCAGCTAGCAAGGCCAGAGCTCAGTGATGATGGGAGTTGTAGTCCAACAACATCTGGGGACCCACAGGTTGAGAACCGCTGCCGGTTAATCCAACATCTTCAGGTGTGTGTAACATAAAGGTGCCGTTTGGGTGGGGCAGAGGGGGGGAGAATTTTCTCCTCACATTGACTCTACATAGTAGGAACGGTCTATTCTTGTTTGCTTCTCATGTTTGAACCACAATGGTGTCACTGTCACCACAGTTCTGGCCCTACCATTAGGCAAAGTGAGGCAGCCACTTCAGGGAGCGGCTGTTATTCCCACCCTTCCTGAGCAGGTGCTCCACTTGTCTTGGTGCTTCTGTTTGCTTGTATCGGGATTATATGTGAAATCTGTGGAAATATCTGGAAAAATGAAAACAGAATGGCACTGAGCTCCAAAGGTGGGGGGTGGGGCTTATAAAGGAGGCACCTACCCCTTTCCCCTTCTGTAGTGATTCACAGGAGACCCATTCTGCTCCCATTTGCAAAGGGGCCCCAGGGCCTAATTTGGCCTGGAACAAGGCTTCTTATTTACAACCTCAAGGAAGATGCAGCTCTCTCTTTCTACAAAAGAGCACAGCTCCTTCCTAGCCTGCCACTCTAAGCAGCTTACAAGAGTCATCACACTAAGGAGAGATCATGGCGCAAGGTGACAAAATAGTGTCTTAAGTGGGCCAGGCTGGTGCCTGATGCTTCACTGGATAGCTGCCTCACGTGGGTGCTTATAACATCACACGGTCAACCAGCCCTGTGCTTTTCTAGGTTACGGAATCACTGTGACCAATTAATCATGACTTGGAATTAAAGCAGATAACGGGTGATAATCCACACTGAGGAAACCATTAGAAAAGGAAAAGAGGGATAAAGAGAAGCAAAACATGGAAGGAGAAGTGAAGCAGCAACTTGCATGAAGATGTTAAACACAGAACGTGAGGGTTATAATTTTTGGGAAGTATCTTAAGCACAAAGCTCTAATTGCCCATCAACATGCACAAGAACCGCAAAGCTGCATCATGACCGCTGATTTGACACAAGTGTTGGTGTTGGTTAATGCTCTGGCGGAAACAAATTCATTTATAAAAGGAACACTACCCAGAGTCTTGGGGCTATTTATAGCATCACCCAGAAGCATTGCAAACTGGAACTGAAAATAGTTTTAACGCCAGTCATTAACAATCCATCTCCCACATCACACTGCTCCCACATCACATAAAGGGGGCTTCATGCCCCTTTGTGGGAAGCTGATCTATGGGCCGTTAGTTCTTCCCACATAAACATATAATCATGGCCACATCAATCTGTTAGTCACAGATTGCCCATGGCAGCCAAGAATAAAAGCTATATTCATTGATACAAATCTATGACAACTATGTTAAAACTCTTAAATGCATGCATAAATGAGCATTATGACTATTCACAAGGCTAGTAACTGATGATATCACAAACATCCTAGCTTGTTAAGTTACCGGTAATTAACTCTGGTCATCAAGTAAAGCCCAATGAGAACTGATCACAGACACTTTGTAGTTTTCCTCTTTGGAGTTCGTGACACAACTACATTTTTTAAGTTGTTGATGCTCATTTTATTTCACCCCGTCTTTTTTATTTACCTTCTTTTATTCAATTTGTTTGTCTTGTACACATTTGGATGATTTATTTTATGTGCTTCTTATTTTGTTTGCTTGGCGCTGGTCATTCACCATATCAATTAAATAAGATGTGATTTAATTTGAGTCACCTGCTAGCAGAGGGATAAAAACCCACTGGCACAATTCAACCCAGAGGTGATAAAATTGAACTTATCAACTGGTACAAAACCATTTAATTACAACTTGAGGCTACCTTTGAATTTCTTCTGATTTGAGAATGACCAGATTCAGGCCAGTGATCCGAGTGTTCTGGGCCGGCTGTGCTCTCCCTGCTGGTTTCTGATTACTGTTAGACAGTTACACTCTAAATAATGCTAACTCTGGTTTTCTATTTGCAAAGATTTGATTAAAAGTTTCTGATTGCAGTTAAGGGGGGAACCGAGATCTGTGTTAGCTGTGGCTAAGATAGTTACTATACCCTTTTTATTATTACCATAAATGTAGAACACACACAAAAAGCACATTATTTTAAGTGGCGAAAACAACACTGAGACCGTCATTGTCCCACAAGTTCTCATTTCATACTTCTTTTATAACAGAAGTAATGTACACACAGAATGGTGAACACACATTTTTGAAATGACATGTTCCGTGTTCCGATTTTTAGTTTGAAATCTCTTGCCCAGGGGCAGGAATGCCTTCTGAAAGCATTCTGGTACTAAGTGTCGCTAATAAATTCCAATAAATAATTCTCATAAATGTCTCAGCTAAAGGGGGAAAGTAGCGAAATGGAAGGAAAAGCACCCATTGCTTGATCAGCAACAATCCACAACGATGCACTATTTTTAAGGGAGCTATTTCATAATACCTTGCACTTTTAATAAAGAACATCTCTTGGCTCAAGGTGCCATAGGCGACTTCATGTGTGAAGTGGGCCTCTCTCCTCATGTGTGTGGGGCAGGAAATTGGTTCAGTGCCAAGGACTGCTCTGAAAACTTACCGTGATACAGATCGCTATAGCCCGTTTGATTACTTTAGCGTACCTCTTAAAAGACCTTGTTTTCATTCAGACTTTTTGCAGATATACTTTGGTGGTGGTGGTGGCACATCGTAAGCGTGCAGGAAACCATTCCTGACCTGTGGAATTGTCTTTTTTCTTTTTTTTTATAAGAAGTCCTCCTGTTTGCTGACTCTGGGTCTAACATACACATGGATCGCTTGCTATCCTTCACTAGGAATGGAGAGCTGATGGCTTTCCCAGCTGTTGGTGGGGCTGCAACTCCCATCATCTCTGACTCCTGGTTGGGGCTGATGGGAGCTAATTAGAATAATTTATTTTTTAATACAGTGCCATCTATATGCGTGGAAGTTTTCAAAGACGAAATACAACAGGGTGAACTGGATGAGAGTGTACGTGACAAGAATGAACATGCAGAGAGGGAAAGCACTGCGAAGCCATGGAGGATTCTGAGGACAATAAGCTTGGTACAGGATCCAGGAGTAGCTAGGAAGCCATTGCAGGGATTTAAGGAGGAGTCACAAGACAAGAGTTTGAGAATTTGAGTTCTCTTCATAGAATTGTAGAGTTGTAGGGGGACCCTGAGGATTCATCTAGTCCAACACCCCCTGCAATGCAGAAATATGCAGCTGTCCCATAGGGGGATCGAACCTGCAACCTTGGCGTTATCAGCACCACGCTCTCACAAACTGCACTGTCCAAGCTGACGATAATTAATGATCTTTTTTATAGACTTTGGAATTTCTTGTCATATAATTCCCATTCCCACCCCTCATCATCTTGTTAAAAGACTTGGCAGATTAAGTTTTTCAGTCCTTGAAAGCTGGAGTCTTTTGAAACAGCACATTATTATTAAAATTTATTTTTTTAAAAGGTGAAGTCTACTCAGCACAGGAATGGTTGTATCTGAAACAAATACCAGGTCTACGATCAGCAGTTTAGAAACGTATCTCCATTCCAAATCAGCGGCTTTCCCTGGTTTTGTTCTTTCTTCGCCACCCAGTTGTGCCATGGACAGTTCTTCTCTGTCAAATGTAACTTGAAGAGTTTTTACTTGTGTCTATGAAAAGCAGAATTGTCCAATTAATGGAAGGGCCGCCCTCTTCCTCTTTTACTTTTGAGATGGCCAGCTGAACGCCTGAGTTTTCGTCTTTCTTGATGATGGTGTTTCTCTGCTTCCTGCTGCTTTTTCTGTTGCTCTGACTGAAAACAATGCAGAAAATACCCACGTGAATACTGCACTTCCAAACCATACTGATGTACCAAGAGAGATGGAGAAAATATTACTTTATTCTAGTCAAATCCAAAAAAGCCACAATTTACTAAGTGGTCACCCAAGAATTATTACTGCCGTGTTGTCTTGGGTGTATCAGCAAGCTATTAACTTTATCTTCTAGTTTCATGTACAAGCACATTTAATTATATTTAATCCTGTGTACCCCTTGTTTGTTCTGATTTTTAAGAAAGAAAGAAAGAAAGAAAGAAAGAAAGAGCATTTGGGGGGAAATCTAATAAAAACAACCATAGATAGATAGGTAGATAAATAGATAGATAGATAGATGATAGATAGATAGATGATAGATAGATAGATAGATAGATAGATAGATAGATAGATAGAGATAGATAGAACAAGCTCAATTAAGGGTGCAATCCTGTGCCCCCTTATTTGGGAGTAAGCCTTATAGAACTGAGTAGACATGTACAAGATTATACTGCAAGGCACTTTGTTTAAAGACACCCGTGTTTCCATTTGTTCCCAATTTCCTTCTCACCACCAGTGTGTAGTCATCAGTAGGTTGGGGATACCACTAGAAAAATATTTGATGCTGGGCGGAACATTCTTCCGCCCCCAACTTGTGCCTTCAGTTTGTGCTAGAGCTGTGCTGGGTTCAAACCAACCACCCCTCACCATCCCATATAAATGACTGAATAGAATTCCTAGCTTCCTAGGAGAGTCCTCCAGCAGCTTACAGAGATTCAGCAGCTTGCCTATCTCACTGCTCCTACCCACAGCCAGGAGCAACGAAATAAATTATATAAAGCAAGTAGAGGTATGCAAATCTGCTGAAGTTGCACAACGCACACACAGCCCAGCCCTTGAAACAAACCAAGTTGTACCAGAAGGCTGACTTAGCCCTTCTATTGCATTGCAATTAACACCGCATTAATGTGCACCATTAAGACTTTAAGCTTACCTTTTTTAATTTAAAGGTAACTTGTTTACTTCCTACTGTGGTGTCATGTACGCTAAGTGCACCAACTCTCTCTTCAAGCTGCAAACGATCTCCGAGTGTTTTTCTGCAGGAGATACAAGAGGGGGTAAAGTCAGATTCTTAGTATTTCTAGTCAGCATATTAAAAGTACATAGAGGGGGGGAAATAGTTACCTCTGTGTGCAGAGGTATCCTGCTATTCCAAGTATGATCACTAAACATTTTTTTCTGAAAATTTCATTCTTATTTTCCCAAATATTACACACATACAAACATGAGATTTGTATGCTCCACACACACTGTATGTTTAAGATCCATTTTTACAGAATGCATAGGTGCTCCAGCAGAACTATTATATGCAAAACAGTCTACAAAATATGCTTTAAAAACCCCAGAGCTCTAAATAACCACACTTCTAATCTTTTATATGCCACATAAAAGAAATCTCTTTTCTGTTTGGACAAAACAGAAAGCAAATTTTAGGTGAAAGCAAAAAAAGCAAGCGAAGCAGCCTGAAGCGTAGTTTATATACCAACATTTGTACCTCAAATAAGAGGATACATTAGCACTAAGCAATTTTTCCACAAATCTTTTAACAGGGGCTCTCACATGTAATTTATAGGCTACAAGAAGCTAAGACACTGCAATCCTGCATTTCCAAATCCAGATACAAAGTTTAATCTAGGAATACCCCTAGAATATGTACATTCCTGTTTCTCCAGATGAATGCAACCCTATCAAGAGCTGGCCATCTACACAATACCTAGATCCAAGAATCACCAAGAACACCCCCATGCTGATATCTGAAAGCAGAGGAACCACAGTAACGCTGTGACACATACTCTTCACCCACAGAGCCAATTCAGTAAGATATTGTGGCTGATGGTCTCAAAAGGTACTGAGAAGTCCAAGAGATTTGACAGGATTACATCTCCCAATTTCGCTCCTGAAGGAAGCCATTTGCCAGGGCGACCAAGGCGAATTCAGTTTCAAAATGGAGTCTAAAGCCAGGCTGTGTGTAGATAATCTGTCTTCTCTACGAGCATCTGAAGTTGGCTAACCACCAACCTCTTGAGCACTTTGCTTAGTAAGGGCAATAGTTTTGCAAACTGCTGGAATACTGGATACTTTGCCAGTTCCACCTTCCCCTCGTCTTCTCCCCTCCACACCACTGTTTATTGTTCAGTCTGTGTGTGTTGTTAAGGAAGAACTTAATACAGTATTAATAAAAGCTTGGAGCAACACTGAGTCAGGAATATGATAAAGCAACACCCAGTCTTATATAAAAGAGTCATAAATCTCTTCAAAATGCCATAATAAAAAGCAAAATGTCTAGCCATTAGGTGGATTGGGGAGACATTAAGACAGTCAAGATTCGGGGTGGGGTGGGGACTGAGCCCTGTTAGCACCTTAACAAATTAATTGTGTCATAAGCTTTTCTGGATCAGAGTCTACTTCATAAGATGTGAAACTTTATGCCACAATACATTAAATTAGTTACAGGACTTTTGTTATTTTTGCTACAGCAAACTAATATGGTGGCCCTTCTCAGAGATTGAGGAAGTTACATTACATATGCTCTAACGAAAAGAAAAAATAAATAGAGATATATATCTGGCATCTACTAGGTATCTTGAAGAATACCACATTTTGCCATTCAAGAGTGTCATCCTCAGCTGGAGTAGCATGATTTTATACACCTGAAGATAGGACTTTACTCTCTGAAGGGACATTCCATGCAGTCGCTAGGTAAAAGTGTTCTCATTTGGCTTCCACTGACTTTTTAAAAAACCTAAGTAGACCACATGAAATTAATCTCCAGTTTTGCCAATACAGTGGTACCTCGGGTTACATACGCTTCAGGTTATATACCCTTCAGGTTACAGACTCCGCTAACCCAGAAATAGTACCTCGGGTTAAGAACTTTGCTTCAGGATGAGAACAGAAATTGTGCTCCGGTGACGTGGCAGCAGCGGGAGGCCCCACTAGCTACAGTGGTGCTTCAGGTTAAGAACAGTTTCAGGTTAAGAACGGACCTCCGGAACGAATTAAGTACTTAACCTGAGGTACCACTGTATAAAAATTGCTATGTTTCTCTTTCTTACTGGTTCTCAGCCACAAGAAACCTGTGTGTTTTGCTTAACTTTTGAGACAGATATAGAACACTTTCTAGATGTTATATGTTTTTAGAATGAGGAATCAGCCATTGTGTATTTCTTCATCCCAATGTCCCTAGATGTAACTGGAAACCTGCACAGCTCCTAGCAATGCCTTAAGACTGATACTAAAATGCAGACTTTAATGGTTTCTAACACCAAGCCAGTTTTTCTACTTCCCTTAATAGCCAATTTGATGAAGAGTTCTAGAACTTGAAAGCGTTCTCACTATTTTGTGACATTACGGTTGGTCTAATAAAAGTATAGCCCTCTTGTGAATCCTGGAATTATGAGTAACCAGAAATTCTTCTTTCTGTGTGACAGGTTTCATGGACAGCAGACCACCTAATTATCATCTAGTTTTTCAGGTAATTATTTGGCTAGAATAAGTATCACTTTTCTGGGGGGGGGGAGAGAGAGAGAGAAGGAAAGGCCCATCTAAGTTCAGCATTCTGTCACCATCAGTGACCAGCTAGATGCCTCCTGGGATGTTCCCAAGCAGGGTGTGTTTGCTCCCAGAGTTTGTAATTACAGGAAAACTGTATATGGTGGTTCTGTTCTTGAGTACCATGGCTAACAGGCACTGAGAGATCTGTTTTGCCGTGAATTTGTCTAATCCCCAAGCTAATACTCACCATTACACCTTGCAGCAATTAATTCTATAACTACAGTAACCGCGATATTCCCTATTGTATCTTTGCTATTTAAAGCAACCATATTCAGAAGCTGTTTTCTAGAACAGCCTAAACCTGTTTCCCTCAAAACATGCAGGTGACCTGAAGAATACTAATAAAATCCTTTCACTTAAAAGATACAATTCTTAGGTTGATCAAAGGTGCTATTATGATAATATGAAACAGAGTAATGTAAGATATTACAATCATAGGTAATAAGTTGGGGGTACACACACACACACACACACACACACACACACACACACACACTTCTGTTAATAATGATTATACTGCAATATAAATAATTAAATCTACTGAACTTTCTTCAGGACAAACTTCACTAAGAACTATTGTTTAATGCTAACAGCAAGTTCCTGCAGTAGACGAAACCAAGAGTGAAAATGGGGAGTCTCAAAATGTACTTATCTTAACAACAAAGGGAAAAAAAACACTACCAAGCCCATGAGGTGAAAGACTAAAGGTCAAGCCCTGTTCTAACAAATGTATAAGCAATTCTAATCTCCAAGGGTTATTTTTTTTGGGGGGAGGGGGCAACACTAGTAAGCTTCTGGTGTAGAGAAATTAAATTAGCCACCAGTTCTTGCAAAAATTTGGATATGGGTTGCAAAAATTTGATTGCCAATTATAAACAGAACAATATGAAGTTGGTTAATGAGGCAAGGGATGCAGCAAAGTTTGGAGATGTTCTTTAGACTGGTTCAGACAGGCTGACAGCTAGCTGGAAACTGGTCTTGTGACCAATCAGCATGGGTGCAAATTAGGGTTTAAGGGGCTGCAATCCATGCACAATTATACCACACACTGCTGAGTCTCTCTGAGTGTAGCCCTATGTTGTATTTTTAGACAGTGGACTGGTGTGTGTCCAAGAGGGGCACCTCCTTTGATCCTTCCCCAGCACCATGTCTGGCTGTAGAAACAACCATCCCCAGAAGAAATCAGTGCAACATCCAAATGAGCCTCTCAAACACAATTCAAGGGGAGGGGGTGGAATTAACTGCAAGCCCGGTGAATGAAACAGAGGTGTTAGCCTTACTTCATTAACTTTTGCCTTTTGGCGGTGTCCTTGAAACTTCTAAACTCTTCTCCAGCTTTAATCTCAAAGAACTTAGGTTCCAGGACTGTTTGCTGATCCTCCTTGAACCACTTCTGGTGTTTTAATTTTTCCTCTTGGCGTAGAAGTCTGCGCTGTTTCCTGACCTCTTCAACCCAACCTTTTTCATCATCTGAAGTCTCAGAACTTTCTGCATCACTTGGTTTTCCTTCTGGTTCTTCCTCTTCTTCCTGCAGACAAAAATAACTACTTTAAAAAAAGAAGAAGAAGAAAAACAGCAACAAGCCACCCCTCCCCACAACACACTAGTTAATGTTCCTTAGAAGAACAATTTATCCAATTAGAGTACGTGACACTCTACAGATGCACTATTTGGAGAGGGCTATAATTCTAACGGTGGGGGTCGGGGTGGTTAAATGGCATGGAACACAAGGAAACAGAATGCATTTGCAACAGTGTTCTTCATAAAACTATTGATGTTGATACGTTATTAAATAAACAGTTCTAGATCGGATATATACAACTCTCAGAAAGATAAGGAGCAGAATAAATTTAACAATTTGGATGCAATCTTCATAGAAGAGAGGAACACACAGCAACAAAATCTCTTTTTGTCTAATATTCACTGATCCCACCCCCAGTCTCACCCCCACACCCGTAGCATGTGATTTAGCCTGGCCCCATTTGAACATCTCACAACAACAACCATTACTACTGGGTTACAAAACCACTTAGATCACAGTTACACAACTACCTATTTGTCTGCTTATAAGAGGAAAGGGACACTGGCAACCAGCTGGTAATAATTAAGATCTTCTGAGTCCAGAGTAGGCTTCTTCAGGAACAAATGAACCACTGCCTCTTTTAAATTAAATGGAACTGCTCCCTTGCTCAAGGAGACACTGAACACTTCCTGGACCCAGCTGGTCAACCCCTCCCTGCTCACTGCAACGAGCCCAAGAAGGACAGGTAGCCACAAAGTGGGCAACACTTGGTCAAGCATATTTGTCCACATCCTCAGGCCTCAAAAGCTGGAATTTATTTAAAGACACAAGACCAGATAGAAGTAATCCAAACATGAAAAAAGAGTTGGAGTAAAATCCCCAGCTTGACCATCATTCTCATGCATATTGAGAAAAACAAATCAAGAGTTGGTCCTGCTACATAGAGATTAGGTCAACAAAATGTTGGGCCAGCTTCCAGAGTCCTCAGCCTGCTCTGTCAAGGTAGCCTTGGCATGAATGCTGAGGTCTTTCAGGACCAACACCCTGCGGTCCTAAACATCAAATCAGAGATAACCTCTATCACTTCAGGCTGAGAAAGGCAGAATCTCTTAGCGGGCCCAATTGCCCAACATACCACACACAGAGTGGAGACTGTGACCCATCTCAACAGGAAATCTGGAGAGGGAGAAGGGATTCTTATACATGACAGAAACACCACCTCCTAAGCTTATCCTGGTACTGAATGGAGCATCCAGGTGAACACAACTGAAAGATCAACTCCACCTAACTCATCCACCCAGGTTTGGGTGATCCAAGCTAGTTCAAGCTCATCATCCATAATTTATTGAAGCACAGAGTTTTTAGTATGTATAAATATTCTTGCATGCTCATAGACATTTTAAAGCAGGGCTGACTTGCACCCCAAATGCAGTGCCTCTCATATCTGTGCCTTGCATGTTATCTGTGCTCAGAGTATAACTATGGAACATTCCTCACATGTTATGTGAGGGAGGCAAATACTCCCCTTGTTGGATTGCCTGGATGTGTTCCTTAAGGCAGGGTTAGGTTGAGAAAATAAGGCTATACGGAGTCCTATTGGGAATCCTCTGTATAAGGGCACTGAGCCCACAATGTGATTGGATGGTGTTCACATTCTTGCAAATGTATGTTAAAGAACAGAAGGCAAATCCTAAAACCTCACAGATTTACCTCTCCCAGGGTTTCTTGGTGCTCCAAGATCTTTAATTTCTGTTTCCTTTTCTCACTTATTTTGGAAACAAGTGGATTAAGCAGTCTGAACTCTTCACTCTTCTCATCCACCTGGAAATCTGGGTTCTCAAACATGACTTTGAAGCGATCGTCATTAAGAATGCTAGGCATTTTCTATAAGGAAACAGAACAATAACAAAGTCAAGAGCTGGTTATAAAACTTACAATGTTCTAACAAACCTGGTTTTTCGTCAGGTTTCACAAAGCAAGAAGGCCTTCTGTGAAATAAAGGCTATATTTTCTTCACCAGAAGGGGAAGGGGAATAATTAAAATTGCCATTCTGCCAAGAGATTCCTTTGTCATTCAATGAGCAACACTGGACACCACACACTGAACTTCATATTGCATATAGCACATGTTTCATATACTGGACATAACTATTGAAGTTAAAATACCCAAAAAAAGTTTAAAAACATTGGATGGACACAAAATGTGACCAAGGATGACTCACCAACAGCATCTAAATACTTTTCACCTACCACAGAGCCAAGTCATGGGAAGGGTAGGAAATATTTTGGATGTCTAACTATTTTAAGCTGTTGTCTAGAAATGTGAAATCAAAATTTTCCAGACTTGCTTATGATATGATCACAAGCTACTAAAATAGGATGGCAACCAACACATGGAATGGAAAATACATCTGCCCCACAAAGGTTGTCTATTGTAACTCTTCATGTACCTGTCAAACACACATGTATCCATGCCTGTTTCTGCATATGTGCATTTCTGCATAGCTCATCTTAAATATTTCAAAACAAAATGACATTTGAAAAATCTACAGCAGGAAGAAGAATAGCTATGTAGAACATATCAGGTAGACATGGTGTTGGCAGCCTGCACAGACTTTTTTGAGGAACATGAAAAGGATGGAAGTCGATGCCCACCTGGTGCTTGGCAACATGTCTGTATGAACCATTAAACAGACATTACTGGAAAGTTTGGAACCAAATCTTTTAGTCACAGACACCATTAAATTAAGGAAGCCCAGTATGGGAAAACTTGGGCAGCTGGAATGTCTCACTTACAAACTTCAGCAAGCGTGGCAGCTTTATCTTTAAAGTGAGCTATATTTTTAATTAAGATTATGACGCTTTAATGGGTAGCCTAGTAACAAATGCTCATTTTTTATTAGTTAGGAAAATGCCATTTGACTGCTGCCGTTGGAAAAGTACTAACACCTGGGAATCGATCTGGTCCAACAGCATGTTTGTACAGCTGCCCAGAAAGGAAAATTCTTTGAGCAGCAATGGTAGGTCTAAAAATATGCAGAAAGAACAACTAAGAGGAATATTACTAAGGCCAGCTGCTTTATGGCCCATCGGGGAAACAGTCAGGTGCTGACGCTATAATTTATTTTACATTTAAAGTGAGAAAGCTGTAAAGGCCAAGTTTAAAATGTCAGACCAGCCAAGGACGTAATGCTTATGTGATAAAAGCTGTTGCTTCTCCCACCCACTCCCACCCTGCCTATCACAGTCATGCTGCCTAGGTTTTGACTTTCCTCTGCAGAGAAGTTGGGTTGGAGTTAATAGCGATGAAAGCAAACTCAAGCTATCATGCATGACAATTTGAGTTAACTTTTATCACAATATTAACTCCACATCAACTTCTGCATAGCGGGATGCTCTTGGTACTCTTGATAATTTCCTCAATTATACAAAATTTTGCCTTAGCTCAATGGTAATATGCTTAATAACAGGCTCAGATTAGAAATATAGTAACCTATTAGTACTATTCAAGTGCTGATTAACTGCAAACACGTTATGTTCCGCCAAGTCAAGTGAGCATATGAAGTGACCTTATACCTGACCCTTTAACCAGAGTTTGAACCAGGGGCAATCCCTGCAAGGGACATTCTCTGTCATGGCTCTACAGCTCCCCACCCAACTGCATACAGAAACACGCTTACCCTGAAAACAGAAGCAATGATTCAATTTGGCATGTCTTAATATCTGAAGGCCCCTCCCATTTTACTATTGCCGTACAAAAGCAATGGCAGAAACAGGGAAGGATATCCTCTTACCTTTTGCTTCTTTTTTCTTGCATTTTGTGGCTCTTCTCCTTCCTCGATCAACTTCAGTGCAAGCTCTTTATTAACCTTGGGCAGTTTCTAGCGAATGAAAGAAATGTTAAAACTATGGGCTACTGAACAAACTGCATTTAAGCCAAAGGACATTCTGCAGCCATGGTTTGTTTCAGCATACTCTGCTCTGCTTCCACTGCTGTCTCATTACCCTTAAGACTTTACGGTGCCCAAATACTGGCACTGCCTTCCATGTCCCCGTTGCCCTTTTTGTTGCTGGCTGCAGGAGCAAGGGTGTGAAAATCTTCTTGGCAGTCTTATAAGGCTATTGTCAAACAGCTACTCTCCCCTTCCATTCCTCCAGAAAGAAACACCCATACTCCTTTGCAGCTTGATTCTTTCATCAATTTACAATCTGTTTTTACCATGTATTTAGACTTTTGAGTTTAGTAAGCATTGCTTAAGTTGGTACCACCTTCAACCTGTTCCCCCCTACACTCTGTGCTGCCAGGGGCTTTTAATTTTAGTAATGCATTTTATTAATGCACACTTAAGCAGCTTCATCTGTAAGCAGCTTCATCTGTTAGTTGTAATGGCTGTCAGAAATCGAACCTCTTTTAAATTAGATGCTTTGCTGTCTTTAGATGCTTTGCAAGTATTTACTGTGGATATTTCTCCTCACTTGATTAGAGTTACATATTCTGACAAGATCTGAGAGGGTGTTGATCACATGTGACATCCAACAGCATCCTCCCACCAAGGTGAAAGATTTCTGCTTGGGCAATAGTAACCTCCTTTCTTCTTCTTCCCCCTCCAAAGCTGCTCTGGAGGGTTTGGGGACCCTTCCCAGAGGAGATATGTGAATGTGCATGGCAGGGAGAGGAAAGGGGTCCGTGGAACACTAAATATCACCCAGTGTGTCTCAGGGCATCACAAATGTACAGGAATGTTAGGGTAGCTTCTCCATCACTCCATAATGGACTGTTTATGGAAACTTCCTTGAACAGTTAAAACTGCACCTTTACCTTTAGTTGCACTCTTTGTGCCCGCGTTTCTTCAATCTTCTGCCTAATTTTCTCTCTTCTGTATTCCTCATAGGCAAAAGGATTCACCATCATTTTTACCTGCAAACACAAAATAGTTAAGTGGAGAAAAGGAAAGAACTCATAAGATGCCCTGTTTCTAAGCAGCCTTATTTTGCCCAGTTCACCTTGTGATACAGTCGTATGTCCATGAAAAAGCCATGCATATATGCTCGGAGAAGTGGCGATCCAATCAGATGAGCCAGCCCTGAGGTGGAGAGGGGTGGGGGGAAGAGAGAGAGAGAAAGAGACACAGACAGAAAATATTAATGTATCAGGAAATATTTTGGCTACATCACAGAAGGTTTTTTTTTTTTAAGTAAAATAAAATTGGGGTTGTAATTTTCTTGGGGATGGTTGTACATAACCATTTGCAAAAATTTTGAAAGTTCCTAGTTTATAGCCTTCAGACATGTTCAGAACACTAGACAGACATATTGGAATGTATTTACACCTTCGCTGCATACAAAGGTTCGTCCATTTCTCCAACAACATTATTGGGAGTATGCCATGTGTGAAAGGACCCCTTTGAATGGGTTGCTTTTCCAACATGGGAAGGAAATGTACACTTAATATACGTTGCCAGGTGAAAAGCTGCAAACTGTCATGTAAAATTTCTTGCTAGCTTGATGTAGGCTTTGTAGACAAAAGGAAAAAGACAAGGAGTCATGTGTTGTACCCACAACTCCATCATGTCAAAAAGAGATGGGCTAGGACAGGCAAACCATCACTGCTCCCTCTCTCAGCAGCAGGAGGCAGCAACTATAGCAGCATGTAAACAAAATGAGTAACTGAGAGCAAAATTAATGAAAAAGAACAAGAAAGAATAAAGAAATTCTTGCATCTTTCAAGGCAGCAATACTGTACCTAAATTGTCAAGGTCTTTTCTTGTTACGAACTTGTAGTCATCATATACAGTTGTCTCTGGGTTTTCCTCCAGCTCTTCTGTCAAGTTATCAAGAAACGAGCACCATTTTGGAGCAGGACCTAAAACCTGTAAATGCACCAAGGTTAGTCGTAATCACTGTTCCTGTGACATTCCAACAGCTGTTATTACATAATTTGTCATTACTTTAACCAGAACACTGAACTTCTAACTTTGCAGACGAGAGGACAGCCAGATGAGTAAGCCTGTTAAGACTGTACAAGTCCTGTTAAGATGCAAGTCTGAACAGTGTAAGTGACGTACAGTCAAACCATTAAACTATAGTAATTGTGTGGTGAACTGTGGTTCAAAAACAAATACAGGGGATTCAGTCCACCCACTATATAATGGTGTTTCAATTTCTCCCCTAAAAAGAAAGAGAGAGATTGCCAAGTAATTAGTGAACCTAACGAAGCTGTTCCAGGATTTAAACATATGAAGGATCACGGAAAACTACAGCTTTGCTGGAGAAGTTGTGATAGTTGTAAGTGCACCCTGAACAGATACAAAAGTGTGTAGATACCATTTCTTAAGGCTAGGTGCATTAATGAAGGTATTCACACAGACATGGAAAATTCATGCAAATGGCTTTGCCACATATTGCTAAAAGAGCAACACAATTAAATTAAAAATAAAATGGATTTGTAGGTTTGTTTTTCGGTCGTCTACTAGACTCATGTAAATCCATGTCAATCAGCACAATATTTATTGCAGCACTCCAAACCATTTATGGTGATGAAGCGTTTGCTGATTTAAACTCCTACCCCCCTTGCTGGAATCAAATAGATTCCAGTATGTGCAAGGTGTTGCAGGGGGTGGTAGGGAGGTCAGAAGGTTTTCAGCTCCCTGATTTTAGAGGTCAGGGGGTCTTCCATAAAAAGTCTGCCATCGCAAGCCCACCCACCCAACAATACATATACAACTTTCTCGGGATCCCAGTCAAGCCTACATGCAAACATAGGCCCTGCTGGAACTAGGTCAGCAACTCTTTTTTTGGTAAAACCTTCTGAAGGTTGTGTGTAGATATAGAGACAGATAAAAGTAGTGTACATAAAGATCCCGTTCACCTGGTCAAATGCACTGCTTAATAAACAGATACGCATCAGCTTCAGACATCCACACATAACCAGTTTCTGCAAGCAAGTGAAAAACCCAGGAAACTGCAGGTAACCATAGCTTCCTGTTACACCCCAAACTGAGAAACTGTGATGAATGGCTTCTCAACAATCCAGAATATATTAAGCCATGGTTTTAAATTTGGTTTCAAGATTCTGGCCTGCTTGGAAGCCATTACTCATAGCTTCCCTGTTTGGATGCAAAAGGAAGCTACAATGTTAACTGCAATTTCCTGGCTTGTCTGAAGCTTGTGCATATCTTGACTGATTAAGCAAAGATTTGACCATGCAAACGTGAAGATTGTGGCACTAAATGCACATTTTCATTGTGCTGACCTTAAAGCTGATCCTCCATGTTTTGGAAATGCAATGTTTCATTCCCCTTTCCTCCACTTTTGAGACTGATGCTAATGACATTATATGCCGAAATACTAAAATTAAACACAGGGGACAGGTTGAATACCACAATAATGCATGGAATATGGATTAAAACATTGTATGGATTCATATAGCCTGGCGGGGGGCTGTCAGTTATGACCCCTGATGCCACACTACTGATGTATCTCAAAATTAGGTTTCCATTTCCTCCAAAATTCAGACCGACTGAACTCTTTTCCACTGTTGATATCAATCTCTCTCCCACTTCATGCGCACACAGTCACACCCAGTGAAGCTAGATTATTTGAGTAACCGGAGAATGCATCAAGGTAAACATCAAAAGCCCTCTCTCCAAGGGAAGGAAACAGGAAATAATGGCAAGTTCGGAATACCCAAAGCACCTACAAAATGGAACGTTAGAAGGTCTGCTTCCTTTTTAAAAATGTTATCAGTGGTGATAATTTAAGTGAAAACAAACAAGGAATTCTAAAAGGTCATGGTCACTATCCAAATACACTACTTGATTAACCAAAAAAAGTATATGTATCTTTGCTGTGCTGTACATATATGCTCTGAGTACAATGACTGTGACAATGTCCACTTGAACTACTGTATACTATGCAAACAACTGTTCTACATTGGGAAGGGGTGTGGATTAACAAAAATGTCAATATTATAACACGTGGGAAAAACAGTAATCACAAAATATTACAGTACTTTAAAAACAAACATGGTTTCTGGATATTGAATGTCAGCTGTTTCTAGTGGACACATTTTCCAATTCCAAGCTGTTTAAAAATATTTCCTTGGCATCATTAACGTTTATTTATTTTGTGTATCCACACAATGTTTGGGGGAGAACTACCAATGACTAAAGATGAGTTGCATTTATAAAACAGGCTGAGTTAAAAACTACTCATCCAAATATGCTACGTCTGTTAAATTTAACTGCTGACATTTCTTGCAAAGCAAGCTGTTGTATCTCAGTGGACCACAATTTATGGGATTTTTTTAGTGTGTTGTTGGTGCAATCTTAAAAGAAAAAGGTAACAGGGGGTACTTGCACCAGAGTTGCAGAAAACTGCCACAACGAAGAGCTACACATATAATGAAATGGGAAGATTCAGACATATCTTTGTCCCTTTCAGAATCAGAAGAATCTTCAGCCACTAGCCATAGCAATAAAATAAAATAAAATAAATGTACTGAAGATAGAGGTAAAAACTTAACTATGCAAAATACATTTTGGAGGTTTGCATCAATAATCAAATAATAGATCTTATTCTAATTGCCCCTGCTAAAAACCTTTCAGTCTTTGTCCCTTTTTTCCCTTTGCTAAATATCCTTAACTGACTACACAAAAAACCCCTACTCCTCATTCTTTCCATAACAACGTCCTTGACATTAAATCCACCCCACCCACAAATATCCTGCTATGAGAAAGTGCCCGAGCTAAGCATATTGTAGTTCTATTAAATTTATTTTTCAGCCTTATATGATAACCAGCACAATTAAAGCTGCCCATTCTAGCTTTATACTTTCTGGGTCACCCTTAGATCTCTTTGAGTTTGGTTGCATGTGTGTATTTTGTCCTCTTCCAGTCACTGCTAATTATCTAGAGATCAAACTTTTTTCTTTTTCTTTTAAAGGATTATGGATGCATTGCTCATCGTCTGAGCAAGCTGCTCCAAGGAAGAGGATGCATTAACAATTTGTCAGAAGCTGACAAAGTAAATTGCTCCTTAGAACTCTAAACAACACATAAAGGTCTTCCATAGACAATTTCCACTCATTTCCTTCTTGCCGGGCATCTTTTATTTCCCTTCTCTACAGCTGTCCTAAATAACCACCTCTGGAAGCCCTTGAGTGTCCCCATTACAAGATTCCTGCCCACCCCCAGTCCAAACACTTAATAGGCATTGAGACATAAAGGTTTCAAAAGAGTACATATGGGCCACATCCAGCTTGCCAAGGTCTTTCTTCCCCTTCTTCATGATAACCTGCCTGCAAGTTGGTAGGTCTGAAGTAGGCTACAAGCCATACATTGGCTCCCCAACCCAAGACTAAAGGGCGAAACCTTCTACAGACTCACCAGAACTCAATATTTCACAGGCATGCTAGACTGGCTTATTTGGGTCTTAAGTTATTCACATCCATGCAGTGCAATATCACATGTTTACTCAGAATATAATAGGATTCATTGTGAATAAATAACTTGCCAGAGTTATACAGGCCATTACCGACCATAGGCCATTTACATGTGGGAAATGGCACTGGATTTTTTTTAAAAGGCAGTTTTGCTGAGCTTTGGGTGGGGGGCAGAACCGGAACGGGGGCGGGGTGGAGATGAGAGAAGGATGTTTTGTTTATTATCTTATGCAGATGTCCCATAAAAAAAGGTGAGCAAACAAAAGTATAGTTATTCCACAGTAAAGGCGCGGGTGGCACTGTGGGTTAAACCAGAGCCTAGGACTTGCCAATCAGAAGGTCGGCGGTTCGAATCCCCGCAATGGGGTGAGCTCCCGTTGCTCCGTCCCTGCTCCTGCCCACCTAGCAGTTCAAAAGCACATCAAAGTGCATGTAGATAAATAGGTACCGCTCCAGCGGGAAGGTAAACAGCATTTCCGTGCACTGCTCTGGTTCGCCAGAAGCGGCTTAATCCTGCTGGCCACATGACCCGGAAGCTGTACGCCGGCTCCCTCGGCCATTAAAGCGAGATGAGTGCCGAAACCCCAGAGTCGGTCACGACTGGACCTAATGGTCAGGGGTCCCTCTACCTTTACCTTTAAAGGCCCAGTTTGGAAGCATCTCAAATCTCCAATACCTTTGTAAACAGAACAAGACCTTTCACTTTAAAACATTTAAGTGGAACAAATGAATCCCATGGGCAGTATGTGGTCTGCCCCTGAATGAGGCTGCTTGGCATCCCTTGGAAGTAAGGCAGTGTAGCGTTTTTAACACTCTGCAGGCATAAGCAACCCATTTCCTCTACTTCCCAAACTCTAGAGCAGGGATGGGGAACCTGTGGTCCTCCGGATTAAATGCTGGACTATGGTTCCCATCATCCTTGACTACTGTCCATGCTGGCTGGGGCTGATGGAGTCCAACAACATATGGAGGGCTAGAGTTTCCTCATCCCTGCTGTAGAGCTTTCTACTGTCATCTAGGCCAGAGTTTTTCTACTTGAGCCAAACTGTAGCAGCCATTTATGAACTGGATCATATTCACTAATGCAGTGCCTCACTTCTAACAGCAGTATCTGTGCTTCACATCCGCTTATCGGGTGCACAGACACTTCCCAACGGAGCATCCAAATGTGTTAAGAGATTCTACCGGATGGCCCCCACAAAATTACTTCCCGAGTGTCACACATTGGATGGTTTCCGCACCTATGCCCACACGCGCGCATTTCCTTTGAGGCAACCTGTTTTGATGGGAAGTGGAGGATTTCCTTTGTTGTGAATAAGCCCAACGTGCTACTTTTGAGATTGAAAGTATTTATCTGAAAACAGATAGGAAACCCATGCTTCCTGTTTTGAGAAGGAAAAACAATCGTCCAACAGGTTACACTTAAAAATACTAGCAGAAAAACCACAGCCTTTCACTTGAAATCCATACAGTATTACTCTATGCAGACACGGATGCAGAAGAGAGACAGAGACCTAATATTGTATGAGCGTAATTTACAATGTTCGTGATATTTTAAAATCTGTATGAAAATGCCCTTAGGATACACCCATTAAATGGCGCGTCCATTAAATCCCACATCTGTACCTCCTTTAATAGTTTATGCAAGAATTCATCTAAGTTGTGGGTGGAAAGACTAGGGTTTTAAACGGGGCGGGGGGAGAGAGACATCTTGTGAAAACAGAATTTAAATATTGACTGTTTTGTACTTCACCACTATAGAAAAAGTACAACCAAACAATAACTGTTATCAAGCTTTCCATCAAGTGAAAAGAAGGAAGAGTTATTAACAAAGCCATCAGTGGCTGATACAACTTTTCCCCTGAACAAATTATTTTAAAAACAACCATGGTCCTTCTCAGCTTAGATCTTTTAAAAGCACAAAATAAAATAGTACAGTGGTACCTCAGGTTAAGTACTTAATTCGTTCCAGTGGTCCGTACTTAACCTGAAACTGTTCTTAACCTGAAGCAGCACTTCAGCTAATGGGGCCTCCCGCTGCTGTCGGAGCACGATTTCTGTTCTCATCCTGAAGCAAAGTTCTTAACCTGAGGTAATATTTCTAGGTTAGCAGAGTCTGTAACCTGAAGCGTATGTAACCCGAGGTACCACTGTAATGTCCTGCAATTCTCTTTCACTGCCCTATCATAGCCTTTCCCATCCTTAATGTGATCTTCACTCAAGGCATTTGGCAGTTCAGTGCTCTTGCAATACTCAAGAGATTCTTTCCAGAAGTTGCAGGGCTGTAATTCCGATCATTCATGACCATTAGCCATACTGCATAGAGCTGGTGGATATTGGGAGTCCAACAACATCCCGAGGGCCACAGGTTGGCAGCCCCTGCCACACCTTCTGGAAGGCTGATTTCAGCCATTTTCCAGCATCCTGTTTATGGAAAACAATTCAGGTTTCCACAGCCAACATAACACAACACCAACCAGAGTTGTTCTCTAATTTTCAGATCATTACTTCCCCATGTTGTGCCCCGGAATGAAGTCCAAGAAACAAGTTGACAAAACATGCAACTAATTTGTATTAGTTTGTCTGCGGTTTCTCCCTTTTAATTTATATAACTGTGATCTTAAATCATTGTAAGGCACTACATGGGCATGGCGGAAATCGCGCAATTCAAGGGAAAACCTTTCAGCTATGCAAATTAAAGTGGAGCTTTCTGCAACTTGAATCCACAAGTAAGCACCTTTATACTTTTGCACTTTCTAGCCGGGGTGCATAAATCAAAGTTTTGGGGTTTTTTGTATCTGGTGTAGGAGGTGGAAGACTGGATTAAGTTACAAACCTAGGAAAGCCAAGAAATGCAAGTACGGCTGCAGGCAAAATAAATGCAAACCTATCTTGTGGAATTTGGGGGATTTCACCGCACTCCTCTTCCTCATAATCCTAAAGGGAGGCTGTGATTGGCTGCACTAAATTCTATGATATGCTTTCAAGTTCTATCGAAGTTCAGCAAAGTAAAAAAAAAAACCCAAACCCAAGTCATTAACCATTTACGTTAATGTGAACTGGAAATAAAACAGCACCTTCTTCCCTTTCTGCACATGCCAATTTGCACTTACTCTGTGAAACCAAAACTGAACGTGGTCTTTATTTTATTTTTCCTCCTCTCCTCTGGCATATTTCATTAAGGCAAAAAACCTATGCTTTAAAATATTACCTGGCCACAATTGCATGCCCTCAACCACGCTTTGGCCTTCTGCTTCTCAAACAAGACTCCCAATTTATGCCACGTCACAAACCACTTTTGAAACTAGGGTGGCTTTCAACACCAGTTTGTATTGTGGAATGGGAAAACTTGCAGCCTGGCCAGTGCAATGGATGATGGGAGTTGTAGTTCAAAACATCTGGAGGGCACCAAGTTGAGGGAAGGCTGCCTCAAGCCTTCTGGGATTAGTGTTTCTCAAGAACCACCTCCTGCATCCCATATGAAATGCAGCAGGTGGGGGATCTGAGACAGGCCTTTTTGACTGATGCTCAAATTCCGAAACTCCCTTCCAAAAACGGCCATTTTGTCATGCTTGCTCCTCACACTGGCTGCATTTGAACACCATACTATGCCCATTTTATCTTGATGGGAGTTAGCCATAGCGAACCTTGGGCTCACCTGCTGTCCCCTCTCAGGCATGGTTGGGAGGAGAATGGAAGCTTCTGTGACCGTTTTTGATTAAATACATCTTAGTTTTATATTAAAACCTTAAGCTGTGGTTATAATCTCGATTATGGTTTGTTGAAACAATCCAGTTTCGTAATCAGTCATTTGAAGCTGGCTGGTTTCTAACAAATCATAATTAAGATTAACCAGAGTTTTATGGCTTCAGAGGAAGCAACAAATTGCAACTATATATGGACATTTAACCTCCTTAATGTCTTGTGGCACACCAGAGGAGAAGGGTTATCCATGGTTTACCATGTCATCTGAACACAGATATTTGAAGCTTTTGAAGAAAGTCTTTATTGTAAGGCTCAGTAATAAACTGACCTTTATTGTAAGGCTCATTAATTAATTACTCTTTCATGAGCTTCTTTCTTTTAATTCTGTATACTGGTGGTTGCATTATCGTTGTTTTAACGATATTTTCATTTTCTTGTTTTTAATTTGTGAGCTGTGTGTTTCAATAAACTATGATTAAAAAGTGACTGGCTTGATCCCAGAAGTAATATTTATGCAGGTTTTAGATGTGCTTCATTTTAACAGAAAACTGATACTTTCTCTCTCAGTAGTTTTTTCCAGTTCTGCTAATTCAAAACTAAATTGTAATGAGTAAGAGAAAAGCTTCAAGGTTAGTTCAAAACAATTCTACTCTTTTAAAACCAATATAGTTGCATTATTACAACAGGGTGAGAGTGAAATGTATCCATGATAAATTTCTGGAATATACTTTTCAGTAGCAAGTTTACACCACAGACTCAAACATACATGTTAAAATGTACTGTACAGTACAAATACAGAACTGTATTACAATAGAAAACAAAGCACAGGGCTATTTCATGGTGTCCAGAGATCATAACAGCAGAGAAATTTTTTGCTTTACTTACTGGTATGTAGTAGATGCTCATTTTGGGGGCTTCATTGGCCGTGAACAGCATTCCTAAAGATTATAAGAGAATCTTGTAAAAGACGACATCCCCTCCCATTTTTAACTTTCAGAAATTTGAACTGAACACACTTGGTGAGAACATGAATCCCAAAGCTATTACTAAAAAGAAATTGGAGAGCACTATGGACATACCAGCTCTGGCTCAGTAAAAGCTCCACTCTTTTGAGTGCCCAGAGCTGTTCCTGTTTCCTCTTCTTCTCTTACCACATACACCCTCACCCAGTCAAATGCCATTTTATTTTATTCAGAAAGTCACCTTTCCAGACCAGTCCTCAATACCATCCAAGTATCTGAAAAATGGAGGGTTAATTTTTGTTCTCCCTTGAAAGCAACAACAGATGTAGTCCTCCCATGAAATCAGTAGCAAAATGACCATGGATTTTAAGGGAGCAGGAATGAAAATGGTCAAATTTTCTGTTGCAGAGTTAATTATTAGTAGCTCCAGATGGTTTATATGAAATCTAGTCAGCTCTTAAAAGCTCTTGTTGAAGAACGGATATATAATTTTATGAAATAAATTTTCATATATATATGAATTTTATGAAATTCATATATAAATTTTATGAAATAAATAAATAAAATAGAAATGTAAGATAGGGCTACCATACATCCAGATTTTCTTTAAAAAACCTCTATAACTTTTGGGGTGTCCTGGTTTTTACTTTTTGAAATATGGCAACCATATGTAAGAACCCATATGTGCCCATCTGAATTGTTTCAGGAAATCTACCCAGGCATGTGATTTTAGTAAGTATAATTGTTTTAAAACTACTTGTTTTATATATTCTTTAACGTAATGTAACTTGTTTTTAATGTTTGCTTTTATTGGTATTTTTAATGAACACTTCAGATTGTGTTTTGTAACATATTTAGAGGTCTGTTGTTTGAATAAGTGATAGTAAGCAAATAAACTCTGCAGTTGGAGTCACTTTTTTCACCCTTCTGCTATGTCAAAAGAGTGAAGAGAAGAGGGTTTCGACGAGTGGAAAAGCACCTTTGAAATCAAGCCATTTTCTTTTATCTTCTACTCACAGGAATGAATGATAATTTTTTCCCAGCAGTCAGTGAAGAGGAGGTGAAAGGGAGGATTCAGTTTAATAATTATTTCAAAAGTTTCTAATAGTTCTGTCAAGAAAAGGAAAAACAACTTCCTAATGGAGGCAATATTCCCACAGACTGAAGGTGTGCACTCTTTGGGGCAGTGGCTGGATGCAGATATACGATAGGGAGAAATCTGAATTAAAGAGATTCCTAGAGCTCTTTTGTTTAAACACGCTAATCCTGATCACTGTTTACAGGAAGAGGGACACACCTATTAAACCACAGAGCAGACTAATCAGATTACATGAAGAAGTATTTCAGACTTGTTTGAATAACCTTCTCATTACTAAAATACTGACACCTGAAATTATGCTGAGGAATGAGATCTTGTAGGTGTTTCATGAAGCCAGAGGATGAAAGAATGAAACATCCAGTTTTGACAAGGATATGATTTTTATGAGAAACGAAGGATTTGGAATGTAGGAATGAGCTGAAGTGTGCAAGATAAAACACTGGAGACACAACTGACTGCTTGCTGTTTCTTGGATATAGATATTTATTCCGACAGGAACAACCTTTTTAGACAGGCACTATTCTGCTTGTTCCATCACAAGCATTTCTGCTTGCCAGATGGAACGATCCCTCCTCTCCACCCCCCCACCATGCTGTTTTGGGGGTTCACCAGACCTGCCAGTCAATTTGGGAGTGTGGGATGTGAAGCCACATTGCACTAGCAAGAGCCCTTGTACTGACTTCCACTAGCATGCTGGCTCAGTTGAATCTAGCCCCTAGTCTCGTATAGGATTCCACAAACAGGCCTAGACATATTTCAAAACTTGCAAGGAGCAACCATACATACTAATAGCACTCTCAGTTCTCTTGAGGGCTGGTCCTTATGTAGCCAAACCAACACAATGGGGCAGTGTCAGCTGGCCTGGAGAAACTCCCGAGGTTTGCCGACGTTAACCGGTAAGGGTGGAACACAGCCTGTGGAGAGGCAGTGTTGCCACACATGCACACTATGCAACAACAGAGCCTTGCCCTGGCTGTTGGAATGAGGGGCCCATCAGTGGCACATGAAGTCTGGTGCTGGCTCTGGAGACACTGTTTGGGGTGGGGCTGGGAGCCAGAAAACAAGGGGAACGAATAATTTCAGGAATCCTGAACAAAAGCCCTCCATACTGCAATATTACGTTGCAGGTCCCCCTTCTGATTATTTGCAACCCAACAGAGGACCAAAATCAACCACACCCAGGTAGGAAAGTTACCAGATGCAATCATGTTTGGACCAGCATGGTTACCTATTACCTGGTGAAGAATTTTCCACATACCTGAATTAGGATATATGCAAACATCATTAATATCATGTTCAGGCTCCAAGGAAGTGAATACCTTCCCCTGAAACAGAAAAATAAGCAACATAAAGGATTAACCCAGCTCTTTTGAAAGAGCCAGTTAGGCAATATAATAACCTCTCCATTGCATGCAAAAAGCTCCAGGTTCGACTCCTGCCATCTTCATTTGGGCTGGAAAGGACTCCTGCCTATAACACTGGAGAGGTGCTGCTAATCAGTGTTGACAATACTGGGCAGCTTTCCTATGTCAATTAATTGTCTCGCCTATCCAAACAGATTCTGAAGGCAGCTTACTCCAATTGAAAAATACATAGGACCCACCCTCTTTAAAAAACAAGGTTTCAACAACCAAGCAAATATAAACAGTCTGAATCACTCTCACTTTAGCCTGCCTTTACTGAAGACATTCTCAAAGTAATCTTACATAATTTTCACCTGCTAATATTCACTGTTTGTGAAAGTGGTCAGCTCACGTGAAAGTTTTATTTCCTGCATGGTAAGGACTGAACTGCAGAAGAGGAACTCTCCAGAGCAGAGCTTTCCAAACTGTGTGTCGCGACACGTTAGTGTGCTGGCTGCACTGTGTAGTGTATCATGCGAATGCTCCCTGCACCGGGGCTGGAAAGAGGTTAGTTTAACCTCTGGCTTGCTAGTAAAACTGAATTACCATGTCGCGAAACGATGCATGTCTAAAAAGTGTGCCGCCAACATGAAAAGTTTGAAAAGCTCTGCTCTGGACAGTTATAACTTTTGCAAATAAGGTGTCATCAGTGGGTCCCAGAAAAAGAAAAGTAGAACAGGAAGGAAGACGAGGACAAAAGAGGAAAGATGAGAAGGTGTGTGTCTATCCGTCTGTCTGTGCTGGGAGGCCCTGGGGGAGGAAAGGAGCAGAAGAGAACAGGTTTGATAGGCCCTTCTTGCATTTTGCACCAGTTGCATTAGTGGCAGTTTGCTGCCTGCTGAATAACATGGCCGTCATGCATTGCTTTACACTGAAATTGAGAGAATTTGGGGAAGAACAGTAATTCAGTGGTAGAGTTTATCTGCTCTGCATGCAGAGGGTCCCAGGTTCCATCTTCAGCATCTCTAGGTAGGGATGAGAGAGACTCCCTCCCTGCCTGAAACCCTGGAGAGCCACTGCTAATCAGTGCAGACAAGACAGACTGAGCTAGATGCACCAAAGATCTGGCTCATTATAAGTCACCTTCTTGCACTTCCAAAATGGGAGACGAAACACTGATATTATTCAACTCGTACATTCATGATGTTCTCACTAAGAGGTCACCTGAATGTTAAACACCATTATAAAAACACAATATGACCAGAGCCCAAATTCCTGTAATGCAAAACGTGTACTACAGTCATAAGCATAAACCTTCATTGCAGGGCAGATGATGTTAAAAGAAACACTCTTATGCCCCATCAATTTCAGTGAGAGAGTGAAGCGTATCAAACTTCTTCCAGTGAAAGCAGCAGGACTTGAGTGCTTAAGCTTTGGCTGGATCTTAGAGAGGACCTTTTCAGTGGCAGCACCCAAGCTACAGAATAGCCTCTTCAGAAAGGCTTGTTGTTGCTGTTTAGTCGTGTCCGACTCTTCGTGACCCCATGGACCAGAGCACACCAGGCACTCCTGTCTTCCACTGCCTCCCGCAGCTTGGTCAAACTCATGTTGGTAGCTTCAAGAACACTGTCCAACCATCTCATCCTCTGTCATCCCCTTCTCCTTGTGCCCTCCATCTTTCCCAACATCAGGGTCTTTCCCAGGGAGTCTTCTCTTCTCATGCCTGCTACCATCTTCTTTATGGTCTTTTCAGCAGCAAATGGAAGATTGTTTTACTCTCCGAGACTTCAAAAACCCCTGCTCTCACAAATCCGATTTTCTAGTCCCACGGATTGTGTGTGTGTGTGTGTGTGTGTGTGTGTGTGTGTGTGTGTATATTTAGATGTATTGGCGATTTGGCTCTACTGCTGCAAGTTTTTTTTCCTATGCTGCAATTGAGATATTTTTAATATTGTATTTTATCTTTTTGAGCTGCTAGGAGACCTAGACTATCAGGCAGCCAATAAAAATACAATAAATAAATCAATTAATAATTTCATGGAGTGTATGGCTAACAATGGCTACTAGCCATGATGGTTATATTACCATCTGTGTTCAGAGGTAGCATCCCTTTGAATGCTAGTTGCTGAGGATCATGAACACTGAGAGAACTATTGTGCTCACTTCCTGCTTTTCAGCCTCCCAAAGTGAATGAGTCACTGTGAGCCTTTGGACCAGGCTTCCTCAAACTCGGCCCTCCAAATGTTTTGAGACTACAATTCCCATCATCCCTGATCACTGGTCCTGCTAACTAGGGATCATGGGAGTTGTAGGCCAAAAACATATGGAGGGCAGAGTTTGAGGAAGCCTGCTTTGGACTGATCCAACACGGTTCCTCTCATGCTCTTAAGCATCCTTATTTGCTCTCTAACACTTTCAAGATGTGGGCTACAGTCTTTTCCGTTCAGAAGGCAAAAATGAATGTTAAGACATGCAGTTCTTTAGCCCAGTGCTCTGCAGTTAGGATGCAGCAGTCTGCAACAGGCTCCATTTTATTTTATATAAACTTGGGCGAGGCCACCCAAATCGCTTCAGGCAATTTCCCGCTATAGCCATTTGGGCAGAAACGCTAAACATCCGAGTTCTATGAAGGCTCTTTGTTATATAAAAGACGACTGATGAAAAATAAAGTGAGACATTATAAATGCTTATGACCTGCAGTATACCTGCACTTTAAGAGGCGCAATAAATATGATCCAGTTGCAAGTAATTCAAGAACTGAATTACTGAAGCTGTTCTTAAAATTCCAGGATATGTGCTTTGTGTGTGTGTGTTTAAGCACAGACATCCAAGCCATACATACTGCACCACTGGCATAAAATTGCCTTCCACTGACAGCCAGGTCCTGTATATTAAAAAGAAGGCAATTGGCTGATTATGTTGTTGCATATGTGAAAGAAAGAATGGAAATCAGCTCCTTCATTGAGAAATGAAACAAGGCCCAGATGGTGCATGTTAGGTGGCTGGATTTGCATTGGAGTTGCAAATTGGGACATTTAAGAAACTTGTGTGTAATGGTGAGAGAAATGACTGCAAGGCTCATACAGTAGCCTCCTCCTTCTAACAGGTGCCAGTGAGGAGCCTCCCCCCCTCCAAATCGCAAACATGCAATCTTTAGCTGAGGTGGGACAAACTTCCTGCCTGCTGCGATAGGAATCGGCCTCATGCTTTTCGTGCCGTGTGTGGACACGGCCTTGCTGGACCGCTAAGGAAAGGACAAGTAATGGATTTCCCCCCCTTCCATGGGAAGTGTGTGGATTTCCCATTCCACTATAACATTTTCCACATATGTATCCCGGGGGGAAATCACTCCAAAAGACTCACGTAGAAAGGAAAAGAAGTTTGGTCACAACCAGCCCTGATTCGCAAGTGGGGAGGGGGGCAGAAGGAGGAAGGAGAGCGGCTGCTTTGAAGCTAGCATCATGTTGCCTGACCCAGTCATTCACTTCTAGGCATTACGGCTTCTGCTTCTTGTTTCCTCCTTACCTCGCTTCCACCACCCGCAGCAATGATCTCCCATGTACCAGCAAAATGCACTGGCATTGCCTTTTAAGGCCTTTTTATTGTTTTATCACCTGTTGTTTGCTGCCACAGACTCCTTTGGGTAAATAATAAACTTGGTAAATAATAAAATAATGAATGCTAAATCAGGGCTGGGGAACTGGTGGCCTTTGAGATCCTGTTGTTCTCCCAACTCCCATCGGCCAGGGATGATGGGATTTTGGAGTGCAGCAACACCTGGAGGACCGTAGGTTCTCCATCCCTTAGCTGAATCATGGCTGTTGCTTGCCTGCTGTGAGTGGCACATGCTGGGACAGCAGCAGGAAGGCCCATATCCCTGGCTCAGACATGACATCAGGCCGATGCTGAGCCTCATTAGAGCAGAGGGAAAACCACACCAAAGTCCAGGGGTCAAACTAGCAAAGATTTATCATAACTGTGATAACCTATGTTGGAAATGTAAAGAAAAAGAAGGAACCTTTTATCACATGTGGTGGACTTGCCCCAAGGTGAAAGACTTCTGGGGAAAGATTTATAATGAATTGAAAAAAATGTTGAAATATACATTTGTAAAGAAACCAGAGGCCTTTCTCCTTGGAATAACAGGTTTGGAATTGCCCAAGAAAAATGTTAAATTATTTTTGTATGCCACAACTGCTGCTCGAATATTACTAGCTAAGAAATGGAAAACGCAAGAACTACCAACTGTGGAAGGATGGCAGATGAAGATGATGGACTTTTCGGAGCTAGCCGACCTGATCAGAATGAGGAGGAGTATCAGGAAGAATGGACAAAATTTAATGACTACTTAGTTAAATACATCAAGTTAGAATAATTGGAAAAAGCTTGGCTTAGGGTATAAATAAGTAATATGAGGATTTATTATGTATAATGCTGAATTGGGAAGAAAGACTGATGTTAAGTGATTAAGTTAAGATTTTAAGAACTTTGATTTGGAAAACCGTGAAAATGATATCCACTGAAATTCAACTAGGGGGATACGAGGAAGTCACTTAACAATGTTAAGAAGATTAGTTTTAATAAGGATATGATTTATGTTTGTCTGTTTATTTGTTAGTGTGTTTTTTAATTTTGTGAAAATCAATAAAACTTTTTGAAGAAAATAAAAAGTCAGGGGTGGGCAGAGCAGCTAGGCTGTAGAGGCAAGGAAGTACAGACTTAAAGTGGCCATTCATTTGGAGGGGAAAGAGAGAGATCTGGCCTAAACCTGTTCAATGCTGAATCTTCAATGATTCAGCTAATTAAGCAGATAAAAGGGTACAAAGCATTTTGTTTCCTTTTGCACTCCTCCCTTTTTTCCCCTTGTGTGGTTGACAGCTTCACCTCCCTCCTGGGTGCTTCCTTTCCCTCCCTGTTTAATTTCTGCCACCCCACCCACTTCTGCTGCCTTCCGCCTTGGTAATTAACAGGAGGAAGGGTCTTCCCCCACCTCCACGCTTTTGGAAAACAAAAGAGCTGGATGCTCCCCCGCTGCAGGCAAGTCTCTGTAGGTCCTCTCTGCCACACACCCTTCCTCTTTTCGCCACAGATTTCCAGCCAGAGACAGTTAAAGGAACCAGCATCAGAGAAGAAGAGGCCAGTGGGAACACATCACCTGCCAAGGAAGAACAACTGCATCTGCCTTGCAGCCAGAAATCTCCTCATTTGGCATTCCACAAGCCACTTTGAACTCTTGCAGGTGCAATTTGGAGAGACAAAATATATTGATTCTTGTTGCCTAGGACTGCATGACGTTCACATTCCAACACACAATTAAACACATCCTTACAAACATGCACTGGGCTGCAGTCTATGGATTAGAGTCACATGGAAGGGGGTTGGCGGAAAGTGACTACCCTTCTCCCAGCCCCACAAAGGCTTCTCCCAGGGGAGACACAAGTTTTTTTGGAGTGATACCTCTGGAAATATTAGAAAAAAATTATAATGGAATGGGAAATCAAAGGAGAAACTCAAAGGAAAGACAAAAGGAATTTGACTTACTGTGTCCTTGTTCCATAGCTTTATGATTCTTGAATCAGCAGAAATAATTAAATCTAATGAATTGTGGAACTGGATTGATTTGATAGGCAGACCATATTGGTGATCCTTCACTATTAATGGGCTGCTTGATCGGAGGTCATAAAAAAGAACCTGGAAACAAGTAAAGGTCACTGGATTACATGTTCAACATTCAAAAGATATTAGAGGTCTAAAAATTATGTTAAGTTTTCAATAGGTGAATAATTATCAGATAAATATAGAGGATTTCCACAGTATTTCTGAAGAGGAACGAATAACAGCATCATAGAATCATGAGATGTGTTTATTCTGTAAGAATTAAGCATGAGCCTTCAAACACTGAGATCTATAAAAAGAAAAGATCTCTATAGATGAACAGAGCAGAGAAGCAGTGTTAAGCTTTGTCCTGGTTTGCACATCATGGTAAGACAGAGCAAAATGGGTGTGATCTCCTCTTCAGGAGCCAGTACATTCACACTAAGCCATAGTTTGGCTTGTGTGAGAACGCAACTTTTAGCTTTTCTTAAGCATAACTCATGTTTAAACTTACTTAGCATAACTCGCATTTTTCAGCCTGCAGGGCAGCAGCTGTTGAACCCCCAGATCTGCCAAATTCTCATCCCACTGTATGCTTTACAAATCCCCCATTTGTATGTCGGGTGGTTGAAAAGAAGAGGTGTGTGTGGAATTGGTCAGGTTGTAACAAGCTAATCTTAGAATCATCCAGTTATGTCTGGCCTTGCAGTAATGTGCTACCATATTTTAATGTTTCAATATTTTAATGTTGTATTTTAATCTTGTTTTTAAGTTGTATTCATTCAACTTGTTTTTATTATTGCTTGTTAGCCGCCCTGAGCCCGGCCTTGACTGGGGAGGGTGGGGTATAAATAAAAATAATAATAATAATAATAATTATTATTATTATTACTACCATATAAAAAACATTTATATTTCATTCACTCTTAAACATTTGAAGAAATAAATGAATCCTCCTCTGCAATAATTAATTAAGTTGTTGTTGTTATTAACACTGATCCATTATTTCCACAAAAACGCCTCAAAGCAACTTGCAATACAGAAATCAAGACAATGTTGCTATCAGTTCCCTATATGGGGAACCTTTGTAACAAGAGCACATAGAGAGCAAACCATCACCAAACTGGGCATGCAACAAATTGCTGTAGTTTTCCATGTATAACACGACTCCTACTTTTGGGAGCCCAAAATTAAGAAATCAGTATTTTAAAGTTGTTCACCTTTTTGACGAATTTGCCCAAAAAGTTGTTGAGCTTTTTTGGGGCAATCCATGGTATGGGAACCTACTACTCCCCAGATGTTACTGAACCACAAGTCCCATCATCCCTGCTCATTGGCCATGCTTGCTAGAGCTAGTGGAAGTTGTAGTTTGGCAATCTCTGGAGAGCCACAGGTTCCCTATACCTGCCCTAAAGAAAAGCACAGCATGAAACAAATGAGCACGAGTTGCACTGGAACTGTAGCTTCCTTGGGAAGCTGAGGCAGGAGGAATTTCAACAGGGTCCCCCATCACAGAGTGTCTCCCACTTTGATCACATGCACATGCAGCTCAAGATCGATTTGACACATTCCACAGAACGTATGGCCCACAATTCATATGCCAATAGAAGACCTGGACACAGCCTTGCACACCAGCCCAGTTTGCACATAATGGTAAACCATGGTTAATGGTTTACGATGAACACATTCAACTGCTCTTGCTTTACTTTTACCCTCTAGCCAGCAGCAGCAACAAACCACAATACCCGGCTTAGCATTATGTTCAAACAAGATTTTGTGGTTCATTTCACCCAGATAAACTTTGGCTTAACCTCGCGGATTGTTTGGAGTGAAACAAGCCACAAAACTTTGTTTGGATGTAGCACTAAGGCCCTTGCTAGAAAGAAGATCTCAACCATGTTCAGAGCAAACCGTTCTTTATGATTTACATGTGAATGCCACCAGGGACATTTAAGAATCTGACTTAATGTAGCCTTTGCTCAGCACAGAAATGTAGCACAAAGCCCATGGCAACTAAGCTGACAGCATAGCTACCTGCCCCGTGGATGTTCCAACAGCCATATTCAATGTTCCATCAAACTTCAGGGCCGAAATAGAGGGCAGACCATCTATCCTGAAAGAATTTGAGAAAAAACTCATTCTAGTTAATTGCCATAATCACTAACGCTTAAGGCTCCAGCACCAACCAAAGGATGGTACGTAATTCTGAGAAGCTGCAGCATGTTAAAAAAAAAAGTTACTTAAGAAAATTTACTTAAGAGGCAAGATAAATATATTTTCCATACTCCTTATCAGCTGTCACACTGCTTAAAGCGCAATCCAGCACCCCGACTCTGTTTCTTGTTCTAGGGTCCCAGCATTCCACCTTCCCCTGAGGAAAGCAAAGAAAATACCATTTAGTGCTTTCAAACAATTCACCATGCTTTCATCAGTTTACTCATCTGCCGTTCATTGAAGCCACTTATTTAGCATTCAGCCTCGAAAGATTGATTCCTATGCTTTCTGGTTTTTTTGTTGCATTTAAAAACGATCTGATCTTCACATACTTGCAATGAGCAATTCCTTATGTAACCCGGGGCTGGGGCGGGCTGGGGTGAGTCAACAGCTGGGACTACAGACATGACACATGTTGCAGCAAGTGAACCAGCTCTATTACATACCAGAGCTGGCAGAGTCTGCTGCTGGGCTCCATCCAGGTTAAAAATTGGGGACTCATAGAAAACACAGATTCCCAGCACAGCCTCAGCAACTCCCCACAACCATCCACTTGCTTTCTGCCTTTTTGTCACTTTAGAGAAGACGCTGATGGAAGGCTCTCCCCGCCCCCCTCCCAATGTAAATAAGCACTTTGAAAAAGAAAACTTTAACCCTTGGGAAGATGGGGTGAATGTGCCCTTGAATGCCATGTATCCATGGCAGAAACAACATTGCAAGCATGGCAACTATTGCCTCGTTTTAAACAGGGCCCACGTTAAACCAAAGGACACAGACTGGCAGTAAACCATTGTCCCACCCTGCAATGATGCCATGCCCACTCCTCAAAAGCGTGCCTGAGCCTGCTGAAGCAGCATTGTCAATGGTGCACAATGCAACTGCATCACAACTCAACAAGAGAAGGTTTATTCCCCTGTCTTTTGTCCCCATCGTCACAACAACTCCGCTGCACTCTAGTGATATAGCACCTCAACGGGGCCTCACTGTTTTGACCTCCCAAAGAGCTATTCCTCTTCTTCAGTTGACATACCAGATGTCATGATGCCCAACACATCTTGTGTCTTTTGCACGCAGGATTGTTTTCCCTAAACCTACAGAGATATCTGTGCATGTCTACTCAGAAGTAAGTCCCAAGCAAATGAGAAAAGAACTGCAACCTTATATTCTGCTGCATTTTGGTGTATTTTTTTTTTAATGCCTCCTGTAATAAATTGGCACAACAAAATGTTGCAGTGTGAGATCTTTCTATGTAGTATTGCTGTCAGCCAGCCATGCCTTTTCTACAACAAACACTCCATTGCATTACTGTTCCTGCCACAAGGTTTTCCATTTTCTTCCCTCCAAAAGTTAATCTATTTTGGAGTTCCTCCCTTGTTAGAGTCCCCAGCCTTGAAATATTCTCTGAACTACTCCAATGTTGATTGGGTTCTTCCAAGCCTGATGTTACCTCCTCCTTTTTCAGGGAAGGAGCTATTTTGGCTTCATAATGAGCCCCACACAGAGAATGAATTTGCTATTAGTATATAGGATATTGCAGTCCTGTGTCAATGATCTTGTTTTTTAAACAGAAAATGGTGCTATATTTCTTAGTAAGGTGAAACATTTACCTCAACCGTGCCAGTGGCAAATAAACCATGTGCAGGATTTATGTCACAGACGTGATTCTCCCTAGAGGAGAAGGAAAAAGAAATTTAATGACTGACAGGGAGATAAAATATTAAAATAAGCAAGCTAATACCATCTGTGAAATGTTCTAAAATCAACCCAAACCTACAAGGCTACGAAGAGTAAATGTAATTTTACGTGCAGTGTTTCTTTGTTCAATCGCTATATTTTAATCACTATATTTTGGTTCTGTTAAGAAGTATAACTAAAAGCATAAGTAACGGCTATGCAAATTTGAAACAAGGAACAATTCATCGCAGATAGCAGGCCTATTGGTTTATCTGTTGTACCTATTTAAAACTATTTGCCATCTTCTTCTAAGATACTTCAAAATATCCAATGAGGTATTTTCTCGACTGAGCAACTTAATGAATGGAAATATTAAAACCTTTGCTTATTAAAGTAGAGTAATTAAAGTAGACATTAAAATATAAACAGAACAAACACCCCCAATTTATAAGTGCAGTCTGCAATGCATTTGTGACACTCAGATTACAGATCTTATGACAATTTTTTTAAAAAATCTATCCTGTGGCTCCACCTGCTGGAATAAGATGCACCTAGTGAACTGAAGATACTTACGAAGCATCAGTCTGTAAGGAATTCAGGTACCTTCCTTGTTCCAGATTTAGCCTGTATATTTCAGAGCTGCAACAACAACAACAGCTGTACTTACACACTTCCCTTTCGATAAGAGTAAGTGACAATAAGTGTATATCTTAACATTCATAAAATGTATGTATGTCTAAATATGCCCAAGTCATAAATAAATCTACTCTTTTCTTACATTGCAGCAGCAAGTAATCAATTCCAACCTCTCCTTCTCCCTATTTTCATTTAGTGTACAGGCAACACCCATTTTAGGCACAAATGTGCCAAACCTGGAAGTGACCTGGGAACGTCATAAAGACATCATTGAAACGTTACTAGAAGGGTGGGGCAGAACAAGGTGTTTGCAGGCTTTTTCAACGGGTTTTTGGTTTCATGCAATTAAATGCTTTTCAAATGCCTTAAAATTCCTAAAATAAACTTAAAACCATCACTAAATTACAATAAAATTGAAATGGCCCACATATTTTTCAGAACTCAATTGCTTTTTAACAGAGTTTCTCAACAATTCAGCTTAACCACTTCCTACAAAATATTTCCAACAAAACTCATTTGTTTTGTGAACTACTCATTCAGAGTTCTCTCCCAATATATTTATGAATGTTTAGTAAATCTGCTTTTGTAGGATATTCATCATAAACACTAAATAAACATGTATGCACAGTTAAGGAAGGAATCAGCGCATCTTAAATACCTTGCTCCTACGAAGTATAAGTCACATGATGGATAATGATATGAGAAATCTCTACCAAACTTTGGTATTCTTGTCCTGTAGTAACGGCCATGTTGGGAATGAAATTCTACGTATCTGTCACACAGCAGAAAGACTATCTGAAAAATATAGAGCACAGGATTGAGATCTGGAGAGGAGTAACTCTCCTGCCTTGCTTAACCTTTAAAAGTGGGGAATGATTATTTTCCTAGAGGCATAATCAAGTGGGCTCAGATCTGGAACTGCTGTTCTGCAAATGTGTCCATTCTAGAGGAGGCTCCCACGCCTCAAACTAGATGCTTTCTGAGGCAGAAGTGAGAAGTGAGGCTATTTTCTCCAAAGCTCCCTCCACCAGACTTCTCAGTAGTGGCACCCTCCCTGTGGAACACCCTCCCTTCAGATGTCAAGGAATTAAACAACTAGCTGGCTTTTAGAAGATATCTGAAGGCAGCCCTGTTTAGGGAAGTTTTTTTCAGTCCATGGAAGTGCAACTTTGGATACATTTGACTGGTGTAAACAAAATAATGGCAGATTGATCATCCATGATACTAATTTAGCAACTATGTGAAGTCTGTTTCATGTGATCAATGACACATCAGGAGAGATATAACTTACACATTGGTAAGAATGTTTTAGTGCTACTTGAGTACTTTTTATTTTAAAAAAAATGTACCACACTATGGAGGATAATTTTTGGGGTGTTTTTTTTTTTAAAAACCAGCTAATTCCAGCTTTTCAACAAACAAACAAGACATTCAAAAGAATGTCAGCAGAGGATAAAGAGCAATTTTCCTTCAGGTTTCTGTTGCTCAAGGAAACGGCGGGTAATTGCACACTACAGCAGATGGATCCTTTTAAACATTTTGAAATGCAAATTCTTCTAAAGCTTCCTACATGATATAAACATTAAAAGGAGACGTACCTTTGAGTAATCATCTGACAAAATATCAAACGTAATGACTGTGGAGATGAAAAACAATTATAAATAGGAGTCACTAAGAAACTCTTATATAAACCGCACAACCTCAATTTTCATCGCACAATGCTCCTGTCTGTCTGTCTCCCTTCTTCCCTTAAAACCAAAGCAGAGTGTGTATTGAAACAAGCAAAACCATTAGCAATGCTCTGTTTGCAGTCTGCTGCGAGAACAGCCACCTTAGTGCTGTTTCTGTCCATGCCACCATCTCACTGGGATCTGAGAGCCCACTGAAGGGGACACTGACCAATTATTAAGTCCATCCTCCTGCCATAGGAGGAAGGTTTTCCACTGTTACTCATTTTGGGGTTCAAAGGTCCAAGGGAAGTGTTGGCGAGCTATTGCAACCTCCATGGCTAACTTCTATTTGCCTTACAGAATCAGTAGCATACAAATAAGGGATGACCTTCCAGATGTTGTATCCCTGGCTATCAACCATGCTAGCCAGGGCTGATGGGAGTCCAAAAACATCTGAATGGCTACAGATTCCCCATCCCTGTTAATAGCCAGGAAGGTGTTAGGTTTCTGTGTGTTGCCACTGTCCAGGTTTATCAGGACAACAAAGCATGTTTGGCTTTGCTGACTTCTGAAGGGTGTAAGCAAAGCACAAAGCACTTGCAATTGAAGCTGCAACATGCTAGGGAATGTGTTCAGAAAGGACTCGTAACGGTGTCCTACATGCCAGGTAATGAAATTCCTGCTGATTTATTGTCCAAGGTTGTTCAAAGGGATCAAGACTGTACCTATGTACAGAAATTGGGTTTGTACTGAGATTGTACATCATACACTGCCCAGTGGTGCTCACAGAAAGGGGGAGGATGTTAGGTTTCTGTGTGTTGCCACTGTGCAGTGCTTGGAGTCACAAGACTCTGTTTTGCATTCCAGGCATTCCAGACTGTTGGAAGCCTCACGGAATACGGGAGACGGATGTGATGTTACTGGTTTCCTGTTTCTTTTCCAGTTGCTCTCTGCTCTCACAGAGAGAGGATGTTTCTTTTCTGACTGCGTAACTAGAAATAAAACTCTTTACATTGTAGCTCATATTTCTCGTCCTTCCCTGCTGCTGGATACTCTGCGTAATGAGGGAACTTGCTTGGAGCCTTATCAAAGGCTCAGGTCGTTAATCATCATCATCAGAGGTGATTCTGGAAGACTCGACTGGAGGATGAGCTTTTCCAGCTCGGTCGTAGCGCAAGTTCCAACAGAAGGAAGCAGAGCCACATGCATGAATTAACATGATGGCAGCTGCCGCTGGCTCCCATTTCAAGCAACACTAAACATGTGACAGTGTACTCTTGGCAGGCACCATAGCTTACCACCATCCATGCTACTTGCTCCAGGTAAGCAACAAACACAAGCCAATATAGTAGCACAATATCCTGCCAAGGACTGATCATTATCTCGATTTCACAAAAATACAACCTCCAATACACTCTCAAATTTCTTTATATATATACTAATGTATAACTTTTTGCATTCATGTGTATACTAACATACTTTCCAAAGAAAGGCAAATGGCACGTGCGCTACTCAAAATAAACCCCACTCTGATCTACATGGAAAGCACAATTGGGGCAAGTAGCAACACAGGATCTAGTCACTTAGCAAGCAATTCTGTACATCAGTCTTCTCCCGCCTGGTGCCTTCCAGCCCTTTTGGACTACAAATCCCATCAGTCTCAGTAAGCATGGTCAATGGCTAAGGATGGTGGGAACTGTAATCAAAAAGATCTGGAGGGCATCAGGTTGTAGAAGAACGATACACACACTTATCTGTGAATAAGTCCAGCTGTAATACTACTGAGTTATCGTTTGTTGGTTGCTTTTTATTTTTTTTAGAGTCACAAAGCAACTTAGCTCAATAAATATTATAACATTGTACGAAGTGGGATTTCCCTCCTAATAAAGATGCATAGGATTGCACTGTTTTCTACTGCCCTGTTAATATGTTTTGTATATTAGTTTCCATCATAATTAGGGTTTACTTACCATCAGCGTCTATGCATCTTTCAAATTTCATCGATAACTGGTAAGTATCGTAACATCGAATCCTTGGTTTGTACGTCCCTGTTCAAAACACAAAATAAAATAGTGTTTTTGACATGTGAGAAAATTTGTTTTAATACTCTTGAATTGATTTGTCTCACAGAGAAAATATGATTCGGGTCTTGAAAAAGTTTCTGACCTGGACATGAATGGTTGTTCAAAAAGAGCTGCAACTCTTAAAAACCATATTGTCAGGAAAGCATTGTTTAATGTTTGGATAAGATATAAGGATCTACTTGAAAATAAAACTCCAAGATGGCTGTCACCGATGGAAGCGAAGGCTCTGAAAAAGCTCAATATGGAGGCCAAATGGCCGAAATATTGGGAAATTTTGGAACAAGATGGAGATAGATTGAAACTGCAGAGTTTTGAGAAATTAAAAACAAAGTGCGAGACTGGCTTCATTATTATCAGATAATGGAGGCATATAATTTGGATAAGAAAATTGGCTTCCAGGTGGAAAAATCAAAATTAGAAACAGAACTGTTAGAACCCAAAACTAAGATTTTGTCAAAGATGTATAACTTGCTGTTGAAATGGAATACTCAGGATGAAATGGTGAAATCTGCTATGATTAAATGGGCACAAGATGTTGGACATAATATAATGATGGCTGACTGGGAACAGTTATGGACCACAGGTATGAAGTTTACGGCATGTAATGCCTTAAGAGAGAATATTATGAAAATGATTTACAGGTGGTACATGACACCAGTCAAGCTTGCAAAAATCTATCATTTGCCCGATAATAAATGTTGGAAATGCAAAGAAACTGAAGGTACATTCTTTCACCTTTGGTGGACGTGCCCAAGGATTAAGGCTTTCTGGGAGATGATTTATAATGAAATGAAAAGGGTATTTAAATATACCTTCTTGAAGAAACCAGAGGCCTTTCTCCTGGGCATGGTCGGCCAAATGGTGCCAAAGAAGGACAGAACTTTCTTTATGTATGCCACAACAGCAGCAAGAATACTTATTGTAAAGTATTGGAAGACACAAGAACTACCCACTCTGGAAGAATGGCAGATGAAGGTGATGGACTACATGGAATTGGCGGAAATGACTAGCAGAATCCGAGACCAGGGAGAAGAGTTGGTGGAAGAAGATTGGAAGAAATTTAAAGACTATCTACAGAAATATTGCAAAATTAATGAATGTTAGAATGATGTTAGAATGAAGTTAGGTGGTTTAAGCAGTAATGCTATAAAGGTGTACAGTGGTGCCTCGCAAGACGAAAAGAATCCGTTCCGCGAGTCTCTTCGTCTTGCGGGTTTTTTCGTCTTGCGAAGCAAGCCCATTAGCGGTTTAGCGGATTAGTGCTACAGTATTAGCGGCTTAGCGGGCTTAGTGGATCAGCTGATAAGCGGCTTAACGATAAGCTGATAAGCGGCAACGATCACCTGATAAGCGGCTTAACGATAAGCTGATAAGCGGCTTAACGATCAGCTGATAGCGGCTTAGCATCAGCTGTTAAGCGGCTTAGCCATCAGCTTATAAGCGGTTTAGCGGCGTGGGAAAACTGGGGGGGGAAAGGAAAAAAAAACCCCGCAGGAACTCGCAAGACATTTTCGTCTTGCGAAGCAAGCACATAGGAAATTCGTTTTGCGAAGCACCTCCAAAACGGAAAACCCTTTCGTCTAGCGGGTTTTCCGTCTTGCGAGGCATTCGTCTTGCGGGGCACCACTGTATGTAAAAATGGATTGATAACAGGTGAAAATTTAAAGTTATAGTATATTAAGTTAAAGGATTAAGAGAAAATAAAGAGGGAAAGAAATTGCTGAATTAACTAATTGAATTGGAATACAAAAAAGGGAGGTATGAGGAGGTCAGAGAAACAAGGATATGAATGTAAGGCATGGAAAGATTGATTGATTTATTTTTTAAGTGTTTTTTTATTCTTTTATTCTGTATTTTTCTTGTATTTTTATTTCTGTCTTTTGTTTTTGCTTTTCTTGTTTTTATGTAACTCTCTTTTCTAAAATTTTAATAAATATCATTTTTTTTTAAAAAAAGAGCTGCAACTCTGCCCCTATAAGTGTGTTTTTTTGTTCCTTCGCGACAATAACACCAATCAACCAATATAACTTATTTTTAGGATTGTGGCACAATTTAATTTTTTTAAAAAATGTTTGTATATAAATAATTGTAATGATTTATATAGAAATAAACAAATTCAAAATGCCTTATGCTGCTGAACTCACAGGAATTCCACCTAACTTAATTTTTAACATGACCCAGTCCATTAAAAAACAAGATTCCTATTAACTGGACAAAATAGCACATTAATAGCAATCAAATACTAACCCTTGCAGAGTCTTATTTCAAAACTGGTATTATATCTCTATGGAATTCTACAGAACGGACAGGTAAATTCCCTTACATTCTTTTGAAAATTATAGGAATCAAGTATGCAAGAATGGGCCACACTGACAAGGTTGCTATGGGGTACCCTTCCAATAAAGGGCTGCGGGGGGGGGGGGGGAATACAGTCGGAATAAAACCCCAAAGATCAAGGCAAAAAAAAGCACATCGAACCAAGCTTAGATATAGATACCTAGTTAGCTAGCTGAATGAGAAAACCTCTATGTAGATGGATGCTGGCATGTGTAACAGACTGGAGCAGCAGAGGTAACATTCAGCAGTTTGGGAGGAGCAGTACACAGCCAAACCCTGCTCCCTTCAGTGTGTTATTTTTAGGATCCTGATTGAGCAGGGAGCAGGGAGATCCTCTATAAGCACTATTTCACTGCCTCTACAAGCAGAGGTTACCCACTGAAAACCTTCACTCTTGGATTCATGGAAGACTCTCTAAACCAGGCATGTCTAAAGTCTGTTTCAGGGGCCTAATCTGGCCTGCCGGTTGGTTTAATCCAGCCCCTGTAGCAGTTTATTTCCTGGGGTAAAATCCCCCAAAAAGCTCAACAACTTCGGTTGGCCCTCACGCATGTTCACTACATCAAATCTGGCCCTCTTTGAAAAAAGTTTGGGCACCCCTGCCTAAACCATGGGTAGGCAGACTTCCGGGGTGGCGCCATCGGTAATGGTGGATTCCCTCTGATCTGGAGGGACTAGCTCCACGGGAAATGGGTCTTTCCCGCTACGGCGAAGCGGGGACCCTTTCAAAAATCACAGGCGGATGAAGCCTGTGACCATGGGACTCGGCGGGCACCTTTAGCGCCCCCCCAACCCACAAAGGAACCCACTAATGGGCTCCGGAGCGAAGAGGGAGAAGTGGCGCGGTGCTGAGAGTCAACTGCTTCTTCCGTGGAGCGAAGCCGCACAGCCGTTGCCAGAGAGCGCTGCCTTTTTCCTGGGACAATTTGGCTTCTAAAACAATCACCCGTGAGTACTTAAATTTCGGACAATTGGACTCTAAATAAGGACTTGCGTGCAGAAAGGAAAATTGGACTTAAAAGTTTATTTCAATTTGGCACTGAAACGGGAAGGCCTAAACAGGAAGTCAGCCTTCCGTTTTTTTGTAGATAGATTAAAGCAAAGACATGGCAAACTAGAGCTCAGAAAATCACTTGTAAAGGACTAACTTTCATCATTTAAGATTGCTGAACCCCCTTCGGAAGCAGGAGAAGAGGGGGGATTTTTTCTGAACTGTTTAAACCTGCAGAAGTGAGTGTAAAGTAAAGTAACTTTCCACCGTCTTGATCCTGGAGCGGGGTGTCAGGACTGACGTTTTTTGAAGCTCATTGACCAGAGACAAACGTTTTTGACAGATAGCTAAAAGAAGAGAAACATAGTGATTCCATTGTTCCCCTTCGCATTTTAAAGGAACAAATATTGACAAAATATCTGAAAAAAGAAACTTTGTTGTTAGATTTGTCTTTAAAAGAAAAGAACAAATAGAAGCTTTTCCCCTAGAGGGAGCCTGTGAAACTGTAACTAATTCTGAATCGGGGAGCTTGCAGCTGTTACAGATTACGATCGCGGGAATAGACTTCTGACCTTGAAGGTCAATGTATTCAGAAGCTCTGCTGTGTGCTCTCTGTAAAACAAGTGCCCTACTGGAACAGCTACATGAGAAGACGGACTTGATGACTGATGCAATCAAAAATTTTGAACAGGCAGTGGGAAATTATATGGAGCCCACTCAGGAATTAAATCAGGAGTGTGCCCTGACAGAACAGATGAGGGAAGAGGATGTTGCTGAATCTTGGGCGCCAGAGATGGAGGGAGCTGTGGCCCAGCAGGAACATGAGCTTTTGGATTTGACAAATGAACTTGGAAAAAGCCAGATTTGGAAAGATAAAGTTTGGGTTGGTTTGGAAATGGGGGGTTGGACAGACCCCCCTATGCAGGGATGTTTGGACTTTTCAAGTCTGGCAATGGGCCGTGAGATGTTTGGGGTTGTGGGGGCTCTTAATTTTGGAGAGACTTTGAAACATGTTCTTAAATACCACATGGAGTTTAGTGTGGACTATGGAAAAGGGGCTGATTTGTCGAGAAGGGTCAAAAACATTGCTAAGCTGGAGTTCCCACGAGTGAAAGGAGCAGGAGACAAAGGAAAATACAGTTATAAATATGAAGAAGAGCCACGGAAGGGACATGGAAGGGACTTAAGGGCCTCGGATATAAGATTACCAGGTTAATGCGCTAGATTGATGAGATAAAAGGACTGACAAAACCTGGGACCAGGAGGAAGAGACGCTGGATGAAGATTGGATTTTTTTTATTTCTTTTTATTATTAGGATTGTTTTATAAAACTGATGAATGTTAGAAAAATGTTGGAACGAAATTATTTGGCTTTAGCAAAAATGCTTAAAGAATTATGTAAGAATATTATGGTTATGAGAAGTTGGTAAAAATAAGATTTAAGTTTTAGGTTTTAAGGTTTTTTATAATAAGATTAGATTAAAATAGATTAAGGTAATGTAATGACAGAATATTATGAAATATGGAAAGGATTTGCTGCGACAATTAACAACTAGGATACAAAAAAAGGGAGGAGGAGGAGGTCAAAGAAAGAAGGTAATGACAGTTAAGGATTTGAGAATAATGGATTTGTTTTTAAATGTTTGTGGTATATTTTTGTCTTTTGATCGTGTTGTGCTATTTTTTGATTTTGATTTTTATTAATTTGTATTGTTTTTGTATTGTGGTTTGTTTTTTCTTTGTTTTTTCTTTCTCTTTTTCTATCTTGTTTTCTTTTGTAATTCTAAAAATTTTTCAATAAATATCATTTAAAAAAAATAAAAATAAACCATGGGTAGGCAAACTACGGCCGGGGGCTAGATCTAGCCCAATTGCCCTCTAAATCCAGCCCACGGACGGTCCAGGAATCAGCGTGTTTTTACATGTGTAGAATGTGTTCTTTTATTTAAAATGCATCTCTGGGTTATTTGTGGGGCATAGGAATTCGTTCATTTCCCCCCCTCTAAAATACAGTCCGGCCCACCACAAGGTCTGAGGGACAGTGGACTGGCCCCCTGCTGAAAAAGTTTCCTGACCCCTGCTCTAAACTATGCAGAGATGATACTCTGGAGGGATGTGATTGCAACACGCGAGTGTTGTAAATGAGCAAAAGGGACTAGAAGGTAAGTGAGATATGATATTGAGTCCAGACTCAGTTAGCTGTGCTTTGTTCCAATTGTAATCAATCCAAATTGAGTCATAACTAACTTGTACCACTGAACTGAAGGACATCTAAGTGCAACTAACCAAACAATCCAATAGCTCCCAGCCTTATGCTGAGTTTGGGAGGGGATCGCCCCCTGCCAGCTGCCAAACATGTTGAAAGGAAGCCCACTGCTGGGATTCCTGTCAGTAGGAGCCAGCAGAAACCCCAAAACGTGGTTGGATCCTGAGGCAGTCTCACTACCATTACATGATGGCACTAGGCCCAATTTGGGGCTGATCATCCTGTCCCCACACCCTCTGCTGCTGTGAACAGTGGGCCTGTGGATGCTGCAGTAACACCATAAAGCCTTATCACTGGGAGGGGTGAGCTTGGATTGAGACATACCTTTTCTGAATCTAACTCATTGTTTGCAGGTCCCCAAAGTCCCATTTTAATACTACAAAAGGAAATTTTAAGCCCTCAAACAAAGATATGCTTCCTGCCATGCTATCCTTTGCCAGCTACTAGCTTTGCTGTCCAACAGAAGTTTCAATCTCAGAGCCCAGTCTTCCTCAACCATAATATATCCAATGTGAGAGTTACTAGTGCTTTACAACTCAGTGCAGACACACTGTTACAGCTAGCAGCAGACTGAAAAAACCTGAATGTTCGCATACTCACCAGCTGCCATCACGTACTGCCCATCCCGTGATACCTTGATCTTGGTGCTAACAGCAGGCATGTCAAAATCTTGGATAAGTTCAATTCTCCTAGAAATACCTTTAAATTAAAAGAGTTATATGAAACATTGCCTAATCAATACATCACAATAAAAAGTTTTCACTTTCAAAAGTACTGCCAAAAGTACTTAAGGGGAAAAATGCTGAATGTAGGGACGGGGGAAAGGGGTGTCCCAATGTTGTTGGACTCCATCTTCCTGTTGGGATTCCATTCCACCTTTTGCTGCAGACATGGGATTGTTGCGTGCCACATGTCTGTTTACATTCCAGCACAGATTGCTGGCGTGAGCGGAACTTCCACTCTGTACTGCTTTTGCTTTTCAGTCCGAGAAGATGGCAAGAAGAGATGCCATGTTTTCTTTTTCCTGATTTATGCCGGAATAGGCAATAGTCGGAGAGAATCAAAGCTGTAGTCCAGCACCATTCAGCGTGTCACTAGTTTCCCATGCCTGGCTTAAAGTTTAGCATAAAACAAACTGTTCCAGCTTTAAGGTAAGATCCAAGCAACCCCCTTCCAGCTAAGCACCATCAGATGACTCTTTGAAAACAGAAATGGCACCCAAGCTAATCTTGCAGTGCCCTTTACATTGTACAATGAGGGTAACTCACCAACATCTTTCTTTTGCAGTGCTCTCTTCTTTCTATCAGAAAGCCACTGTAAGAAAAAGAAAAGAACATAGAGGGTTAGTGTTAAATGGGCAAAAATATAAATAGCTGAGCCTGGTGAGTCCAAAAGTTCCCAGCCCCCATAGTCATAATTTGCGGGTTGCCTTCTAATCTTATTTGATTTTGATCCGATCTTAAGCTGTATTTCAGTCGATTGCTGAATTTTATGTTTTAATGTATTTATATTTTGATGTTAGCCCGGTTATGGCTGGGGAGGGCGGGATATAAATAAAATTTATTACTATATTATTAAAAACTCTGTTTATTAAAAACAGAGATGGTACTATATAGCCTTCAAAATAAGATTGATAATCAAACTATTATGCTCTATAAGCCCTATTTCACATATATTTAAGGAAGTTCAGCCAAAGAGCTCCCAGAGCAGTCCATATGAGGTTAAAAACAAAATGCAATAAATGCAAGCAAACAAACAATTATGCAGCAGGGTAGTTAAAAGTTCCAGTATTAAATCAATATAAAACAGAGAAAATCACTTTGAAGATGTGATAGGAATTTTGAGGTCTTAGATATATGGTAATGTTCATAAGTGTACCAACTAAGCACGTACATAGATCAGCACAGGAAGACTGACCTGAAACCATTTTGATTCCCAAACTGACCAAATGTTTTCCCTGCAAGGGGGGGGTCAGGGAGCCTTCCCATTGACTCAGGAATTGAGTAATCAGCATTTTAATGGGTGACAGACTATCAAGAAAGGCAATCAGATAATGGGTGACAGACTATCAGGGAAGGCAATCAGGAAAGGCAATCAGATAACCTGGCAAACAGGAAAAACATTCAAATTTCTGTTTTAGACCGCCTTTTCTGTGATGTAGGTATGATGTATCTGGGGGGTGGTCTTAGGTTACACCCCTTCTGTGATGTATGTATGATGTTTCTGGGGGTGGTCTTGATCTACAGGGTGGCAATTTCAAAAGTCATAAAGGCCTTGCGCGCCATTGTTCTGGGTTCCTCCTCCTTTCCTGTGTGAGGGGAGCACCCTGTTGCAGCAGATCAATAAATATCAAGCTTACTAGCTGCTTTGCTTCTCAATATGCTCTAGTTGGCCTCTGTTATTTTCTCCTACCAATAGGGAACCTACATAAGGACTCTATATGGGCTCTTGGATACCCCGTAAGGGAAAAAGGGCAGAGATTTTGTTTACAACAAAGATGACTGTGCTGTAGCAGAGACCCAAAGACACATTTCATGGGCATGGTTTTGAATACGGAAAGGTGGCATGGCAAATCAAACGATGATGATGATCTGTGAAATGTGTCTTAGATTGAGCATTCAGATGTACTGCTGAACAGCCACTGACCTAGGCACCCAGGCACACCACTAAAATTCCACAATATAATATTTCACTATACATATAAATATGTATAGCAACCAGCTACAAACAGACACTCCCACTGGTCATGAAACTTTAAGCTCCCCAGCTGTTTTGCTCAGAAAGATGAAAGCAGGCGAACAAGCAACTGTTCCGAGCTTAGAAGCTTGTGCACACTAGGCAAATGTGAATTTTTATTATTATTTTTTTGCAGCCAGCAGACCCAGCAAACTGAGTAGCCAATGCAGGAAGGAGCCGTTTAAAATAAAATAAATGACTGTCCGTCCAACATTAAGGGAAAAAAAACCTTGCAGGATTCTTTTCGCGAGGAGGAAGGGGGTGGGGAACCCACGTGCTTTAAAATTTGGTGTTATGGATGTGACTTGTGCCTCTTTAAAAGGGTGCAGAAAACAGAATTGGACAAAATGACAGGAAGGATTTGAAACCTGCAGGACCAGAGATTTACAGAAGATTGGAAGAAGTATATGAATTATTTGAAGAGCAACTGTAATCAAGAAATTACGCTAGTAGGACTACAAGAAGTTTTGTAAGGAGAAATATACGAAGTGTTACAAAGTAGAAAAAGATAGAGATATTGGCTATGAGTTTGAAATGTAATAGGGAAGATAATAAATGCATACTGAGAGATTAGATTGGGAAATTTTCAGACAGTATTGATGGAAGTCAAAAATTTGAATAAGATGTAAAAGTACGTTTAATTACTGTTGAAAATATGTTTTAAAAAAACCTAATAACAATTATATATAAAAAATAAAAGGGTGCAGAAAGCAAGAGATGCTTAGCAGTCGCTCGGGATCATCTACAGACCCCTGTTGGTACCTATGTACTTTCTGCGCATCCATCGGGAACTGAAAAAGGGGTGGAGGAAGAGAAGGGAGAGAGAAGGGAAGGCACGGGGTGCGTGGGAAGGAGCTCGCTCGTGTGTAGATGAAGGAGGCGCGCGAGGGGGAACCGACGGGGGGGGGAGAGGCAGGCAGGCGGGCGGGGCTCCGGTGTTCTCACCTCAGGCAGGCTCCGTCCGGCGCTCAAGCTGTAGATCTTCACCTCGTTGAGGCTGGAGACCTGCATGCTTCTTTTTCCTCCTGAGCGACGGCAAGAGGGCTTCACTTCCGGGGTCAGAGAGGAACACATCCGGTCATAGAATTCAGAGGCAGGAAAAAAACCCTAGATAAGCAGGAAGTTACACGCTGGCAGTCTTTCCCTCCCACACATTTACTCTAGAGGAAATAGGGACTGCTTCTTTCTGTAATGGTCATTTTACTGTTTATGCTCCACGCATCTGACTGGGTGGCCTGGGCAGCCTCCAACATATATAAAAACATAATAATACATTAAACATTTTAAAAAACCATCCCTATGAATCAGTCCTTTTTTCCCGGGAGTATACCCCTAAACATTTTGTGAATCTTTGCACTTTTGTCCATTGTACTGTATTTATAGCCTTCAGATAGCTTGGGGGTAGGATAACTCCATACCCTCCAGCATTTCTGCAATGAATATAGGGACATCGTAAGGAAAAATGGGACATTCCAGGATCAAATCTGAAACTGGGGTGCCTTCTCTAAATTAGGGACGTCCCTGGAAAATACAGACACTTGGAGGGTCTGCTATCACTATCACTATAATTGTATTATTATTATTAAATTTCATCCATCTGAGGATCACAGGGCAGTTTACAGTATAAAAACACAAAAATACATAATACACTAACGAAACAATAACACCACACTGTTTAAAAGGTCATAGATTTGTTTAATTAGCCAAAGGCCTGAGGGAAGATGAAATCTTTTTGCCTGGCTCCTAAAGATACATAAGGAAGGCACTAGGTGAGCCTCCCTAGGGAGAACATTCCACAAGCGGGGAGCTACCACAGAAAAGGCCCCTTACACGTGTTGCGGCCCTCTGGACCTCTTGCAGAGGAGGCACGTGAATAAGGATCTCATACAGAATCAGAATTGTAGAGAGTTGGAAGGGACCCTGAAGGTCACCTTTTCCGACCCCCTGCCTACAGCTGTGCCTGGAAGGAGGGGGGAGCTCAAACCACCAACCTTTGGGTTAACAGATGATGATTGCAGGGTCAAGGTCAGTTCATATGGGGAGAGGCAGTCCTATAGGCATAATAAGGTAAAAAATGGGAGCAGGTGGGGCTGTGGTCTAAACCACTGAGCCTCTTGGGCTTCCCGATCGGTTGGCAGTTCGAATCTGTGCAATGGGGTGAACTCGCATTGCTCTGTCCCAGCTCCTGCCAACCTAGCGGTTCAAAAGCACACCAGTGCAAGTAGATAAATAGGTACCACTGTGGCAGGAAGGTAAACTCTGTTTCCATGTGCTTTGGCTTCTGTCACTGTGTCCTGTTGCACCAGAAGTGGTTTAGTCATGCTGGCCACATGACCCGGAAAGCTGTCTGTGCACAAACGCAAGCTCCCTCAGCCTGAAAGCAAGATGAGCACCACAACCCCTTAGTCACCTTTGACTGGACTTAACTCGAAGCTACCAGCATGAGTTTGACCAAACTGCGGGAGGCAGTGGAAGACAGGAGTGCCTGGCATGCTCTGGTCCATGGGGTCACGAAGAATTGGACACGACTAAACGAATAAACAAGAACAACAAAACCGTCCAGGGGTCTTTTACCTTTACCTTATAGGCATAATAATTTAATTGGCCTGCTGACCTGCCTTATATATGGAGACAGACACTACAGCTTCTCCCCACCTAAGCCCCACATGACCACAGGATTAGGATTTTCATCAAGGGAGCTTCTCTGGGTTCATATAAAGAAAATATTTGGAGTCACGCAAAGCCGTATTTTTAGCTCCCTCCCTTGTACTCCCCCTCCTTTGCAGTGCCTTCTTTCAAATAAATATGTGTGGGGTAACATTATATAATAAACAAATGCACTGCTGAGCATGTAAGGGTTGCCTTTTCTTGCCCGCTGAGTGGAGTTACTGATTTCTTGAAATAAACCTCTAAAGAATTGGTCAGAAGCTGGGGCTGACACTCCAATGGTGGAGGCAGGGGACATAGCCAAGTGATATTTTGCTGGGTCAGGGGTGGAGGAGGCCTGTGGTTTTGGGTGGGTCTGAGAGTGGACCTCAACTCCATAGCCATTCATATTGGAAATTTCTACCAAATCAGTCCATTGTTCCATTAAGCCCAATGCGGTTGACAGTTTCAGGCAAGGGTCCCTCCCAGTCCCAGCCCTGTTTGGAGAAATCAGGGATGCAGCCTGGGTCCTCTAACGTAAAAAATGTGTGGTCTCCTTCTAAACGATGGCTCTTAAAGGGCACAGCTTACATAAAACAAAAACCAGCCGTGCTCTTAATCGACTGTAGACCACAAAAGCTTGTGCAGTAATAAACTGGTTAATCTTTGAGGTGCCACAAGTCCTTTGGTTTTTTTCACTGCAGTACACTAAGCTCCACTGGAAATCGCCATTTTGTTAACTGTTATTCTTTGTACTGTTTCCAGCCAGTGGACAGTGTGACAAGCTAGGACCTGGGAGTACAGGTTTCTAGTCCCCATTTGACCATGACTTTGGGCCACTCAGTGTCTGTCAGCCTAACCTACATCACAGGATTTTGCAGTGATAACATGGAGGCTTGGAAGAAAGGGTTAGATATAAATGTAATAAATGGTTGGCATCTGTTTGTCTTGGGAGACAATGGAAGAGTGTGCCTGCAGGGGTGTTGTCAAACCGTTGGAGAGTTACAGCGCCTGCTGTGGCTGTAGAGACTGGTATGGGAGAGATACGTTTTATTGCAGCTGGGGCAGATGAAGGTGTCCGGTTGTGCTGCTGCAGATGCACCATTGCATTTTTTTCTCTCTGCGCTCCTCCCAGCGGTCATTCCTTCTTTGGTCACTTGTGGTCACAGCCTGACTGTCTGTCTGTCTCCAAGCGTTGCAGTCGTCTGCAAGGGATTCCCACATGCAGAGGTCAATGTTGCCAGCCTTCATGTCTCGTTTGCAGACTTCTTTGTAATGCAGAGTTGGTCTGCCAATGGGCCTAGTGCCTGAAGCCAGCTCCACGTAGAGCACGTCCTTGGGGATCCGGCCATCTTCCATTCTGTGGACATGACCAAGACAGTGCAGATGTTGCTGAGACAGGAGTGCAAACGTGTTGGGAAGGTGGGCTTGGGAGAGCACATCTTTGTTTGAGACACTGTCCTGCCATGTGATGCCCAAAATGTTCCTGACACAGCACACATGGAAGGCATTGAGGCGTTAATAAATAAATATTGTGTTGTGTCAAGTGCACTAGGCGTTTGGGGGTCCTTCCTGTGTGGAGCCCAAAATGGATCCCTGTAAATAGCCATGTACAGTGGTACCTCGGGTTACATACGCTTCAGGTTACAGACGCTTCAGTTTACAGACTCCATTAACCCAGAAATAGTACCTCGGGTTAAGAACTTTGCTTCAGGATGAGAACAGAAATCGTGCTCCGGCGATGCGGTGGCAGTGGGAGGCCCCATTAGCTAAAGTGATGCTTCAGGTAAAGAACAGTTTCAGGTTAAGAACGGACCTCCAGAACAAATTAAGTACTTAACTCGAGGTACCACTGTATAGCTAACCACACTTCCATACGTGGTATTAAGTTCAGGGAACGTTTTTAGTGTGTGATGTCGTATTGTGCTTTTACTATTTTTTGTTGAGAGCCCCCAGAGTGGCTGGGGCAACCCAGTCAGATGGGCGGCATATAAATAATAATTTGTTGTTGTTGTCGTCATCATTAGAATCACCCACAGTTTTGCTTCCTCGAATAAGTTTGCACACCATCCACATTTGTGTGTGCCCACCACACGTCTGAAACCTGACGATGGGACAGTTGGGGGGGTAGAGTTAACCCGTGGCAAGTGCCCCTTAAATTGATACGCCAGATAGGGGGGATGGGGAGGCGGGGAAGCTGCGGAAGGGGGCGGGGCGTCCAGGTAGCACCTCCTGGGTGCAAAAGAATCCCCGAGGCTGCTCGAGACATGCAGAGCTCGGAGCAGAAAGAAGCCCCGCCGGCGACTATTGCACGCGAGGAGGTGGAGGAGAAGGCGCCTCCGAGCTCCGCCCGCTGCGGGGGGCTCAGCGGGCCGGCCGTTGGCCGGGAAGGGGAGCCGCCAGCCCGTGCAAATACCCGAAGGTCTTCGGTGGCTAAGGCGGCAGAAAACTTTATCCGCGGCTCTTCGCCGCCGCCGCCGCCCTTGAAGGTGGTTTGCACGCCTTTGCGCAAAAGCCTCTGCGTTTCGCTCGGCTGAAGAATCCTATTGGGAAAAGGCTCCGGTGGGCTCAGCTTTGGATAAGCTCCGAGGGGGGCGAGCCGTCGTGGGTGGACTCCCCCCCCCCGCCCTGCACCTCCGTCTGTTAAGTTAAAACAAAATATTCGTGTTTAAGATAGCTGCTTAATGAGAATAGAATGCTCTAATTATCGGACGTTGGGCGCTTGTGTGTGGCTTTGGTCGTTCTCTGGCTCTTTTCCTGAAAACAGCCCAGGTGGTGATGATGGGAGACAAATTGAGCTCCAGCCTTTCCGAGTTTGAAGAGCAACAATGAAAAGCGAAATGTAATGTAAGTTGCAGCAGTGAAACGGTGTTGTTGTTGTTTAGTCGTTTAGTCGTGTCCGACTCTTCGTGACCCCAGGGACCAGAGCACGCCAGGCACACCTGTCTTCCACTGTCTCCCGCAGTTTGGTCAGTGAAACGGTAGCCAAGCATCAATAGAAAAAGTTATTAGGTAGGGCCTTAAGGTTTGGAGGGAAGGGTGGGGTTCACAGAGCTCCTAAAAGGTGAAGTTGAGAGGCAATGTGCAGTTTATAATGCCAAACTGGAGATGAAAAGGGTCAAGGTTTAATAATAATAATAATAAATAAATAAATAAATAATTGTTTTATTATTATTTATAGCCCGCCCATCTGGCTAGGTTTCCCCAGTCACTCGTGGGACACTTCCAGCAGAATATAAAAAACATAGGTAACATATGTTTAGGTAACAAAATGCAAAATCCAAAGGCTATACAAGGGTGTCCTTTGTGATTGGGGGAGGGGGTTCAGAACAGGAATCCTTACTAGGATAAATTGAATATTGAATTGTTGAAAGCAACAGTTTAAAAAGTATTTGTAGTACGTAGTAGGTTTATGTCCATTAAAATTAAGTCATTTCCCCCCCCCTTTTTTTAGTGCCTTTGATATGTATTCCTAGAGCAGAAGCTAATTTATCTGATAATGTAATACTTGGTGTGTCAAACGAGTAAGTTGGCTACAGGTGTGTTCCTGATGAAGAACCACCTGTTCCTGATGTTGTGCTCTTGACGAATGAGCTAAAACCTGATGGAAGGAGGAAACTCTCTGCTCTGTCCTTCCTAATGGTACTTTAGTGATGTTGTGTGCATGTAGTTAGCTTGATTTTGCTTCAGTTAACAAAAACAGGTTTAGAAATGAGTGCTGGGCATGCCCACTTGGTGACAAGCGTCATTTATTATTTGCCTGCCATTTATCCCAAACTTTTAAAGATGGAATTCATTTTTATTCTTGGCTGACTTGGGCACTTCTAGTGAAAAGATGAGATAGAAATGTTGCTAATAAAAAATACCTTGTTTGATTACACACCTGCCCTGTGAGATGGGTTGCGATCATACCTGTTTTGCAGTTTGGGCAAGTAGGCAGCAGGGCTTCTGATCCAGAGTTAGGGATACAGGTATGTAAGCCTTACTTGCACACAAGGAGACTGAGGCAAGAGCATACTATTTTTCATTTTTACTGTACTGTTTTATTGTGTTTCATTTTTCATTCTTATTGTATTATTGAGAAGTTTGCCACTGAGTTCTAAATCTGGGACAGAAGAAGAGCGGGCTCCTTTAGTTTTTAATTACTAAATAGACCCCCCCTTTAAGATATCTGTTGGTTACATCTTGTACATTATTTTGCTCACTTTTTTGCCATTTTCAGTTTCCAGTGCCTAACCTTCACTAACCTCTTGCCTGAGATGAACAGTAATAGAATGTCAGTGACCTAGCAGCAGGTATCTTTTTTCCCAAGAGTAAAGATTGGCTTACACTTACATTTTCTCACAGTGAAGTTTTAAATGTCCTAAAATATTATTTGTATTTTAACTTGAAGAAAAGTCTAAAAGGTTTTCCAATCTTCAATGCCATTTTGAGAAGGTTTCCCCCCTTTTTCTTACTCTGATCAAAACCCTTTAGCTTGCAGTCCATGATAGGTTTATTTTAGAATAGTTGTACAGTACTCCAATCAGTGCGACAGGACTTAGAATTTGGTTTTATTACTTTTGCAAATGTTGTGGATTGCTTCAGGCGTCGGTGACCTTGTGACTGCAGACTCCTCCCCATGGACCAGATGAAACAACCCAGAGCAGGAAAAAAAAGGAACCACTGTACTGCCCTATGATAACATTCAGGGAAAGGTCACATTTAGTCAAGATCTGGATTGAAAGGTGACTAGGCAGAAATACTAATCGTCTTGCTGCTTTTGAAAAACTTACTCTACATCGAAGATAATTTCCTCTGACCTGATCTATTGTGGGGCTTTTTTGCTCCAGGGTGATTTTCTTTTTCTTTTTCTGGTTACCTTAGTTTTTGGCTACAGTGATTTAAGAGTGAAGGGAACTGCTTGCACCATGTCAGAATTCTGGTTAATTTCGGCACCTGGAGATAAGGCAAACCTAATAGCCTGGGACAGGATGAACACAGTGACTGCCAAAGCCAACCTGTCCTGCAACAGCAAGTTCATCATCCCTGACCTCAAGGTAAAGATGGGAGAATGGGGCGGGGGGGGACTCAGAACAACAACATGAAGAAAGGGGCAGGGATGGGGCAGATGATTTTTCTTTCGTGACATGGCTCTGTGCTGCAATATTAAAAATGACTATAAAGGGTCAAGCAAAGATTATATACTTTGTTTTTGAGGTGTCTTGAGATCAGGAATGAAAGTGGGAAGCCATTTTTGTAAAAGCTAATCAATGGATTAATTCTTCATGGGGGGGATTTTAAACTTTCCATCAGAACTGTCATCTCTGGGAAGGCTTGAAAGCCTTTTGGTAAATAATAAAGTTTATGGGCAACTTTTGACTGGTCAAAGCCCTGAGATGAGCAATGTGCAGCCCTCATATATGTTTGCAAAACTGACTTCCATGAGGGTTTACTCCCAGGTAAGTGTTGCAGCACAAACACTTGCATAACAGTAAATGCCGCCAAACTCAGTTGAACTTACTTCCAGTAAGATTGGTTTGCAAAAGGTCTGTTGCAAAAGGTTTCTATACATGTTGAGATTAAGTCCCATTTAGTTCAATGGGAGGCTTCTTCTAAGTTAAGCTTGTTAGCTTTTGTTACATTAATATAGCTGAAGCCAGTTTGAATCTCCTGAATGTTTGAGCTCAACTATTTGCTCTTTTAGAAAGAGGATTGCCTAATTTGCAGAAGTATTCCAATATCTATTGGTGGTTAAAATTGGCTATGTTCCTGACAGAGAAGTCTGATCTCACCATTCAGTATGAGCTATGACCTTGCTGTCTAGATGGTCTCAAATTCATGTGTGGATTTTTCTGTCAATTGGCAAGCTTCTTTCGTTTGACGAGCATTCATCGATTTTCACTTTCCTTGCAGACGTAGACATATTAGAAGGCTATAATGTAAGCATGCAACTATGACAGAAATGCTTGTTCATATCTTAAAAACAGCTGTTCTGTTTGTAACAGGCATTTTTAATATAAAAAAGAATAGAAATCATCAATTTAATTGAAAGAATTGCTCCTCTACAAGTAAGGATCATTCATCTCTAAGGATGAGAATTCAGGCTATAATGCTATACATACTCTCTCACCTTGAAGCAAGTCCCATTGAATTTAGTGGGACTTTCTTCTGAGTAGATATGTATAAGACTTGGCAGTAAAGTCAGTGACAAAACTTGTACTGACTTTAGTGGCTCAGGGAGACAGTGTTTTACATTATGAGCAAGAAGGTTTTAAGGAACTTAAAAACTGGGAAGAATTCCACTATGGCTTTTGATCATGAGACAACAGCATAGAATCTTTTCCTGACTTAGAACAGCCTTTTAAAAACTTCTTTAAAAGTAGGTTTTGAACTATTGCAACCGTTTTCCACTGGAGGAAAACGTTCCCTTGAATTTCCCATGAATATACTTATTTGATAGCAAGAAATTCTCATTTGCTAAAGAAAGGTCACTTTGAAAAATTAAATGTCTGGTAAAATATGCACTGTGGCTGACTAGCTTAAGCTTAATGTGTTTGTACTCCCTTCTGCAGGTGGGGACCCTGGATGCTCTCGTTGGCCTCTCAGATGAGTTGGGGAAACTTGATAGCTTTGCTGAAAGGTAAAATAGAACTTATTTACTACACACAAAGAGCAGATGGGTGTTGTTTTTACAAGACACAGTGTTCCTGTGTCAACCTAACGCAGGCATCTTTAGCCTTAGCCTTAGGATTCAGCCAGGGTAAGTAGGTGTGGCTTTATTTTCTTTAGAAAAGGATTACCCCTAAATAAGGCTTGGTCCTGCATTTTCTCCTTCATCCAGCAGTTATACAGGAAACGTCAGGGATTAGTGCAGGTGGTGGACTTCACATTGGGAGTAGGTAGACAAATCCCTGTGAAACCTGGTACTTTCCCTCCTATATTCTGTGTTCTTTGCAGTGGCATGGAACTGGGACACTTCTGCACAGGCTGGCTCTGGGCAAGGAAACAGCATTTTCCAGCCACCTGGGCAGGGAAACCCAGCCAGATGGGCGGGGTATAAATAATAAAGTTTATATTGCATTTTGCAATATAAATAGCCCAGTGGTTACAGCAATAATCCTCTTCTTCTTTCGCCTCCTATTTTGTTTAAAGACGGTATCCACTGGCAGGTCTTACCTCCCAGAAAACGTCCTCACATTCAGACTCTACATGTCTGTAGGGCTGCCACTTCTTGTCGGGCCCTGAGGGGCGGAAATATTTTGTCAACTCAGAACCGCAGTAGCATGAACTGGTGTCTTCTACTTTGGCAAAAGCCAGTTGCCTAATTCAGTTAGCCAGAACTAAAGCACAGCACTGAGCTGGAGACGGGTAATGTGGCTTGAGTAGGCCTGAGACAGATTTGTGTATTCCAGATACCAAGGTTGGCTTTGCCAGTGAGCAGCCACTAGCGAAATCCAGTTCTTTGGCAGTGTGTGTGTGTGTGTGTGTGTGTGTGTGTGTGTGTGTGTGCTGCCTGACCCCTTTCCTGTTTCCAGTTGAAAAGTGTGAAAGGAGGAGTCAAGTAAGCAGGATGAATGAATGAATGGAAAACCCTGACTCTACTTGCTTGCTCCTTTGTGCGTCACCGTTTCCCTTCCCTCTTCTCTCCTTGTTAGCCTATTTAGTGGAAAGTATACTATAGCCTGCCATTTTTCTCCAGGCTTTCAGGCTATCCTGAAGAAGTAATGGAGCATTTGGAGCCTGTTGCTAGGCAACGAGCCCCGATTCTCCCCCCTCCCCAGAGAGGAAGGACACCCTCCACACTAGAGAGTGAAGAAAAAAGGCTTGGGTGTGGTCATGGAGCCTTGAGGAGCCACACAGAAAGAAAATTGAGACACTTTACCCACAGCTGCCACCTTCTCATTGTGGCTCTGTAGCAAAACTATTTTCTGACTGGGATCCTAATACTGTTAGGTGCCAAATTTGGATTACAAATCAATGACATTTAGATGCCTTTTTGAAGGCAATTATTCCAGCAGGTCTTTGGCCTGCTTGCCTTATGATTTTATCATCTCCCATGATGGTAGCTGATCTGAAACTATGCAAATGAGCCAGGCCAGGCGTTTACATTTTTGCTCCGCTGAAACACCCTGCTGGCAGAGCTGTTATTGGATCAACACACCGAGAGAAGTGCAAGTAAACCTAGCTAGGCAGCAGAAACCTGTCAGCACTGCTTCTGGCCAGGACAGCAGAGAAGGGGCAAGAGTTTTCAGGGTCTATTGTTTCCATGTACTTTTATTACTTATTTACACAGGGAGACTGGGTAATTTTCCATGTCACTATAAAGCAGCATTTGGCATTCAGATGCCTTTCTGCCTGGTCATTCTTGATTTGTTTCCTTATCAAGTGGCACGTTCCTTTTGCAAACCCATTTTAAAAATTGCTGGGGAAAGATGTCGGCGAAAGCCAAGGGTTATGGGACAACTGGCAATCAACATAAATCTTCAGAAGGAAGGCTAAAATGAACTCTTGACCTTGGGGTTCCATTTATTTATCGGAGTCCCATTTATTTATTACATTCTGCCTTTCATTCAGAGATCTCGGTATATTTTATTCTAGCTTCAAAATGACCTTTCTGAGGGATACTGATTGGCTCAAAGTCTTGTTTTGCCCATTGTAAAAACAAAAACATGATAACTAAGGCAGGCAAGAAGATTTGGTCTTGTGCACTTCTGGGATTTTTCTTTTCTTTTCAAACAAGATGTTCATGCACAGGTACAGAAATACCTGTGGTCTTGACCAGAACAGAAAAAAGTACTAGAGGATAGGGGAGGCATAGCCAGGATTTAAGTTTTTACAGGGGCAGGACTTTTGGGGGGGGGGGGGAGAGGACTGACCTACCGTATTTTTTGCTCTATAAGACGCACCGGACCACAAGACGCACCTAGTTTTTGGAGGAGGAAAACAAGAAAAAGAATATCCTGAATCTCAGAAGCCAGAACAGCAAGAGGGATCGCTGCGCAGTGAAAGCAGCAATCCCTCTTGCTGTTCTGGCTTCTGGGATAGCTGCGCAGCCTGCATTCACTCCATAAGACGCTCATACATTTCCCCTTACTTTTTAGGAGGGAAAAAGTGAGTCTTATAGAGCAAAAAATACGGTATCTGTGACTTGATTGGTCAGTTAAATATTTTTATTTATTTACTTGATGGGGGGGGGAGCTGCCTCCTCAGCCCTGGCTAGGCCCATGGCTGAGGGATGGACAAATACAGCTCAGGTGATGATGTCGGGGGCTGGACTGAGGCAGAATGATGGGGGCCATCCCCCTCTTCTCCTGAACCTTTCCTAGAACAGGAGGACAGTATAGATTTAGAACAGGGGTTTGCAGAAGGGCATAGTTCAGAGGCTGCAGTGGGGAGAAGCTGGGAAATATTGGGAGAGGAACAGCAGGAAGAAGCACCAGGGAAGAGACAGCGGACAGACTCAGTGTCTTTGGAAAGCATGCCTGACCCCCCCCCCTCCCAGGACCAGGCGAGCATTGAGGGTAGTAGAACAGAAAGCTCAGAGGCAGAAAGCTCAGATTAGCCGACACAGGGGTGACGTAGAATAGTAGAGACCTAGCGGGGTGGGACTTGGAGCAACGCTATTATCTAGGAGAGATTGCAATCCTACGTCTCTCTCTGTGAATATGGAATAAATTACTTGATAAGAACTTTCTATTGTTTATCTGCTTCTTGGCCCCACTGTGGGAGGGATCGGATTCTCCGAAGCCTGAGAGGTACAGTACAATCTGTCACACTGCACCCACTGGTGTGGATGGCAAGTAGTGAATATTCATAACGGGTGGGGTGGGGACAGGAACAGGAAGGTGTGGGAGCCAACATGCCAAACAGCAGAGAAAAATCAAAATCTTTACGACCTGTTTGCAGTATAAGGTGCCACCTAGGACCTCTGATAGAGCACAGGTTACAAATACAGTGGTACCTCTGGTTACGTACTTAATTCATTCCAGAGATCCGTTCTTAACCTGAAGCACCACTTTAGCTAATGGGGCCTCCCGCAGCTGCCGCACCACCAGAGCACGATTTCTGTTCTCATCCTGAAGCAAAGTTCTTAACCCGAGGTACTGTTTCTGGGTTAGCAGAGTCTGTAACCTGAAGCATATGTAACCTGAGGTACCACTGTAACTCAAACTCAAGCCCCAGCTGTGCTTTTTTTATCATGATCCTGCACTGATGGGACAAGTCAGGCCTTGTATAGTTCTGTGTGCAACTCTACCTACTATGAAAAGGAGCTGAAGAATTGGCTACTTGGAGCCATCTGAGGATATGGACCTGGTGACTGTAAAAACATTTGCTTTGAGCATCCTGCTGTAAGTTTTTTTTAAAATAATGTATTATTTTTTTATAACTTATTTGACTTATCTTAAAGGCTTCTCTCCTTGCCTTTAGTGTAATAAAGAAAATTGCCCAGTATATTGGAGAGGTTATGGAAGACTCAAAAGACAAAGTCCAGGAAAACCTGTTGGCAAATGGAGGTAGGTCCTGCAAAGTATATAGATGTGGGGGGTTTTGTTTTTTGTTTAATTGCTGCCGCTTTTCATCCAGTTTCCAATGGAAAAAGCTGGACTTAATACATCCATATGCTTACGAGTTGGGTTGCTACTCCAGTTTTAGAAAAGAACCCTTTCAAATAGTCAGCAGCCTCTGTTTCTACCGGCATCAGGGAACATCATTTTTGCTCTTTGGTGAGATGTAGGTGGCGTGGTTTGGTTTTCTTCCTCCTCTGGTTGCTTGACAAAGGGATCTTGTGACTATTCCATCATGAGTTCAGATTTTCAGAGGTGACTATTACTCACTTCCTCCCATCATCTACTTCTTGCTAATAGCATGGAGAAATATGCCATAATCACTCTGCATCAGAAGTGGGGGGAACCTCTAATCCACAGGCCAGCCAAGGCCTACCACTGGTCCCATTTTGGTCCATGAGGCCATTTTCTCTCTCAAAATCACAGCCACTCAGCAATCAGCTGATATCACACTGATGGGTGGGTGACATGAGCTGTTGGCCCGTGGGCTCATTTCTGTGTTGGCTGTACATGCCAGTGCCCTGCAGGAAAAGGGGCACATGCAGCCAGTGCAGCAGGATTTAACCCACAGCTCACGAGTTCAGGGTTGAATCCTGCTCAGTTTGACAGAATCCGTTGCTCATCCCTTACTCATCAGAAAGGGGTTTGGGTTGAATGTTTTTACCCCCACTTCAGAACTTCGAAGTGACAGATCTCCTGACATAATTGCGCTGTCAGGTGATTGCCCTCTCTTCAGACTTGGCCCATGAGACCAATCCTGGGAAGGATCTGGTCTATGTAGCCCAGTAGAGCAGGGGTGGGGAACCGATGTGCTTTTATTGTGCTGTATTATATTAGGTTATATCTGGCAACTGGCAGCATTTGAGGCTTGGTGAGGAAAATCGGCCTGGGTGTGCAATAAACCCCGAAGATGCAGTATTGAGAGCCATGCAATCAGGTAGAAGATCTGCAAGACTCATAACCGGAAGTTAATTGCATCTAATGCGATTTTGGTTGGTGCTTGTGAGTGGAAGCCTTTGATGCCTAATCTATTCAGTTTCCATTTTATTTCGCTTAAAACATTAAAAGGTGCTAAGTTAAGGGGGGGAAAGGAAACAGGGTTGAATTATCTAGGCTTAATAATGCTTAAAGCAGACCTACCGAAATAGTGGTGACTAACTTTAGTCGCATTCAGCGCCATTTTTATAGAAAAAGGGGCACCGGAACTCACCGTGAACACCTTCCCCTTGTTCTCTTAGAATGGCAATGGTGCCCAGCTGAGAGGTGCCGGAACTGAGTTTCGGCTGAAAAAGAAGCCCTGGTTGCATTGGTTTTAATGGATCTACTCTCAGCATGATGGGAATTTAGATCCAAGCCAAGATCTTTAGTCTGTTAATAGACAATGGATGGAGCAACCAGATCTGTCTTCTGTAGTTTCCTTTCCCCACTGGCTAACCAGTTATTCGGTGGGAACGGAAGAAGTACTAATTCCAAAACACTTTCCCCCATCCCAAACAAAAGCTGTTTCTAGGGATCAGGACTGGTGTTGGCACCTGGCATTCTTGGTCACACTGGTGTCTTGTCCCCCCTTAATTTCCCCCCATGGCCTGGCACCCTAAAACAGACTAGATGGTTGGATCAAAAGCACCTTTTAATTTTCCTTGATGACCCTGACCTAACACCCACTTGCCTTCCCACATCACAGTAGGGGAAATTAAGAGAGTGACTAGACCTGGTTGCCTGGTTTTGCTTATAGCATGACTACCATAACCAGGTGAGCCTGCCAGGGACCAGTTTGTTCAGGGCTAGCTGAAACCTAGAGTTGCTCCCGAGTGGGATTTCAACTTTTAAAGGCTAGAACATAACCCCACTCTTTTGACATCCCTCTTATTGTATGCAGTAGGCTTAATTTTAAATATAACCTGTCTTTTTCATGTTTAATAATCACAATTACTATATTTCAGGAGCGAAGGCTAAACTGCAATGTCTAAAGAGTATGTTGAGCATGGGTGATTGTTGTGTTCTTGCAAGCATGCGCTGGTGTGTTTAATGAAAGAGTTGACTCCACATCTGGTTGTAGGGGTACAGTGATCAGGTTACGATGGATTTCTCTAGTAACAACCTCGTAGCTCGATCACCATCTCCCTATGACTCAGATAACAGCAGGTTTGACAACCTCCCCTTTCTTTTCACACTTTTCCTGGATATATTTTTCTTTCTTTCCTTCTAACCACTTGCTGCATGTAAAACAAGAGGATGTAGGGACTATTGGATTGTGTGAAAACTTCCTATGCATGTCTGTTTTCAGGGGCGTTGTTAGGGTGGGGCCTGAGCCCCAGGACCTGGATCTTCTAGCCCATTAGTCTTCAACTTTTGCAAATCTGGGACCCGCCTTTTACTCAAACAATACGTTTCAGGGAACCCCCTCCCAACTTTTTAACCATCTATTTGTATGGTGGCAGTACTGCTGTTGGGACCCACCTTAGATCACGCCACAACCTGGTAGTGGATCCTAACTCACCAGCTGAAGACCCAATTCCTAGCCTTTCCTGTTCCTGTCCCCCTCCCCTTGCTTCGCTTACAAAGTGGGTGTGAAGCAAAGCACGGGGCAAATGAGACTCTAGCTGCCACCATCTTAATTGCCCCAGAGGCAAATTAAGCATTGTCAGAAAGAGTCAGAGTTGGGTTTCCTGCCCCACCTGGAAGTGGGATAAATTTGCATTGCTGCATGAAAATTAGCATATGCAAATTTATGCCATAGGCCAAGTCTTTTAGATTCCTAGCAACGCCTCTGTTTGTACTCGTTGGTCCTGTGCTTAAGACTTCAAATGTTTATCCTCCCAAGACTATTTTGTCTTAGCCCGATTTTTTCCGCTCAATAGACTAGTTTATTAGGCAGTCACCACTAACTGGGGGCCAAAGTAGGCATGGCAGTGGCTGCAAGAAATGGCTGTGGTGTGTGGGTGTGTGCACACCTTATCCCCGCCCTGGGTAGCCTAGAGAGTAGATGTCACAAAATTTTGTGTCTTTTCCTTTTATCGGCTACCATTGGCCCAGGGCAGGCAATGTGGGCCATTGTCATGTGACCTGGGGTAAGTTCAACCTGGTATTACAAGGGGAAGAAGAATTAAATGCGCAGCTGTTGTTTTTGATGGCAGCTACACATTTAACATCATGCCTAGTTTGGCCTTGCATTTGTGGCAATAAAATCCAGATAGGAGCTTACCTGGTAGGAGTTTTGCTGTTGACTTTAAAGGGCTATACCACAACTTTGCTCTCAGGGTGTGAGTCCAGGTTCTCTCCACCACTGAATTGCCTCTTGTATTCCTTTTACATTTTTTAAAAAAATCTCCCCTGTGCATCAAATTCATTCCTTGCCTGCAAAAATGGCCAAGGTTGTGTGCTATATTATAGGTGCCAGCCAATCAGCACCGTGCAGGGTGAGCATCTCTGGTGAGCATCGTGAGTGCACTTACAGAGCCTAACAAACCCTACTTCTTTTGTATGGGCTGCTACTTGTTCTCTTATGCTTGTATTGGCTGTCTCACATATACTTTATGGAACGGTGATAAAGATGGTACCTGCTGATTCCAGGACATTCTGCATGCTCTTTCTGTGTGCATGCTACACTTTCCATACCCATGAAACCTAAGACTGTAAGGTGACTCTTTCGAAGACGAGAGAAACTCTAGGGAAGGAAATTCAGATACTCCGAGGGGAACAAGTTTCACGTCATGAAAGAGGAAGCTGCTGAAAAGTGCCGGCTCTGACTGTTAGAAAGAAACAGCATTCTCGTGGCAGAAGCATAGCAAAAAAACTAGACTTCCGTTAAGGATGTGCTTTTTAAAAACATCCTCTCCTAAGATCAGCAGGCTTTATATCAGTTTTGCATTACTTCACTAAGGTGCAAATTTTAGTAAACGCGCAAGCCAAGCTCAGCATCAGTGCAGGATATCCAGTTTAAAGTCTGACCCACATTCATGTTGAGTTGGGTGTATGGGACGGGGGGCAGGGAAGATGAGGAGAGTATTACCGGTAGGCATTCAAGCGAGTCAGATAAAAATTAAAAAGCTGAACAGCAATAGACTATTCCCCATCCCCAAGCACTAAACATAAGTCACAACCAATAGGTGACCATTGGAAGTTTTTCACACCAGAGCCCCATCACATGCCCATTTTTTTCCAGATGCAGTCTAGATTGTTTTTGGGCGAAGGCTAAACATTTTGACAGCAAACAGGAGTGTAAAAAAAAGCAGTAAAAATAAAGCATCGGAGAGGTTTCCCATCACACATTATTAGTGCAGTTAGATGATCAAAACCTGCTTTCCAGTGTACTCTCCCATCACAAAAACCCACAATTGCACAAAAAATAGAAAATTGCTTGACAGATTATGTTTCAAGGACTTAATCTCAAAGCAAAGTTTCAAAGGATTAATGAACAGAGGAGTTGTTATATTTTGCTGGGGGGAGGGAAAACACCCCTCAATATCCACATATTTTACTTTTCAAACCAAGTAAGGTTTGAAACAAAAGACCATTCACACACTTGTCAATTGCCTGAATGGTGGTCACGTTTAGTTTGGCCCGTAGGCAAGTCTCTTTCGGGAGGGAGTTCCAAAACTCTAGGTGCCACAACTGAAAAGTCCCTACTTCAAGCCTTTGCTGATGGTACCCATTTAGGATACAATCCATGCCATCACAAAGTCAGCAGCAAAACTCCTATATAGTTAAGGTTTAAAGACTTAAGCTCCCTTGGATTGGAAACCATCTGTGATGAGAACACTGCCTTTAGCAGCTGAGGCAGGTATTACAGGATAGTTCTTCTGAGCATTGCTTTTTTAATTCATGCAGAACTTTTATTTGAATAGCTAATCTACACACCGTGTCTGAAAATGATCAAGTGAGTTGAAGATGGATTTTAAAACCATCCACTTTTATATGGTGCCTAATAGCATTGAAAATATGGAAATGATAGCAAAAGCCAGGTGTCAGATGGAAACTGTTAATATTAGATCAGCCCCTGAATGGAGAACAATGCATCCTGGTGGTTCTTCTTCTTCTTCTCAACTCATTGGAGTTACTCATATCTTTTCAGTTGACTTGATCAGTTATCTGACGAGGTTTGAGTGGGACATGGCTAAGTATCCTATAAAACAGCCACTGAAGAACATTTCAGAAGCATTAGCAAAGGTAATATGATCTCTTTTGGAAAAGCACCCTCACAAAAGCTAGTTTTCAGGACTTACAATAGATATGATTATTTTCTTATTGGAAGCAGTGAGAGTTTTGTGGATTATTTCTGCAGAAACAAATCTGGGCAACATATACCGGTATATATATATATATATATATATATGGGCTATGAGTTTGATATTAAAGCAGGTTTTCATACTGTATACAGCACAAAAGCCAAAGCAATGGCTTTTTCACACTGGCAAATTGCAGGAATCAAATAATCTTTCCCCTGCATATGTTTTCTTCCTGAGAGGAGAGAGGGATACTTCCTTCTTAAGACATACATTTGGACCTAAGAAATCTCATAAAATCATGAGTATGTTTTGGGTCTAGGTGGTAGTTTTAAACAAATAGCTGTTTTATTCTGTCATTTGTAAAATTAATAATTAATAATTATCTGCTCCATAAAGTTTTGAGAATGACTGAAATACTGTTTGAAACACACTTGCCAAGGTGCTGTGTGTGCTGAAAGCTTGATGGTGGAATCTAGCCATATTGGTGAATTTAGCAATAAAATCCACATTTTGTTGTAGTATTTTGCATTTGTGGTATGTAAAACTGTTAACATATGCAGAGTCAGTTTTGCTCAGTTGGATTTCTCTCCCTCCTTTTATATTTAGCAAATTACACAAATAGAAACAGACATGAAAAACCGAGCAGCTGTGTACAACAACATCAAAGGAAATCTTCAGAATCTGGAAAGGAAAACTGTGTATGTATAGCATTTACATATATATACTTATATATGTATAGTGTGTGTGCGTGCGTGCGTGTGTATGTATGTATGTATGAATGCATGCGTGCGTGCACTGCATCTAAATATGTATTGGGCAATATTTACTTGCCATGATGATGCCCCAACATGTCAGTGGATTTAGCTGTACTAGAACATAGCCTTACAGACAGGCAATGTGGCTCTGACAGTGGGTGTGGAGATCACACAGGGTCCCCAGACGTTTAACGGTCTATTGATCCCTGTGCCGCCACTGTGCTCGTTTCCCCGCTGCCACCAACCAGTTACTCTCTTGGTAAAACACTGAGTCCAGACAGTTGTTAAAAGTGAACCAAAAAACCCCCAAGTTTATTTTACCAACGTTAACAAGTTTATGGTTTCTCCGATAATATTCCTGTCAGTACCTTAACTTTAATTTCTTTACCAGCCTATACCTTCCTAATACCTTCTGACTGATTATCTCAACTGTTTGACTGACTTCTCTTAACAAATTCTCTCACTCTCTCACACCAGACTAGCCCAACCCACAGACTTGACTTATTTGTCTCTTCTAACTCCAGACTGTCTTCTCAACCACCCTAACTCTAACTCTCTCCAAAAAACCCTCTGTGCTTAAACCTTAAACACAGTTAACTCTGCCCCCTGGGTTCCTGTTGGTTAGTCATTTTACAATTAGTTAACCCTTTCCTTATGAACCCAGTATGATATCACACACCTAGGAGGGCAAACGCCACAGTGGGAAAGCAGGATACAAATTGGATAGATAATACAAAACCATCTAGACTCAGGTTAAATACAGTGGTGCCTCGCAAGACGAAAAGAATCCGTTCTGTGAGTCTCTTCGTCTAGCGGTTTTTTCGTCTTGCGAAGCAAGCCCATTGACGGATTAGCGGATTAGCGCTATTAGCGGCTTTTAGCGGCTTTTCAGCTTATCGGATAAGCAGATAAGCGGCTTAGCGGCTTAGAAAAAGGGGGGGGGGAAGGCAAAAAAAACCGCAGGAACTTGCAAGACATTTTCGTCTTGCGAAGCAAGCCCATAGGAGCTTCGTTTTGCGAAGCACCTCCAAAACGGAAAACTCTTTCGTCTAGCGAGTTTTCCATCTTGCGAGGCATTCGTCTTGCGGGGCACCACTGTACATTTCAAGGAATGGTGAACAGCAAGAGTAAATGCAAGCTTTGGGGAAGTTGAAGGGAGCCCAATTTTTTCCAAACCCACAGAGCAACCATAATTTGATCTTAAGTTGTGGGGAGGCATGGGGGCACAGTGTGTTCTGAAGTCAGGAAAACATTTCCTTCCCCAAAACTCAAACCAGTGGCTCCTTTTCTAGTTCTGATACAACGAACACCACTGTCACTAGTAAACATTTGTAAAGAATGAGCAGTAAATGCACACATCTCATCATTTTTGGCTTTTGTATTTTCTCTTAGGGGAAATCTTTTGACACGTACGCTAACGGATATCGTGAACAAAGAAGACTTTGTGTTGAATTCAGAGTATCTCATCACTCTCCTTGTTGTAGTTCCCAAGTAAGATAAATTAAGTCCATCCGCAGCAGGCTCAGTGTCATCACACTTAGCATGTTTATAGAGAAATTAAAGTACATACGATATTGCATTATCTCAGCAACCCTCGCAGGGAAGGCCACTATGAATGCCATCCTCATTTTGCAGATATGAAGTTGAGAGAAAGTAGAAACTAGCCACCTGGAGAGTTCATGACAAAGACATGTTTGAACCAGGATTGTATGGTTCACTGCTCAGTCTCATAGCCACTGCCCTGAACTAATTCACGTAAGCATTTTGGATTTAAAATGTGAATGCAGTGAGAGAGAGAGACCCTGAGCAGATGGAAACCAGGATTTGTTTGTTTCAATGTTTTAATTCTTGAAGATAAAAGGTGGTTGTAGAATTTAAACTCAAAGCAGCAAACATACAGTGCTCCCACATGCGTGTAAAACGGTGAAGGTGTTGCTAAAAAATGAGAAATAGAACTGGGTGTTGTCAGTATATCAGCCCGTATTTCCAAACACCTTTACTCAACGGTTTCATGTAGGTGTTGAAAAGCGGTGGGTGATGGGTGGGCAGATATCAATTGGGAAAAGCCCATGGATGTCACAAGGTCTATTAAATTTGGTATCGCTCAGGCTAAAGGGGCACCTGTGCGAATGGCGATGCCCCATCTCCTAAGACAATAAATGTTGGGGTTTCTAACAGCTCTTGAGACCAACTCCTGTCAGCTTAGGCAGAGATACTGTTTAGGCAGTGGGGTGGACAGCACACCTGCAGAATCCCTATACAAAATGATACGACCTCTGGACCCTGGAAAAGGAGACGGAATTGTGATGGACTGTGGCAACCCTCCCTTCCTGCTTTTTCCTGCTTATGGCAAGAGTTAGACCTCACTATCCTGATCCTCCCTGGTTTTGGAGATGTAAGCCAGGCCAGCGTGTTGACTCCGGGTCTAACCCCAGATGCTAGCTGGTTTCCCATTCATCAGTCTTGCATGAAAGTGTTAACACTCAATGAATTCCAAGCATGCTAACCATAAGGACCCTGTCTTGAATTTGGACCCAATATATAATACTAGGTAAGATACGTAAGGCTTGAGGTTCCAATGTTGTTACTATGAGCAAGGCAGCCAGTCATACAATTTTGTACTAAAAGTCACTTTTTCGTTCATACAGATGCTACCGTATAAAATTTAATCTTCCTCGTTTCAGATCAAGCTATGTACAATGGCAAAAAACGTATGAATCTCTCTCTGATATGGTGGTTCCTCGCTCTACGAAGTAAGTGAGATTTCTGGCTCATTTCTCTGGTCAGTTTTATCTTAAGCCTTCTCCTCATACTATAGATTCTGACGTATAAGACAACTTTTTAACCCCGGAAAATCCTCTAAAAAGTCAGGGGTCGTCTTATATGCCGAGTATGGGTTCGCTGGGCAGTGGCAGTGGGCAACGGGCTCTGCGCTGGGAGGAAGCGATGCTAAGCCGGTTTTGCTGGGCAGCTTCCTCCTGGCACGGAGCAGAGCACACTCTGGTCTTGGGAGGGTACTTCCCTGGCACAAACAAAAGAAAAATAGTGAGGGGTTTGTAGATGAGTGACTGTCTTTGGATTTTTCTGGTGGGTGTGTTATTTCTTGTACATATCCCTTCTCCTGTGAGACGCGGGTTGCGCTGTGGGTTTAACCACAGAGCCTAGGGCTTGCCGATTGGAAGGTTGGCGGTTCGAATCCCTGCGACGGGGTGAGCTCCCATTCCTCGGTCCCTGTTCCTGCCAACCTAGCAGTTCGAAAGCACATCAAAGTGCAAGTAGATAAATAGGTACCGCTCCAGCGGGAAGGTAAATGGCATTTCTGTGCGCTGCTCTGGTTCGCCAGAAGCGGCTTAGTCATGCTGGCCACATGACCCAGAAGCTGTACGCCTGCTCCCTTGGCCAATAAAGCGAGATGAGTGCTGCAACCCCAGTGTCGGCCACGACTGGACCTAATGGTCAGGGGGCCCTTTACCTTTTTATCCCTTCTCCTATAGGCTCTAGGAAACCAGTCAGTAGGAGCCCATCCCCTACTTGTTTTTTTTATCCTGATTTGCTTGTGCTGTGTTTTCACACCTTCTCATTAAGCAAATTAATTCACTTCTCCCACTTGGTTCAATGCATTTCTGCATCACTTTCCAAGCCACAAAAGTCTGCTGGTGCTTGCTTACTTCCTTGTTTGTTTTTTTTGAAGTGGGTTTGTTGCACTAGGGTGGCAGTTTTCTTTAATCCACTTTAAATAGCCAAACCTAAAGTTCTGGTATACTCTAATCCCTCTGCAAAATACACGGGCTGGAGGCACCCTCAGTTCGCTCGTGAAGATAAGGCTGGAATTAGGTGGCATCAGGGCATTGTGCTATCGCCTCCTCCAAGGCCTTTGACAGCTGCTTGTTTTTCTCTTATTAGTGTCCCTTGCTCTAGTGATGCTTTGCTTAATGTGATACATGTCTGTTTAGTATGCTCCTGATCTCAGGAAGAATGAAAGTTGAAATAGACATATAAATAACATAAAATGCCTGTAGTGTGCCCTAATTAAGAGCCAGCTCTGCTCATAATAAGATATTTTTGTTGTTATTGGCTCTTCTGGGTGCCGAGTGTAAAATGGCAGAATAATTTTTTCAACAAAGAAATGAACGTTTTCTTTTTTGCACAGGATGATTACTGAAGATGCAGAGGGAGGACTCTTCACAGTAACACTGTTCCGAAAAGTGATTGATGACTTTAAAGCCAAAGCAAGAGAGAACAAGTACTGACAACTTTTCATTCGTAATGCTTAGCCTTATTGGACAGAAGCTAGGAACATGCATGCTTAATAATTACCGTATTTTTCGCCCCATAGGACGCACTTTTTCCCCTCCAAAAATGAAGGGGAAATGTGTGTGCGTCCTATGGGGCGAATGCAGGCTTTCGCTGAAGCCTGGAGAGCGAGAGGCATCGGTGCGCACCGACCCCTCTCACTCTCCAGGCTTCAGAAAGCTATCCGCAAGCCTTGCAAGCCCGGCGGGAGTTCCCGCGGGCTCACAAGGCTTGTGGGCGGCAGCCTGCAGCCCGAAGCATGGGGAGCCCTCCGGAGGGCGCCCCGTGCTTCGGGCGGGTGTCCGCAAGCCTCGCACGCCCTGCGAGAGGTCCCGCCGGGCGCGCGAGGCTTGGGGCGGCAGCCTGCAGCCCGAAGCACGGGGAGCCCTCCGGAGGGCGCCCCGTGCTTCGGGCAGGTGTGCGCAAGGCTTGGGGCGGCATCTCCCCCCCCCCAAAAAACGAGGTGCTTCCTATGGGCCGGTGCGCCCTATAGGACGAAAAATACGGTACATGAGTCCTTCTGAATTCTTTGCTTAACTAGTTTCAAATCTGTTTAATTGCTTTTTCATAAATGATATTAATTGTATGTAGGCACAAATAATGGTTGGGGGTAGAAAGGAGAAAAACCTAACTCATTCTAACCAAGTATATTTGTATTGCATAATTAGGAAGTTTGTAACAAATGTGTTTAGGCTAACACATGAAAGTGTATTAAAATGCTATAGCTCGCAATCAAGGAACATTAGGAGCTGTAGCTCTGCAAGGGGGTAAAGATGTTGATCAAAAATTTTTCAGCATTTACACAGATTTACGGAATTCTGGAAAGGCAAGAAAACATGGAGTAAAACTGTTTCTATGTCGCTTCCAAGTACGGTAGAATCAATGTGTCCTATGGCAATTTACCTGCCAAATTTTGTATGAGACTGTACAATCAGTGACTCCATTCTAAGTTCTAAGGAACCAATGGGAAAAAATCAGCTGCACCTATCCAGGGTCTTGTTTTGTTAAAAGTACTTTTCGCCCCACTCTTTTGAGCCAAAAATGGCTTCCAGAGCGTGCTACAATTAATTAGAACACATTCCCCATCTAAAAAAAACAGGCCACTAAAGGAAAATCACTTGGAAAGGCAGGGAGGAGGCAGGTTGCTCCTCCTTTGGTTAGAACTATCATGCTGTCCTTCCTGAAAGCAGGGGTCAGTTGCCTTTGGTCCCCCTGATGGCAGAGGCCACTGTGCATTACATTTATTCATTTCAGTTCTAGTTATAATGCAATCCTATGTGTGCCTACTCAGAATTAAGTCCCACTGTGTTCAGTGGAGTGTGCTCTCTAGTGAGGTGTGTTATAGAATTGTACCTAAAGGGTGCAATTAGAACCCCACGTACCTGGCTGTAAGCCCCACTGAATTCAAGGCAAGTTATTTCTGAGCACACATGGTTAGGAATTTAGTAGAGTGTGACCACTCTCTCTCAACAAACCTCACAGAGCTGTTGTGAAGTTAAAGCCATGCTGAGTTTTCTGAAGAAGTCAGTTTCCCCTCTTCTGATGCATCCTTGTGGGTGTACAGACCCATTAGAGCAGAGAAAGAAATGCATGCTAATTGCAAGAGCTCCTGGAAAGCTTTTGTGATAGGTCTGACGTGACTTGCCTGCTTAAGAGGACCTGCTGCGCCAACATGGCTCGGCATAGCTTTTTAATTCGTAATATTTGACATGTTGCACAGCTTAAAAACGCAGGCAAGGCAGGCAAACAGAATGCAGAGGTTTCAATAAGACAGAGCCTTCTGAATCTCAATCTATTCTCATTTGCTATTTGCTTCAAGGTTCATGGTGCGGGAATTTTATTACGATGAGAAAGAGCTGAAATGCGAAAAGGAAGAAATGAGGAAGTTGGCTTCTGATAAGAAGCAACAGTATGTGAGTACACAAATTAAGTTCATACCCCTGTCTTTTCTCTTAAGTATTGGTTTCTAGGTCGTAGGTTAGAGATACAATGATTGAAGAGACCTTCCTATATTACCCAAGGATGACAACTCTCATGCCAATTGAATACCCCAAGTGTATGGTGGTGGTATTTTCAGTGAAAGAATTGTGCAGTTAACTGGATGTCTTTCCACAATATAATGATTTTGACAGCACATTTCCCACAACTCTCTGAGCTGTGTTCTGGTTCCCTCCTTTTCCTTCACTAGTTCATCAGTTACTGTCTTAAGCACTGTGTGTGATGTTGGTTCCACAAGCATCACACCTACTTGTTGGTAGTTCCTGTGAATTCACTGGTGATAGATGACACAGTTCCTCCCACCCATCATGACTATGCTGGAGCTGAGCTAAAATTTCTCAGTTTTTTGTTGTTGTTGAGAAAATGTGAAATTTTGGGTAAAATGAGAACCTATGCTACTGCTAATCCTGGGCAGATATTTCCTCAGGAGAAATTTGGTGAAATGATTCTTCCCTCTGCTCACAAATAGGCTGAATAATATTGAGAGGCCATTTCATTCCCTTTGGTTGTTGCTGAAAGGCTTCCTAACATTCAAGCATAGGAGCACTTATTTAATTTAAAGCAGGAGCAAGACAGCGCCTCCATCATTATATTCAGTTGATTCAAGGCAGGGGTACTTCTCCTTCCTAGAAGTGGAACAAATACCTCCAAGTGAAGCCCTGCTCTTGCAACAATACATGGAAAAGGTTGCTAGCATTCAGAAGCCGTCCAATATATGTTTAGGCCTTAGGCCAGGGCCCTAAGAAATTTGTGGCCCTGCAGTAGTTAAGATGCCAACTCTCATGCCAGTGGACAGGAATGATGGGAGCTTCTAGTTCAACACGTAAAGGCCACAGCCTCCCCACACATTTTAGGAAGCAAATCCATAACCCCCCCCAATCATGATAAACTAAATTCATGACAAATTGCTACCATTTAATGGTATTTCACGTTCTTCCATTTTACCTGACCTAGTTATAGAACAAGAGCATTTGCAGGGACGAGAGGACTGTCCCCTATTAGGTATATCAATATATTGCATAAAGAACTACAATTTCTACACAGTAATGTGGTGACTTAAGCCATACAGATCCCCAGAGCAGAGTTAGGTGGGTGTCTTAAAAATATTACAGTGTGTCTCTAAACAAATCTAAGTACGGTGTGCCGCTTTTGTTTTTCCTCTCAAAGGGTCCACTACTACGTTGGTTAAAGGTGAACTTCAGTGAATCATTTGTGGCCTGGATTCACATAAAGGCTCTTAGAGTTTTCTCAGAATCTGTCCTCAGGTAGGTTGCACTCGAAAACTTTCTGCATTGAAACAGGTAGCACTCTCAGGGACTCCACCCATAACACAAAAAGGACCACGCATACAAAACTAGAAACAGGTAGCTTGTTCCATAATCAGTAATAATATTATTATTTTTATTTATACCCTGCCCATCTGGCCGGGTTGCTCCAGCCAGTAAAAAAGTCAACAGAAATAGTGGAAGTAGACCAGATTTGTGGCATCTCTTTATTATTATTATTATTATTATTATTATTATTATTGTTATTATTATTAAAGCCTTCAGATGCCATTGGCTGAAGCCAAGTGAAAACCAGTGGCTCTGGGGAGCCAAGACAGACTTAAGGAACAAAGAGGGAATTGAACACTCAGTCATTTTATGGAAATATTAACTCCTCGTTTTCCCCCAGGCTTTTAATTTGGAAAGGGTCCCGTCCCCCATTTATTACTGATACACCACAACTGATAACCATAAACCCTTACTGATCTACTGGTGGATCACTGCATGATTTGCAGTTAACTACCTTCCCCCACTTTTCAAAATAGTTGTATCAAGTTATCTGCTTGACAGTTTACCACATTTCTTTCCATTTATAAAGGTATGGCCTACCAGTGAATTTCCAAGCAATGCTAATTCAGCCCAACAAGAAGTCCACAAAGAGACTGAGAGACGTCCTTAATGCAGTCTTCAAACATCTGGATGAAGTAGCAGCAGCCAGCATAATGGATGTAAGTGTCTACTGAATGAAAAGTGCCATTTCTGCTCTGTGAGCGAATCACAAAAACGGGGTGGGGTGGGGGGGTGGACTAGATGACCCTTAGGATCCCTTCCAACTTGCAGTATAATCTTATTCTCACCTAACCCCTAATGTACCTACCTGGGCAGCTTGGCACTAGTTACATTGTTGAATCTTTCTCCCCAGACTTCTATGGACATTCCTGGCTTGCAACTAGGCAATCAAGACTACTATCCTTATGTCTATTTCAAGATTGACCTCAGTATTCTTGAGTGCAGCTAATAATTGCCTGACTTGGGAGCATCATTTATCCTCTAGCATTTTAGGATTTGGTGGTTCACGAACAATGAAACTGATGTGGCAAGCACCTCTACTCCAAGCTGCTTTTTTAAGAACCCAAGTTCTGAGGGGACCGTGCGATAGGCGCCTTTTTTCATGCAGGAGGATTAAATAACTGTAAGCAAGTATTCATTTGTAGTTCCCAGGCTTTGCCTGCTTTTACAGATACAGTAATTTTGCCCTCTTCCATTTTGAAAGTATTAAGATTCTGGAGCCTCTTCTGATCATGTTAGAAAACATGCTTCACAAGGCAGTTGTGTTACAGTTGTATTTATTCTTCTTTTTTTGTAAATTAAAGTTCTGAACCAGGATTTTAAATAAAAATCAAGCGGTATCTGATGGTTAAGGTGATAAAAGTGCTCCTTAAATCTGTAACATTTGGAATCAGTCAAAGGTACAAACTCTTGCATGAAAGTTAACCAGTAGATCAGATTCTTAATTTTGGGGATGGGTGAGCTGTTTCAATGTAGGACTTGTAATAAATAAGATACTTAATCCCTCCACTAATCTAATGTGTGGTGAAAAGGAGAAACTTGGCTGGCAATAGATTAATAAAATACAGTGCTGGAAAATCTAATCCATTTTGACAGTTTGGTGGAAGTAGTTTCTCTGACAAGGGCAGAGTATATGTGTCCCCTCTTACAGCCAAATTCAAGATTAATTCCTAAGTTGAAGTAAATTTGTAGCACATACTATAGCAACCTCAAGGTAACAATTAAGTGTGTACATAATTTAAGAGTGGCAATATTGACGTTAATAAACTTCTCAAAGGGTAATTGGCAGAAATAATACACAAAAGAGATAGGTCTCTATAGAAAGGCTGTCAAGTATTTCTTACCGGGAAGTTCTGTACTTCTTGCGGAAGGAAACATTTGTTTTAATACTGGAAACCTAGATTCCTTTGCGCAACCCCTCTGAGGGAAAAAAAAAAAGCCAAACCCTGTACATCAAATCAACCTGGATTACCTGGTTCTGTATCAGACAATAGGAACGCTGTATTAGGAAACCTTTTCTTCCTGTCAAATAACCATTAAGCAGTCACGGCAGATCAGCGCCTTTTCCGTATCGCCAGCATCAATGCAACATTACTCCTAGAAGATTCCAACTCCAAATAACATCCATTTAAGAGTTATGCCTGCAACAGACATTCCCCCCCAGGACACCTTCAAGCAATATGGTGCTTCTGTAAACCTGTAAGGCTCCAAAAAGGTGAGATGAAACTAAAGTATCCTAAGTAAAATAGCTCCTCTGGTGCTGTTAAGCGCTTACCGAGTAATGACACCAGAAACACTGTGCTGCTTATCAGAATATAGTGCTGCATACAATGTACAACACTGACATTGTTTGTCAAAAATATTTGTTTTATTCTTTCATTGAAACGAAGGCTGGCATAACCTAGATTTTTGAGGGGGAGGGGGAGAGAATTAGATCACGTTTTAAAACTATTTAAACAAAGTCTTGGGTCACGGTCAACCACATACCAGCTGGAGAAAAGCTAAAACAGGAGTATTTCAATGAAAGATCAGCGTCATCCCCCCCGCAAATATCTGTTGCACAGGATACAATCAATTTTACTCGATACCAAAAAAAAATTCACAGAATTTTAAAGATGGGCTTTCTTGAGAGGCACACAGTTCACTTGCAACAGTGCTTACGGTAGCTGGCCGAGGGGGCTTCTCTCGGCAAAAAGGCCACTGGAGTATCCGTGGGATGCAAAGAGATGTTCCGTCAAACTACTGCTCAAAGTCTCTCAAGAAACAAAGTGTCTTCCTGCTCTCACAATTCGTCCTTCTGGGTATCCCAGTCATCGAGATCTACATCACTGAGATCGATATCCTCTTCGACTGGCAGCTATAAGGCAACCAAGCTGAGTGTGAATCAAGTTTACAGGTATCCAGATGCATCAACTGGTGTCTCCATGTGCTTCTTTGAACAAATTCAGAAACCGTGTGCTCGAACCATGACAGGAAGCTCAAACGCACATGGCCAACACACAAATAAGACTTATCTATGCCAGCCATTGTTGCAGGAGACTTCTTTGCTTTAAAACAAAGGTTTAGCTACCTTTCAGTTTGTGCACCTCGACCAACACCCTTTTTAAATGTGTCCTCAAATTAGGGGATATGCAATTTAACTAGAGCAAGAAGAGCCAAAGTGGTGCCTTTATGGCATTGTGGGCTACAGCTCCAACCATCCACTTGCCATTGGCTATACTGCCTGAGGCTGATGGGAGCTGTAGTCCTAAACAGCTGAACTGCACCACGTTGGCAGCCCTTGAACAGACAGCTCTCACTCATACACAAAGATGTATGCAGCTCATTAAAACTTTGATATTGGAAGGTGGTTCAGTCTTCCTGTGAACTTGCTTCACTCTCAATGCCATCAGCAAGTAGAAAACGCTAACCAGAGACATTTATAAACTGAAGTTAGCAGGTATACGGTATATTGAGAGAGTACTTTTTTATTTAGCACAGTGGTTTGTTGCAAGAGTTTTGTTAGTAGAGCATCACACAAAAGGAAGCAGGGAAGTTGCCAAAACCATCTATAGCAGTATATGATTGGAATGTAAGACCAAAAGACAGGCGGAAAGCTTTAAAATAGAACTGCAATCAAAGAAATATCAGAGAGAGTGACTTCAAGTGGGGGAAAAAAAGAGGTTTTCTGATGAGCTAAACAGCAGGAGACGTGGCAATACTATAGATCAGGCATGTCCAACAGGTCGATTGTGGTATTAAGTAAAGTGATCGCTTGTGTGGTCCTCACTGATCCTCAAAAAAAAGCTCAACAACTCTGGGGCATCCTTCCCCTAAAAAGGGCAATGACAATGGGTAGATCACAGCCAGTTTTTTTATACTGGGAGTAGACTGCAGTCTCTTGGAAGTTGGATGTGCCTGCTATAGATGAATAATGAGAATTGGGATTTTAGCAAAGTCTATGACAATGTAGTACTCCTTCAGATGTTGTGGACAACAACTCCCATCAGCTGCAGACTGCATGGTCAATGGTGACAGATGGCTCGAGTTGTAGTCTGGCAACATATGGGGGGCACCAGGTTGGCTATCCATAGTCTACGTGAAGACAGAACAGATGTTTACAATGCTATTAAATCTGATCTGGTAACGGACAGCCTGGGGGAAGACACCCCAGAACGCCCCATCCAAAATCACAAGCTATGGAGTGGGTTCCAAAAGAGTACAGTTTATCCCCAAACAAGCACTAAAACAAAATGCTCTGATGCGCAGAGTTCAAGAAGGCACTTCTTACCTCGCCATCTTTGCCGTCCCATGGCTCTACTGTGTTAACTTTTGGAAAAGCCCCTCCACCTACAGGTGCTGTGGACCCTCGACCAACGGAGAGTTCCCTAAAAGGAGAAGGTTCCGTCATGTTTAGAATTTGCTTTTGTTTTTTTGAGTGGGTGAAAAAATACCAAACCATTACCAAGTCTGAGATGGCATAATTGTTTTTCACCACCCAGTGGGCAATATATGGTCTCCTCATTTCATTTGCTGCACCTAAAAAACGGTTACCTAACACGCTCAGAAGGTTTATGCAAAACCAAGCACACGTAACCTTTAAAGGGTTGAAGTAAAAATTAGCCCCGATATAATGGGAAAATAAAAGCAACCCTAAGAATGATTTTCAAGTCCAGTAGCATTCTTCTACCAATGCAAAACAACCACTTGTGTCCAAAACTCGAGGGGGAAAGGCATATAGTTCTTGCCGTTTGGATACCATCAAATGGAGCAAAACGTACGCAGAGATTTCCGTACCTTAGGAACTCGTTAATTCCTTGCTCGCTGAAAGATCCTTTCAGCAGTGCAAATTTCATCTTCCGAGCGTTCACGGCTGCCATAGCTGGGTAGCCAAACCCTCCAATTCCAAACGAGTTTTCAAGATCTGACTGAGCTCCAGCTTCCGTCCACAACCACCTGGGGGGCAAAAAACCCCACATCACTGCCATTGTACATGAAGGTCAGTTCACATCTGTATGCCTTAAAAAAACTAGTTTTTCCTTCCTTTGCTTCGACACCTTGGTTAATGCTCGTGAAATGGAACACCAAAGCAGGACAAGGGTGAGGGAGGGAGGGAGAGAGAGAAAGCTGGCTGGAGTGTGCAGGCATACCATCCAATCCTAATCCCTGACCCCCTGAACATAGGAAGCTGCCTTATCGTGAGTCAGAGCATTGCTCTATCTTGCAGTGTACTGACTAGCAACAGGTTCTGCTGGGTTTCAGGCAGGGAACTTTCCTGGCTCTAACTGGAGATGCCAGGGATTGAACTAGGACCTTCCATATGCAAGGCAAATACACTATCACTGAGTTATTGCCTTTCCCATGTGTTACATTCATAATAATAGCTGCCTTTGTATGTCTGAATGGGGCACGTTCTTTTGCAGAATACAAATGACCCGTCCACTAAAAAAGTAACGGGTCGGGCAGCATTTCTTCCCTTCTATGCGTTTTGATGTGACTTACCCCCACATCTTCTTTTTGTATTTATCTGCCAATTTCAGCATGACTTCCAGGTAGGAATTTCTACCTGCGGCTCCTGTTATGACAAGACGGGGAAGGGCAAAAGTGTTTGAGGCACTTATTACAAACACGATTTGGGGTGGGGTGGGGTGGGTGGGGAGAGACAACAAGCTTTTTCTCGCTTTTATTTACCTGTGTCAAGAATATGGGGCAAGACGGAAATGATGCACAGCTGGTGAGCATCGCAAGTTTGTTTCAGAACATCTTCATTGATGATCTGAGAGGGAGAGAAACACACAGATGCCTCATCACCCATGAAATTACTAATGGTTAAAGCAGGCGTGGGGAAACCTGTGTCACAGGCCTAATCTGGCCAAGCACACTTCTTTATCTAGCTCCATCACTCTCCCCAAGACATGCTCCCTTGTCCCATCCCATCCCATCCTACAATGAGTTGGCCTACATGGCCCGTTTGCTTCATTTCATCAGATTATCAGGACAAGAATACCTCTAGGAGTTCAGGCGGTGGAGCATTATCTGAGAACAGGTCTAGAGCGCGAGCAACAATATCCGATTTTGTCCTTCCACCTTCGTAATCGACGGGCTCTTCTCCCTTCTGGAAGACCTTTATTGTCGGGAACCCACGGATCTGGGAGGTTTCAAATGGTAACAAGTCAGAGCACCAACCTGACAAAGCAGCGATAGCCACTGGGAGGCTACACACTTTCTACATAAAGCTGCTTTCCTGCATAGCAGGAGCGACGTCCGAGCACATATACCTACATTTAAAAAATCATACTAATTCCTGGCTGTGCTCTCACTCTGCTTTTGTTTTAAAATGCAGTACATTAACTTGCTGAAGCAAAGTGCTTATCAATAAAGTATCTTTTAAACTCCCCCGCAAAACCCTAATTGAGACAACTTTCACGTATTTTGAGGAAAAGAACACTGCTCTGCTCAACTCACCCCATATCGGCTTGCTAACATCTGGTTCACTGTAGCATCTACAGCAGCCAATTTCACTTTTCCCTTTGTCTGCTCCTTCACTTCTGTTGCAGCTGCTGCCCATTCTGGCTCTAAACTGTGGGAAGAAAGGTGGGGTTTTTGCATGTTTGTTCCTTTTTTATTTTAAAGATCACTACTAATTAGCAGCGGCATCCAAAATCTTAATATTTTAAAGCACCTTTTGTCACAACTGAAATAAGAGTGAGACTAAACCAGGGGTAAAAGCAAGGGGGGTCCCCTCAGGAGGTTGTCAGACTCCACCTCTACCACGAGTCCCAGCCAGAATGGCCAACGGTCAGGAATGAGGAAGAGTTGTAGTTCATAAATGTCTAAGGGCCACAGGTTTCCCACCCCTGCTCTGTAAGCTATGAGCTTTCCAGACTTGTTTGTGGAGAACATGAGGGTAACTGGCACCAAGGGGACTGCACTGAAATCAAGAGAGAAAACCCCAGCATAAGGGAAGCAGAAGATGTTCATCATTTTCAGCTGTCACAAGCTGAAGAGCAATTTAGGCTGCAATCCTTTACACTGTCCATGCGTTCAGTTCCACTGCAGCAAGGTTCACTTCTGAGCAGATGCGATACATAGGATTGTCCTTACACCGGAGTACTGAATAAACATTTCAGACACCCGCCGATAAATTTTGAGTCGTACTTTGCACCTGTAGCAAGTAAACGGTGCCTTCAATCCACTTACTTTTTGCAATGCCCGCACCAAGGAGCATAAAACTCTACCAGCCAGACATCTTCGCTGTTCAAGACGTTCTTATCGAAGGTGTCGTCCGTCAGGTCAATCACATCCTTTTTGCCCGAGCCACCGCTTTCCCGGCTGCTCTGTAGTTCAAAACACAAAAGGACTCAAATTTAGTTTGAACGCCTTTGCCGCAGTCTAGCAGTAGTCACTCCACATGGGCACATGGGAGTTGCAATTGCAAGCTACAAGTCTGTGGAGCGCTCTCAGCATGTGACTATGCCAAGGCAGCCAATGTGGGGCCTTCCAAGTGTTGCTGAACTACAGCTCCCATCATCCTTGGCCACTGGTCATGCTGGCTGGGGCTGATGGGAACTGTAATCTTAACATCATCTGGCAGGCACCATGTTCGCTATCCTTGGTCTATACAGTGGTATCTCAGGTTAAGTATTTAATTCGTTCCAGAGGTCCGTATTTAACCTGAAACTGTTCTTAACCTGAAGCACCACTTTAGCTAATGGGGCCTCCTGCTGCTGCTGCGCCGCTGGAGCACGATTTCTGTTCTCATCCTGAAGCAAAGTTCTTAACCTGAAGCACTATTTCTGGGTTAGCAGAGTCTGTAACCTGAAGCGTATGTAACCCGAGGTACCACTGTACTCTATGGCAGTCCAACACGTCGATAGTGAGATGGATTTTGGTCGATCGCACTACGGTGGTATTTTTTGTGTGTGTCCTCTTTCCTCCTCAGAAAGAGAACTTTTGCCTCCCTCCCCTCCCCCCCAAACCTTAAAGTCTCTCATTGGCTCTTAGTCACGGCACTGCCATCCCCGCTCGTATTCCCCATTAGTTGGCAGCCGTGCCACTCCCAGAAGAGCCTTGTGTCTACAGCCATGCAGTCTGCCTTTTATTTGCTGCCATCGCCATTGGAGGCACTCCGGCCCCAAGGAAAACGAATCGGCTTTGTTCCCGGTGTATTGGTCTTCGACGTCTGTCGATCAAGCGCCACTGATGCTTATCACTGGAGAATATATGTATGGTCAAGGCTGACCTGCTTTAATAACTTGCGTTTTATTTCTCCGGGCTGACTGCCAGGGTGACCAAGCACTGCCAATGATTGGCTGAAAATGAGCCTCTTCTAGCCGCCTAGCGGGTTAGGTTGCGAGGCCTCCACCCCTCCTTTTCTACGCTTATTTATTTAACTTGAATGACCTCGGAGGGGTGAGAGAAGGGAACGCTTCCTGAAGTCTCATGCCCAATAGCAGATCGGCCACAGAAGGAGTCAAGAGAGGCATCGACCAATGGCACTGGAGTACAGATTGCACTCTGCCAGCCAATCAAATTCTTCAGTGTTAATCACTGTCTGGATTTGGCAAGGAACTGGATTGTACCATTCACAGATAAGGGGGTTCTAGGCAGCGGGAACAGTGGACTGTTCCATTCTCAAATTAAGGGGGGGAAATTTAAGCACAAGCGAAAAAAGAAGATCCTGCAGAAGCGAATGAAGGATGGAAAAGCTGAATTGGTTTTCCTTCTTGTCTGGGTGTCTGGTAGCTCTAAGGCTGTCACACTTTCCAAAGCAGGTAGCATTCTGTCTCGCTAAGACGATAAAGCTATATACACCATTATTATATTATCATCACCAGTATTACTATTAATAATGATTTGCTAGTCGCTGATTGCAAACAGGTCTCTTAAGAAATTTACGAGAGATGAAAAACCATAAACAGCAATTGCTTGGCTTGGGAACCAATACATGTCATTCTCATTTCCGAAACCTGGAAAGGGAAGATGTGATTCCTTGCGCTTTAAATGTGAGGCGTAGTTTCTTGTTACCGTCTTTGCACAGTCATAGTTTTTAAATCAATTATTTCAGAAGGCCTAGGCCCTATTGTAAAAAAAAGTAAGTGGCCAAAAGAAGTCCAAAAGTTACCATTTTCACGACGAATGGGAAATTGAGTATTCCTTTGTGATGGTGAAAGACAAGTGTAGTTGTTTAATTTGTAACGCCTCAGTGTCCTTACCAAAAAAGGGTAAGTTGGAACGCCACTATAATGCTCTCCACTGTAGTAAATTGGCTGTTGATTTTCCACTCAAAAGTGAAATGCGTAAACTTAAGCTCAAAGCACTTAAATCAAAATTAGCTGCTCAGCAACAATTACTAGCAAAATCCAGCTCACATTCTAACAATGCAACCATTTCATCCTTCAAGGTGAGCAACCTGATTGCTAAAAATGGCAAACCTTTCACCGAAGGGAGTGTTTGTGAAATAGTGTTTTCTTGCAATAGCTGATAATCATTTTGAAGGTTTTAAATATAAAAAAGGAGATCACAGCTGCTATCCAAGATCATCGAGAAACACGGTTGTGCACTGAATGGAAAAAAAAATGTGTAAAAATATAAATGAACATCTGTTGAAAGATGTATCCAATTGTGTTGCTTTCTTTACGTCAAGTGGATGAATCTACAGACATCAGCGACACGGCTCAGATGCTAGTTTTTATTCATATGATTTTTGAAGATTTCGGCACCAAAGAAGAACTACTTGGGATGGCTTCTTTAAGAGAAAGAACTACAGGTCAGGAAATATTGAATTCTTTCTATTCCTTCATCCTTGCTGCCATCACTACTGATGGAGTAAAAGCCATGAGAGGTCAGGTTAATGGATTTATTGCCTTCTGTCGACAGCATGGCGATTTCCCTGACTTCCTTGCATATCACTGTATCATTCACCAGCAAGTTCTGGCAAGCAAGAGACTGAATGCAAAGAATGTCATGGACATAGCTTTTAAATTTTAAATTCAATTCGTGGAAAATCACTTCAAAGGCAGCTTTTCAATCTCTCTCTTGAGGAAGGGCAGCCAGAAGTAATTTTACACACAGGTGGCTCAGTAGGCACAAATTTTTGCTAAGATTTCACAGTTTGTTGAAAGAAATAATATCCTTTTTGAAGGAGAGGGGAGAGGAGTATGCTCAGTTAGAAGATGAAGCGTGGTTGTTTGATCTGGCTTTCCTTGCAGTTTTCACAGGTAAACTTAGTGATATGAACCTAGAACCTAAAAATAAATGCATTAGAGACTTGATGAGCATAGTTTCATCCTACAGAACCAAATTTAAGCTAATGATGGCTGACCTTACAATCAATACCTCTGGTCACTTTTCCTAACATGCAAGACCATCTGGGGAAAAAATCCTGCCTTTGTTTTTCAAACAGAGAAGTATGTGATCAAAATTGGTTCTGTTATTCAGGAGTTCAAAAAGAGATTTGGTGACTTCCAAAAAATTGAATAAATTGTAGAGTACAGTGGTGCCTCGCAAGACGAAAAGAATTCGTTCCGCGAGTCTTTTCGTCTTGCGATGTTTTTCGTCTTGTGAAGCACGGTCCGTCGCAACTGCGCCTCTTCAAGCGGCTTTAAAAAAAAAGCGCAAGACGTTTTCGTCTTGCGAAGCAAGCCCATAGGGAAATTTGTCTAGCGAAGCAACGCAAAAACGGAAAACCCTTTCGTCTAGCGAGTTTTTCGTCTTGCGAGGCATTCGTCTTGCAGGGCACCACTGTACATGTCATTTCCATTCAAATCCGATTTGGACATTAAAAGAAATTGCAGTCACTATCAGTAAAAATTACTCATTGCGCAAACTAGCTCTTGAAAATGAGATACTAAGTCTGAAAAATGACATTTTTCTGAAGGCCCATGAAAGAGAAAAATGATTTTGGAGGTTTGTGCCTAGACAAAAATTTCCTAATTTGAGAAGATGCAGCGAAATTCTACACTCATGTTTTGGTTCAACTTATTTGCATGAACCTGCATTTTCATATCTAAAAATGATGAAGAGTAAGCAACGTTCCAACATGACAGATAAACACCTTACGGATTCTCTGAAGCTGGCTCTCACCCAGGACTCACATGATATCTAACAGACGGTTAACAAAATGCAGACCCAGGCCAGGTGTCATACTAACGACGGAGGCAAGCAGGTGTTTAAAAAAATATATTGATTTATAGTATAATGAACGTTTCAGGTTTCATGGAAGCTACTATCATTTCTTATTATTTCTCTATCATAAGTAAAGGTAAAGGGACCCCTGACCATTAGGTCCAGTCGCAGACGACTCTGGGGTTGCGGTGCTCATCTCGTTTTATTGGCTGAAGGAGCCGGCGTACAGCTTCCGGGTCATGTGGCCAACATGACTAAGCTGCTTCTGGTGAACCAGAGCAGCGCACGGAAACGCCATTTACCTTCCCGCCAGAGCGGTACCTATTTATCTACTTGCACTTTGACGTGCTTTCGAACTGCTAGGTTGGCAGGAGCAGAGACCAAGCAATGGGAGCTCACCCCGTCACGGGGATTCGAACAGATGACCTTCTGATCGGCAAGTCCTAGGCTCAGTGGTTTAACCCACAGCGCCACCGCTCAGCCAAATATTATGTGTTTGAGGAATGACAATGGGAGAGTGTGGTAGATCACTGCCGGTTTTTTATACTGGGTTGGTAGATCGCAGCCTACTTGGACATGCCTGCTCTATGGCATCTTTACTATTTAATTGATTTACAAACCTGCTTTCGTTCCTGTGTATTTTAACTAGGTTTATATGGCCACCCAACAGAACGTGTTCTCTAGGCGGCTCACTTAAGACAAAAACAGCAGTATCAGAATTGTAGAAAGCGGCACAAAATGGTTCTTTTTGATAGAAAAAAATAAAAATGGATGCAAAATAAAACAAAAACAACATAAACGATAAGCCTAGATCGCAAAACATGTGAGTTATTTGAAAGGTATAGGTTAGAGGTAGCCAATGTGGTGCCACTCCACCCACGGCCGTGTCGCTGGGACTCCCAACACCAACCAGCCCCAGCCAGACTGGCCGATGGTCAGGGGTGATGGGGAGCTGTGATCCACCAACATCTGGTGGGTACGATTTTGGCCACCTGGCCCAGGTGAATAACTGGTTTTGGAAAGTCCATAAAGGTGACAACTGATGGGACTTTTTACCTTGCAAGCCTTGAATGGGCGATGCCACTAAGATCCAGAAGCATTTCAATTCCATCCCTGCCGCCCCCCCCCCCCATCTGCTATTTCATTCTTTGCCAGCCATCGATCCCAAAACACACTTATTTCCCCCACTTATTTCCCCTTCTGCCGTCGCTACTTCCCACCAAACTGTATTTTGATACTTATACAATATGCCACAAATACTTCACAGGCAAAGACCAATCCTGCTAGTTACTCCTCAACGTGCATTAAGTTTGCCATGTGTGATTATGTTCTAGTTTTAAATGGGCAAACACACTGCACTGCTTTGCACTTTACAACAGCTTACCTTCCCAGACTTATTAAAAATTCTTTTTAAACCTGTAATTAAAATCCTTATACACTATGCATTTTTTTTTTTTTAATGCAGACCAATCCTCACCAAACTGCTCTCCAATTATAGCTTGAGGGATGTGCCTAGAAAACACATTCACAAAAGGAAACAATCTGTTGCTTCTTTCTGCCTGGACGTACCTGTTTTCCGTAGCTTTGGCCACCTCCTCTGCCACTAAGACGATCTTTCACCATTGACCGGACGGCACTTAAAGCAGCATCAACGATAGCGTCGCTTGTCCTGCCCCCTAAGAACGTAAGAGAAAGACGGCAGGAATGTTTAGACTGGCTCCATGTCAGATTCTGTCAGCACTGTCTTGTGATGTGATGGAGCCTTCCAACAGTCACCAAGAAGGCAGTAAAACTGCAGTGCTGCGCTGGAAGAAAGCACAGATGCCAGAAGGAATGAGTCACAGATGCGATACAGTGGAACATCCTGCCTCCTTGCAAGTAGGCTTGAAAACAGCCTTCTCTCAAGCCCAGTTACAATAAAGGAGGGTCAAAAGAACACAGTTGGGGAGGGAACAGCTACCCCTTCCTCTCTCAGCTGTGACTCCCTAACCACCACGCCCACTTCTGGCGATTTTAGTACAAGAAAATGAGAAGGTGTGATGATTACCTTTACAATACATGGCCTGATTAGTTAGGAAACAAGAGGGGGCTATAAGAAGTTTCATTTAATATGCTCATCAGTGTTTCCCAAACTTGGGTCTCCAGCTGGGTTTTTTTTTTTTTTGTTTGTTTTTTGGACTACAATTCCCATCATCCCTGACCACTGGCCCTGCTAACTGGGGTGATGGGAGTTGTAGTCCAAAAACAGCTGGACACCCAAGTTTGGGAAACACCGAGTTAAGTGTATAAGACTCAACAATCCTAGTAAAAACCACCACTTTTACAGAAGTACCTTGGTAATCTTCTGGTCTGTTCTTGTTGGCACCAAATATCTTGATAGTGGGGAATCCTCTGACACCATACTGACCACCTAGGGAATTATGTTTATCTGCATCCACCGCCCCAACTTTCACAATACCCTGCAAGAAAGAGACTTTCAGTTGAGGTAGGATTGATCCACTTGAGAATGAAAACTAAGCACTACCTTTAAAATGGGGTTGAGAGGGGTTAATAGGGTTCTATGTAGGATGTCACACATTAAATTTTGCCCAGATGAATGTGTAAGTCAAGGAATCTGCTCATGAACACGGAGTATGTGCTTGCCTTGAACATTAATAAAGCTGATTTCAATTAAGGGCTATTTCTAGTTCCTAAGAGAGTAACTTTTTCCGAGTTCCAAAAATGAGAAATAAAGCTGTATGAAACTGATTCTCCATTTAAATGTAATCAGAGGAATGATGCATTGATGGGGACAGTCTTGAAAGGATTTGTATTCTGAAACACAGGGTCAAATTTTAGTAAGTGTTAACCATCCTGATCACAGGATAACATGATGGAGAAGATCTAGAACAGGCTTCCTCAAACTTGGCCCTCCAGATATTTTGAGACTACAATTCCCATCATCCCTGACCACTGGTCCTGCTAGCTAGGGATCATGGGAGTTGTAGGCCAAAAAAACATCTGGAGGGCAGAGTCTGAGGAAGCTTCATCTACAATAATATAGGTATTGCTACAATGATGCCGTTAAGGTAAGAAGAATTTAAGATGAAATAAAAGTACAATGGACACTCGGGTTGCGAACGTGATCCATGCAGGATGCACATTCGCAACCCACATCTGCACACGCACGGGTTGCGATTCAGCACTTCTGTGCATGTGCAAAGCGCGATTTAGCACATCTGTGCATGCACGACCAACGAAACCCGGAAGTAACCCATTCTGGGTTTTGGTGGTCTGCAACCTGAAAAAACGCAACCTGAAGCGTTTGTAACCCGAGGTATGACTGCACTGCTTAGTAGCCTACAGTCTTGGGGGTGGCCCACTTCAGACAATGTAACAACTCTAAGGAATTATGGTTTATTGTAGCAAGAACAAGCAACAAGCTAAAGCACTCCCTTCGCTTCTCCTTGCACACCCAGCAGCAAAGGGGACTTCCTAGTTTTGTTGAGCTGCATCTGACTCGGGAAACTGTGGTTTGAATGCTCCCTTACAAACCAGGGAGCTCTTCTGTGTGAAACGGGACATCGCACACGCCACTTTTGCAATTGCAAAACTGTCAAGTTAAGGCTCCAGAGTGTTTAAAATGAAGATTGCAAAACAATACGCTTGTTCAAAGCAAGTAAGAAACGCGTGTTACAAAAGGCAGCCACCTTCCAAACACCAAGAGAGAAAAAGGCCACAGCAGCGCCGTAGGGCACGTGCTTTGCCAGGTCCATGCCCCGGCAGGGCTGCAAACATTCCTGTCCAAAACCCTGGAGAGTAGCTGCCAGTCAACACAGACTGGCCTCTCCCAATCTCCAAATGCCTTGGACTACAACCCACATCATCCCATGCTAGCATGGCCAATGGAATCAGGGACAATGCCACCAGGTTACAGAAGGCTGCGCTAGAAATGTCATGTTGCGGTTACTCACTTTCAGTGCTGTTGCAGCTTTCTTCCATTCAGGTGTCAGTCTTTGGCAGTGGCCACACCTTAAAGGGGAAGAAGAAAACACACACACACAGATTTAAGAACTCTTTTGAATCCAAGGTGCACAGGAATCCAGCCACTTAGAATATTTTGCAGGAACAGGGAACACAAAGAACATTCATTGAATTTCAAGCAACACCACAGGCTTCCAATTGTTTTATAGTTTGGTATCAGTGCGTCCGTGGCAAGTGGAGACACGGAGTGTGGGTGCAGCAGGAGCTGATGTGGCAGGCTGGTTTTTGTGTCTGTCTTTAGTGTTGATAAGGGGGGGGGAGCAAACAAAACAGCAGAGGCAGCTGGGATGGCGCCATTTACAACCACCTTATAAATCAGGTGTGTTGCAAAGGCTGAGAGGAGAGATGACAGCAGGGCCAGCTCTATGAAAAGCAGCCAGTTGAAGGGGATGCCAAGCCAGATGGTAAAGGAGGGGTAAGAATGATGAGGCTTGATGGCTACAGAAACAGAGATAGAAAGAGAGAGAATGAAACCCAGGCTCCGTCTGGCCTCACTATTATAGTCAGCATGACCTTGACAGAAAGAGACAACAGAACCAGTTTAAACCAGCTGTACTCAGCTTCTCAGAAGGAATAACCCAAACATCAGTAACCTTCTGCTTGCTTCTTTCACACAGAGAACGTTGTGGAATGCGGAAACAAGTTTGCTGTAGCGCTGCGTGCGATAGTCAGTGTTCTTATTCAACCCCCCATAAAATGCTCAACATCTCAGGCCCCCCTAAAAAAAGCTCAACAAGTCTTGCCCCCCCCCGAAAGTTCAACAACTCTGGCCAACGCCCCTGCCTAAAAAAATGCACTCTCCTCCCTCCAAAGACAATGGTTAGATCACTGCCAATTATTTTATGGCACTGCCTCGGCCCAGTATACCTGAAGGAGCGTCTCCACCCCCATCATTCTGCCCGGACGCTGAGGTCCAGCGCCGAGGGTCTTCTGGCGGTTCCCTCATTGCGAGAAGCAAAGCTACAGGGAACCAGGCAGAGGGCCTTCTCGGTAGTGGCGCCCGCCCTGTGGAACGCCCTCCCATCAGATGTCAAAGCGATAAATAACTACCTGACATTTAGAAGGCATCTTAAGGCAGCCCTGTTCAGGGAAGCTTTTAATCTGTGATATTTTACTGTATTTTTTGTTTCTATGGAAGCCGCCCAGAGTGGCTGGGGAAACCCAGCCAGATGGGCGGGGTACAAATAATAAATTATTATTATTATTATTTATTATTATTATTATTATTATTATACTGGGAGTAGATCGCAGTCTCTTGGGAGTTGGACATGCCTGGTCTAGAATGACCAGAACCCTCCCTGCCATGATGGAGAATGCAGATCAAACCCTCCTGGCTCATCAGGTGAGTGAGGAAGAGGCAATGCAGGGATCAGCTAAGGGGGTGCTCTGTGCTTTATGTGTGGGTGATGTCATGTATTCATGGGGTGCCCCACCCATTGCGAATATGCAGCCTCCAGAGGAGTGGCTAAGGGTGATTATAGCTGTCGTTCTCGGAGGAGGGGAAACCAACTGTTGACCTATACATATGCTCAACATTTGTGGAGGAAAAATGATACCACTGGCCACACCCTGCAAATACGATGCACTGGCTGTATGCAACTAAGAACTCTAAACAGACAAGGTCCCCATACACCAACTCTCACTTTTTATTGGTGTGCAACTGGCCACTGAGGGAACATGGGCAGCAAGAAAATGAAGACTGAAAGTTGCAGCCCTGCTCCTCACTCACACATAAGAGCTTGATGCCCTTCAGACATTTTGGACTACAACTCCCATCGGCTGTCTGAGGCTGATGGGAGTTGTGGTCCAAAACATTTCAAGAGCACCAAGCTGGTGAATGTTGGTGCAGACAGAACACACCCAAACAGTAATTATTCGCCAGAAGATGTGGCTCAATCGTTACTCACCATGGTGCATAGAACTCTACGAGCCACAAACTGTCGCTGTGGATGACCTCTTTGTGGAAGTTTGTAGGTGTCAGCTCTATAACATCATCGCTGGGAGAATATAAGCTGTTGACAGCAAGGAAGAACGAGCAGCTTACCATTCCTATAATGCAAAATTTGAACAAAAGTCAATATCCTTTCAGAGAGACAAGCATCACCCTTGCTGCTTTTATGGCAAAGAGAATTCATGCGTGTTAAAGCAAGGGGGAAAAGTGATGCCAGAGAGCACCACCAATCCCAACAGGAGAAGAATTGTTATTAGGCTACGTGACACACCCATGCCCCACCTTTGCCATTAATTTGGTGCTGCCTCTCTATTCACACAACCACAGTCACCAGAGCTCAAAGCACAAGGGGGGCTTCCAACTGGTTTGTGTCACATACATTGTGTGCCCTTTTACAGGTTAGCAGGTCTCGTACACAGCCTGACAACACATCATTCTATAGTTGGTGCTGTACAGAGATAATTCTCCTGATGGCTTATTCTTTCATGGAGTCCAAGTCAGGGTTCTGTAAAGACTGGATTCACTCCAGCTCAGGCTGCAATCCTCTTAAGACACAACAGACATGCACAGATGTGTGTTGTATCTCAAGCTTCTTGGAACTCAAGGCACTAAGCACTTCTGCTTCCAGTGTTGACGGCACCAACCAGCACAATTTATCACACCACATATCATTTCACCAGTATGCATTTGCAGTGGCTTTATTCCAATAAAAATGGCTGTTAATTAAAAAACTGTAGTTCATTACTAGAATAATATGCCTAACATGCCTTCCTGCCTTTCTTTCTTTTTTTAAAAAAGGACAGCAATAAAACTACCTCTGACTTAAGCAATAAAACTCCTAGCCCTTTTGCAAAGCTAAGCAAGGTCTGGTATGGTTTCAAATTGGATGGAGAACCATGTGTTGAGATTCCTGCACAGCAAGGTATTATCCCTTGGGGGTCCCTTCCAACCCTACAATTCTATGTTCAGCACCACATCCCATTTGAAAAAATCCAGTCTTTAGTACGTATGTATTAGTAGAGCCCAGGGTAATTGTTTGCAGCCCAATAATCCTGCTCATCAGCAGTTGTAGCTGGCCCCATGAGCACGATTCCAGGATAAAACAGTTAATGGGTTTCACATGAGTGAGCTACATGGACAAATCATTCCAACATATACCAACCAACAGGTCATTTTATGAAGACCTAAAAGAACTTTGCCTGCTAGCATTAATCTCTTCCAAAACCTGAGTCCAGAAGAAAAGAGTGGGTGTGGGTGTGTTTAAACACGTAGCTGTTATCCACAGCAAAGCAGACTGACCATCCTTGTTCTCTCTATTCTTAACTAGCAAAAGGTCTGTTTTAACATGTGAAAGGAGATGCCTTTGCAAAAGCAGGTAGCATCAAGCCACTTCCACCTCACCCCCCTTTTTAACGAGATCTCATCACAGAAAATTGGAATGTCTGCTCTATGCATTGCATTTTAGGAGTATTTGCCTAGCTTGGCATAGCTAAGAGGGATCACCGCACTGGATAGGCTGACAACTTGAGATGACACACCTTCCACCTCATAACTTTTACGTTTGCTTAAGAGTAGGAAGACTACTTGCGCTGTGCTAACTACGAATGTATACTCAAGAGCAGGGGTAGGCAGCCTAAGGCCCAGGGGCCGGATCTGGCCCACGGATGGTCCGGGAATCAAAGTGTTTTTACATGAGTAGAATGTGTCCTTTTATTTAAAATGCATCTCTGGGTTATTTGTGGGGCCTGGCTGGTGTTTTTACATGAGTAGAATGTGTCCTTTTATTTAAAATGCATCTCTGCGTTATTTGTGGGGCATAGGAATTTGTTCATTCCCCGCCCCCCCCAATATAGTCCGGCCCACTACATGGTCTGAGGGACGGTGGACCGGCCCACAGCTGAAAAAGGTTGCTGCTCAAGAGGCTCACAGAGGTTGAGAGGACTTATATCAAAATAAGACAGTGCAAGCAGGACCAAAGCAACAATTATGTGGTGTGCGTCTTGTCTACTGGCTAGAGCACCCTTTCTCAACCATCTGGGTCCCCAGATGTTGTTGGACTACAGTTCCAATCATCCCTGACTCCCCCACTAGCTAGCGATGATGGGAGTTGTAGTCCAACATCTGGGGATCCAAGGTTGAGAAAGGCTGGGCTGGAGTATTGACCGTGGCCTAGGGAGGCCCAGGTTGAAAACCCTGTTCAGCCATGAAGCTTGCTCTAGACCACCCATCAGCCAAAGCTACCTCACAGGGTCGCTGCAAGAATGAACAGGTATGGGGAGAAATCATGTACGCAACCCTGAGAGCTCCTGGGAGGAAGGGTGGGACAAAAAAAAATGCATATAATACATTACACTCATAATTTTTCGCAGCAAAGCACTAGATCAGGCATCCCCAAACTCCGCCCTCCAGGTGTTTTGGGACTACAATTCCCATCACCACTGGTCCTGTTAGCTAGGGATGATGGGAGTTGTAGTCCCAAAACACCTGGAGGGCTGAGTTTGGGGATGCCTGCGCTAGATGGACCATTGGTTTGACTCTGTATTAGGCAGCTTCCTAGGTTCCTGCTCTAAGGAAACCCCCAACCAGCAGCAAAAATTGAGAAAGATGCAACGTCTCTCTTCTTCTAAAAGGATACTTGAGCTTTGTTTCAAAACGTAGTTCAAAAGAAAGCAATTTGGCGCACCCACTCCCATGATCCAAAATATTGATCACTCCCATGATCTAAAATATTATCACTCCCATGATCCAAAATATTGATCACTCCCATGATCTAAAATATTGATTCTGGGCAGGGTATAGAAACCACAATCCGTTTTCAGCCTGGACAATAGAGCTGGCTTCTTCCACCCACCCCAAACCACAGCCGCCCAACAGGCCTGGGCTTCCCCCATATCCTATTAATAAGCTTGCAACGACCCCCACCCTCCCCGACCTTGCTATTAATTAAAGCTCCGGTACCTCTTTCCTCCCCCACCACCCACGCGCGCCCCTTACCAAGCAGAAAGCGCCTCACGCCGAACGCGCCCATGTTGCACTCTTAACAAGCTCCTGCGCTCTCTCTCCACGCTCCTGCGACTTCCCCTCCGGTTAAGGGCATCCAAAGCTTCGCCGATTCCAGCCGTGGCCGCCGCTCATTGGCGCTCCCGACGTTCCCTCTTTTGCATAGCCAATGGGAATCGGACGGATCAACGCCGCCGAGAGAAGGTTCGGCGGGGAGGAGCTAACTCCGTTCGGGAGAACGAAAGAAAAGAAGAGCCGCGAGGGGGAGGAGCCGGCGCGAAGATCCGCTTCCTCTAAGCCATAGAGATAAGGGAAGGAGGAAGGCGCCCGTCGCCACCTGAAAGCGCAGGGTTCTTTTCAGTGGTGGTAGTGGGGTCCCCCCCTACGCTGTGGGTTTCTGGATCCCGAGACAGCCCCTATCTACATCACTGTTGGCATCAGTATGTTAAAGGACGCCTCCTTGGTCTGTTTTTGTTTGGGGTCGGCTCCAAGTGCAGCTGCAAGATCTCTTAATCATGAGGCTAAATCCCATTATAGTGGTAGTTACAGGTAGGTAGCCGTGTTGGTCTGCCATAGTCGAGAAACAAAATGAAAAGATTCCTTCCAGTAGCACCTTAGAGACCAACTAAGTTTGTTATTGGTATGAGCTTTCGTGTGCATGCACACGTATCTGAAGAAGTGTGCATGCACATGAAAGCTTATACCAATAACAAACTTAGTTGGTCTCTAAGGTGCTACTGGAAGGAATTTTTTCATTTTGTTTCCATTATAGTGGAAATCTCCTTTTCTAGATGAGGTCACACTCCCTTAAGGAAGGAGGGTTACTCCTTGGCCCACCGCCTTACGTTTTGAGCATCGGGTGGCAGTGGTGCATTTTCACAGTACTTGTCACATTTGCACCAGATACTGGCTTCCTCGCCTCAAAGAAGCATAGGAACTTTCAAAGTGTGAGATGGCCCTGGGTCTTATATACCTTAGGTGCCTTAATACATATACAGTGGTACCTCGGGTTAAGTACTTAATTCGTTCCAGAGGTCCGTTCTTAACCTGAAACTATTCTTAAGTACCACTTTAGCTAATGGGGCCTCCTGCTGCCGCCGCGTTGCCGGAGCACGATTTCTGTTCTCATTCTGAAGCAAAGTTCTTAACCCGAGGTATTATTTCTGGGTTAGCGAAGTCTGTAACATGAAGCGTATGTGACCACTGTACTGTACAGGGTGTTCAAAAAGTAAGTATTACACCTTTGGACAATGTACTACATATGGTAGGTGTATAGTTCCTTTTCGAACACCCTGTTTATCTTCTAACACCTTATGACGTTCCAGTGGGGCTCTCTGCTTGTGGTTCTGTTTGCTCAGCCCAGTTCTCAAGCAATACACACCAAAGCCTTTTCAGTGGTGGCTCCTTCTGTCTTGAACTTACTTTCTAGGGCACTCCGCAAATACTCCTTCCTTATATGCCTTCCATCGCATGGGCGTAACCAGGATTTTTGTTAGGGGGGCAGCATTTTGTTGGGGGGGAAAGAACTTTTGTTAGGGGGCAGAATCGACGTGATTGGTCAGTTAGTTAAGTATTTCTATCGTTTTACTTGATCAGGGGGCAGCTGCCCCCCTCCGGCTATGCCCATGTTCCATCGTAATCCTATATACTTCTTACAGAGGCATTCGTTACCTGATGGCATCTTACTTGATGGATTCCTAGTTTTTTCTTCAGATCTATTAAACATGTTTTATGTTTACATTTTAGGGTTTTTATGCAGTTTTGTTTTAATTCTGTTTTCTCTGTATGTTGCTTTGAGCACAGTTTCTATGGGAAAGCAATAGATAAACTTAATCAATGGGTGGTTTCCAAGCCTAGCATTGAAATGACACTGAACTGGGCTTTAATTTTGCAAATGTACAATGAGCCTTACTTTATTTTTAGTCGTAAAGTGTTACAGCACTAAACAAAAAACAGAAAACCACGGGGTGGATAAACCTATTTATTTGTTTTTAATGTATGCAATTGCAAAAGCTAAATGCATCCCAGCATTCAGTGTGCTTTGCAGCAGAAAGACGTATTTTGCCTGAATTGACACGTCATCCCTAACAGATTTGCTTCTGTACTAGTGGGAAACGGTAATTGCTCTTTGGTTGACTGCAAGTGGTGGCTGGGCAGTTCAAAAGCTGCAGCCCTGGAGCAGCAAACAAAGAACACCAAAAGAGTAGGAACTGGTTCTTTGCATTTCTCCTGTAAAACTGCCAGAATTGAAGGTGATTGAGAGGTTAGATCAAGTCTTAACAATTTATAAACAACAGGTGATTCCCATAAATACCGATTCCCATAAATACTATTACTGGTGGCAGTGGGCATGTGGAATGGTTTAAAATAGTCTCTTTTCCACATGGCTATATATATATGCAATTAAGTTTCCAATTAACAGCACACAAAGCATGACAAAGGTAACTCCTGGTTGACAACATCTTACTTGTTAAGGGTGGTAGATAATAATAATAATAATAATAATTAATAATAATTTCTTATTTGTACCCCGCCCATCTGGCTGGGTTTCCCCAGCCACTCTGGGCGGCTTCCATAGAAACCAAAAAACACTAAAATATCACACATTAAAAACCTCCCTGAACAGGGCTGCCTTGAGATGTCTTCTGAATGTCAGGTAGTTGTTTATCACTTTGACATCTGATGGGAGGGCGTTCCACAGGGCGGGCGCCACTACCGAGAAGGCCCTCTGCCTGGTTCTCTGTAGCTTTGCTTCTCGCAATGAGGGAACCACCAGAAGACCCTCGGCGCTGGACCTCAGCGTCCGAGCAGAATGATGGGGGTGGAGCCGCTCCTTCAGGTATACTGGGCCGAGGCCGTTTAGGGCTTTAAAGGTCAACACCAGCATTTTGAATTGTGCTCGGAAACGTCCTGGGAGCCAATGTAGGTCTTTCAAGACCGGTGTTATGTGGTCTTGGCAGCCGCCCCCAGTCACCAGTCTAGCTGCCGCATTCTGGATTAGTTGTAGTTTCCGAGTCACCTTCAAAGGTAGCCCCACGTAGAGCGCATTGCAGTAGTCCAAGCGGGAGATAACTAGAGCATGCACCACTCTGGCGAGACAGTCTGCGGGCAGGTAGGGTCTCAGCCTGCGTACCAGGTGGAGTTGGTAGACAGCTGCCCTGGATACAGAATTGACCTGCGCCTCCATGGACAGCTGTGACTCCCAGGCTGCGCACCTGGTCCTTCAGGGGCACAGTTACCCTATTCAGGACCAGGGAGTCCTCCACACCAGCCCGCCTCCTGTCCCCCAAAAACAGTACTTCTGTCTTGTCAGGATTCAACTTCAATCCATTAGCCGCCATCCATCCTCCAACCGCCTCCAGGCACTCACACAGGACCTTCACTGCCTTCACTGGTTCTGATTTGAAAGAGAGGTAGAGCTGGGTATCATCTGCATATTGATGGACACCCAGTCCAAACCCCCTGATGATCTCTCCCAGCGGCTTCATATAGATGTTAAAAAGCATGGGGGAGAGGACGGAACCCTGAGGCACCCCACAAGTGAGGGCCCAGGGGTCTGAACACTCATCCCCCACACCACTTTCTGGACACGACCCAGGAGGAAGGAGCGAAACCACCGTATAACAGTGCCCCCAGCTCCCAGCCCCTCTAGACGGTCCAAAAGGATGTTATGGTCGATTGTATCAAAGGCCGCTGAGAGATCCAGCAGAACTAGGAAACAACTCTCACCTTTGTCCCTAGCTCGCCGGAGATCATCAACCAGTGCGACCAAGGCAGTTTCAGTCCCATGATGAGGCCTGAATCCTGACTGGAAGGGATCCAAATGGTCCGCATCCTCCAGGCGTGCCTGGAGTTGTTCAGCAACCATGCGCTCAATCACCTTGCCCAAGAATGGAAGATTTGAGACTGGGCGATAGTTGGCCATACTGGCCGGGTCCAAAGATGGTTTTTTAAGAAGCGGTTTAATGACCGCCTCTTTCAGCGGATCTGGGAATGTTCCCTCACAGAGGGAAGCATTCACCACCCCGCAGAGCCCATCGCCCAGCCCTTCCCGGCTTGCTCTTATTAGCCAGGATGGGCAAGGATCAAGGAGACAGGTGGTTGGTTTCACGCGTCCAAGCAGCCTGTCCACATCCTCGGGGGTAACGGATTGAAATTGATTCCAAGGACTTGACCAGACAGGTCTCTAGCACTCTCCCGCCCCAGCCCTGCTCCCACAGTGGTGTCTAGCTCCTTCCGAATATGAGTGATTTTATCTGCAAAAAACTTTGCAAAATCGTTGCAGGAGATCTCGGGGTCTTTACAAGGCCCTGGTGGTAAAGGTGGTTCTGTTAAATTGCGGACCACCTGAAAGAGTCTCCTGCTACTATTTTCTGCAGATGCAATAGAGGCGGTGAAGAAAGTCTTCTTCACCGTCGCTATCGCCACTTGGTAGGCTCGATGTTGAGCTCTAACCTGTGTCTGGTCAGATTCGGAGTGAGTTTTCTGCCACCGACGCTCTAGCCGTCTCAGCGATTGTTTCATCGCCCTCAGCTCCGAAGAAAACCACGGGGCTGTCCGGGCTCCATGCAATCGGAGAGGGCGCTTCGGAGCCAGACAGTCGATAGCCCTGGTTAACTCCGCATTCCAGCGGGCCACCAGGGAATCAGCTGAAAAGCCATCAACATGGGATAAAGCATCCCCTACCACTCTCTGGAAACCATTTGGATCCATTAAGTGGGGGCGGAATTAGTCCCACCTCCCTGCAGAGGGGAAGGGTCGTGGAGAAGTCCAGTTCATGGTCACATTATTCAAGAAACCTGTATGAGTTTTCTTTGGGGAAGCTGAAACAGTGCGATTTGGCAAGATCTGTGTTCGGATTCATCTGGGAGTAGACAAACCATTATATCTTGTGTAGACCAGTGCATTGGGACACATGGTGAAATGACAATTTAATTGTAGCATAGGCACAAAGTAGAGAAAACAGTAAATAATTTACATAAATGAAGCCAGTTCCACAGATGCATTATCTCTATGTCACGGCAGTATGCATACATTCTAAAGAGGTAGTGGTAATCTGCTGAAATCTTAAGTTCAGCTGTGAGAAAATAATGTTCCATAGATACCTTCTGACTTGATGATCTTTTTATTGGTAGCACACCACTAAGAAGAATATTATGCTGTTAATTTGCTTTCCTACCTGCAACTGTATGGAAGTTGGTAATC